AAATCAAACAACTTTTCCTTTAAACACTTTTCTGTAGAACAAAAATCAAAAAAGTTATCACACTGTTTTCAAAAAAGGACAAAAATGTGTGATTTCTTGTCTATGAAATTTTTAAACTCTGGTATCTTTTTCAAATCTTAATATAATATATTTTCCTCTTTTTGTCCTTAAATTTTGGGCAAAATCAAACAACTTTTCCTTTAAATACTTTTCTGTAGAACAAAAATCAAAAAAGTTATCACACTATTTCCAAAACAGGACAAAAATGTGTGATTTCTTGTCTATGATATTTTTAAACTTTGGTATCTTTTTCAAATTTCAATAAAATATGTTTTTCTCTTTTTGTCCTTAAATTTTGGGCAAAATCAAACAACTTTTCCTTTTAACACTTTTCTGTAGAACAAAAATCAAAAAAGTTATCACACTATTTCCAAAACAGAACAAAAATGTGTGATTTCTTGTCTATGAAATATTTAAACTCTGGTATCTTTTTCAAATTTTAATAAAATATGATTTTCTCTTTTTGTCCTTAAATTTTGGGCAAAATCAAACAACTTTTCCTTTTAACACTTTTCTGTAGAACAAAAATCAAAAAAGGTATCACACTATTTCCAAAACAGGACAAAAATGTGTGATTTCTTGTCTATGAAATTTTTAAACTTTGGTATCATTTTCAAATTTCAATAAAATATGTTTTTCTCTTTTTGTCCTTAAATTTTGGAAAAAGCAAACAACTTTTCCTTTTTTTTTAAAGAAAAATAAAAATAAAATGAAAAGTCTAATTTTGTGAAATTGATTCGATTCTGAATTCATAGTAATCCGATAGGAAAATAATAGTTTTGTGGTGTGGGAGATTTTCTGCTCGATGAATGCAATTCTTGCGTATAGGTATAAATGTGTATGTGAGTGACCGAATGTAGATCGACCTTGCTAAGGTGAACACAAAAAGGGTTTTGCAGGTGGGGTTTTCACTGTGCAATGTGGTTAAATGCGGGGATTGAGTTTGTTAAAGTTGGAGAATGAGGTGGAACTCGAGTGGGGGCAGTGGAAATAGAATCGATGCTTACGTCCTTGTTTAAGTTACACTGGCCTCTCTCGCACGCATATTAATGCACTCTGTACTTTTCTCTCTTAGAATGAAAATATTTTCACAATTAAATAACATTTTCTCTTATTTTTATTTTATTTTCAGTTATTTTCATTTCTTTTTATTTTTGTATTCTTTTCATTTTCAGTTTTACATTTTTTTTATTTATATTTTTATTCTATACACTCTATAATTAGCAAAAAAATTAGTAAAATTGTTTATTAACTTGAATTAGTGACTGAATTTTTGCTTTTTAATTAGTAAATTTTCATTAAAAACATGTTCATAAATATTTTCATAAACATTTTCATAAATAAAAAAATTTTTGAATTAGTAAACTAATTAAATAAATATTTCTACTAATTTATTGGTAAAGTAGCTTTTCAATTAGTAATTTCTACTAATAAATAGTAATTACTACTAATTTATTAGTAAAATTTAGTATTAGTACATTTTACTAATTTTGCTATTCAATTAGTAAGTTTAATTAGTAAATTTTACTAATTAGTATAAATTACTATTTATTATTAAAATACATTATTAAATACTAAATAGCAATTTTACTTTTCTTTTACTTTCACTTTAAGTCTATTTTATTTAATTTAATTTAATTGTAATTTTTATTTCTCGTTGCTACTAATTTTGCTGAAGCAAAATTCGTAGCATCGAGAAATAAAAATTACAATTAAATTAAATTATATTATAAGTAAAAATATAAAAGTGAGAAACTCTACAAGAATACGAGAGAGAATAAAAATAAAATTGCAATCAAATCTTTTTTTCCAACTTCTCATCACAGTCGAAAAGAATAAGAATTCAAGAAATCAGGAATAAAAAATAAAACAGCAATCAATTTTTTTTCGCTTTTTTTTATTCTCATCGTAATCTAAAAGAAGGATTTAAGAAGAAAGAAACAAAGAAAAGTTTACTAGCGCAAGGAGAAAGAATTTCCAAAAGACTCTCAACTATTTTTCGCATGAACTTCTGAAAAGCGAGAATATTCTATATAATATATACGAAAAAAATATCAAGGAATTTACACTCGACAAAAGAAAAAGAATATTTTAACAAAAAAAATGAATTTAAAAATATAAACACAAAAAAATTGAATATTATTTAATTGATTTTTCAGTTTTACTACTTTCCTTTATTTTTGAATGCTTCCATTATTTTTTTTTACGGATATTTATTATTTCTGATAATTAAAATTTTATTTATATCATTAATATTTTTTGGTAATAATTAGACTTTTTTGAATATGCGAAAAAATTACCAAATAAAAATAAATAAATAAAATAGAATGAAATTGAATTTTTAATTTTTAATAATTAAATAATAATTAAATTAATCATTTTTAAGTTTTAATTTAAAATATTTTTTCCCAACTGAAACGTAATGAAAAATTATATTTATAAAATCATGAAAATAGTTAAAATTAAAACTGTTTGACCTTTTGTACAATATTATTTTAAACAAAAAGAAAATCTAAATTTACATACAGAAACGATATATTATTATTGTATTATGTAAAAGGGGGGATGGTGTGAAAAACACTGTCATCAGGTTGTTGAAGTGATATATACGAAGAACATGCGGATTTCTTGTTTAACTGCTAGGAAGGGAGATGAATTTAACAGATTCGATCTGCCTCTGCTCTGTAACGAAGAGACATTCAGTTAATATTAAATTTAGTTTCCCCCTATTTGCAGTCGTCAACTGTGTCAGTAATATCGATTTCTGATATAAACTTACATAAATTATTAAACAGTATATATATATAATATAATTTGAAAGCGCTCCCAATTTCGTTCACTTTCAAGTTTTAATTATTCCCCCTTTTCAATAAAGATAATAAGCTAAATTTAATTTCCTTTCACGAGAAATTCGATATTTTCTTCTTCTATCCTGAAAATTCAATTTTGAATTGAAATTTTTCGATATCCGTGTATACGTATATTTCTCAATATTTATTTACAGTCAATCAATTTTATTTATAATTTTAATTAATTTTTATTTATATTTTTTTCGGTTAATTTTTACTATTTTTTTTTAATCAACTATTTTATTAGGTTTTAATTTTGACTATTTTTTGTGTTCTACTATTTTACTATTAATTTTTCAAAAAAGTTGTTTCCCTTTTTTATCTCCGTAAATTAATAAAATTCCCCTTTTCCCTTTTTTATCTCCATAAATTAATAAAACATCCCTTTTTGCCTTTTTTATTCCCGTAAATTAATAGAATTCCCCTTTTTCCTTTTTTATCTCCTTAAATTAATAAAATCCCCCTTTTTACAAAATAATTATATTATTAATTTTTTAAACAATAGTAATATTTTTAAAAACAGTATTTTTATAAATTTATAAAAGACTTTTTCTATGCATTGATGTCATAATTTTTATTATGAATTTATAAATTCATGGAAGCTGATAAAATGATTTTTCAATTTATTTGCTCATATTTAAACACTCTCTGGAAAAATTAGATATTTATAATACAATTTTTCTGTAAATTGTTAAAATAATTTATTTATGAACCTATAAAATTTATAAACTAATTTTTTTCATAAATTCTACAGAATAATTTTCTTATAAATTCTATAGAGTAATTTTCTTGTAAATTTATAAACTAATTTAAATGTTAAATTTACTTTCTAGTATTCATTGTAATTTTATGCTATTTTTTTATAATAATTTCTTCTTGGGATTTTTGTACTTCATAAAATTAATTTATTACTCAATTAGATTTTTGGGAAAATTGACGAAAATATTCTATTCATTACCTAATTAAAAACTTTCGGTATTTTTAAATAGTAAGAATGAAAACTAATTAATTTAGAAAATTTTTAGTTCCAAATATTATTTTATAAAAAAAATAACTTATTGTTCACTATTTGAATGAAATATTGAAAAAAAATTTTTAAATATTGAAAAAATGTATTTGATGGATGTCAGGTATTAAACAAATATTTACTTGCATCAAAAAAATTATTAGTAATTAGTAATTAATAATTAATTATTCATTATTAATTAAACAATATGAATAATTTTTTATTCATTACCAGCTGATAATGAATAAATAATATTATTTATACAATATTAATAAATTATTCATCATTAATTATTGAATACTAATAATTAATTATTCATAAATAATTATTCAATACTAATAATTAATTATTCATAATTAATTATTGAATATTAAAAATTACTTGTTCATTACACTGAAAAAAATTACTTGATTCAAATAATCTTGTTAAATTTGAAATAAATATTTACTTGAATCTAATAATTTTTATTAAAATCAAATACATTGTATTTGAACCAATAATTTCAGTACTTGAAGCAAATATAGTTTAATAGATTTAAGTAAAAAATTATTTGATTCAAGAATTAATATATTTGATAATAAATATTTATTTATAATAATAATTTATTTAATAATAATAATAATGAACTCATTAATTATTTATTATTAATTAGTAATGACTTATTTATTACTAATTAGTAATTAATTATTAATAATTAATTAGTAATTACTTATTTGTAATTAGTTATTAATTATTCATTATTAATTAGTAATTACTTATTTATTACTAATTAGTAATTTCGAGGTTTTGAGCATTCGGGGATTTCAGCTTTCATTGTTAATTAGTAACTACTTATTTATTACTAATTAGTAATTAATTGCGAATTAGTAATTAATTAGTCAGTATCCCCTGATAATTAGTAATTAATTACTAATTAATAATTAAGGAATAAAAATAATAATTTGAACCGCAGCGACAAAAAATTATGTTTTCGAAGAGAAAGCGCAGAAAATAGAGACCCCGTGTACCGTATCGACAGAATCTTTTTCCCAATTAAGTGGAATTACCGTCGAGTGTTACATAATTAAATAAAAAAATTTTTCCAGAAACTTGAGCAAGACGATGACGACGAGTATCTCCACTCATCATGGGCCGACGGCAGCAGTTTGAAGAGGCACTTTCAAGGATTGAATAATATCTCATGGAAACCCCATTAAAAAAAAATAAATAAATAAAAAATTGCAACGTTAAGTCCCGAGGCCAGTTTCTCCTAGTGAGATTCGCTTCTCTCTCTCTCTCGTTGTAAGGAGAAATGAAAATAAAAAATGCTGCACACAAATTCCTCGCTGTGCGATGTGTACTAAAAAAAAATATCTCTTTAAAAAAGAAAAAATTTTTTTTTTGCCCGAAAAAATTCTAAAGCACTGTAATAATGCGTCTTGGAGCCGGTGTAAAAAAAATAATAATAATCCAGGAAACCGAAATTACTTGTGTCCCAAAATACAAAAAAAAGCTTCTTGTGAAAATCGAATAACTTAATAAAAAATTTAAAAAAATAAATAAATATATATATATAAAGTGCAGAAACCCTTGGCTTTTGCGTCTAGAAAATACAAGTCCAAGTCTAGGAAATGAATTCCAAAAATTTCTTGGAAAAAAAAGAACTAGAAAACAAAAAATAAATCTTAGGAAAAATCCAAAGTCTAGGAAATGAATTCCAAGTCTAGGATATTAAAAAAAAAAAAAAAAATTCAAGTCCAAGTCTAGAAAAATAAATAATAGTCCAAAGTCCTCTGATTAAATGTGATTTCAAATCCAAAAAAATATAATTCGATATTTATATAGAAGTGAATCAAATTTCGATGAGGGGATCAATTTTTGATGATAGAATCGGATTATAATCGCTTGTACGACCTGGAATTCAGCATAAAAAAAAATCACTAACTGAAATAATACATTGAATTTTCAAATGAAATTCAGAGAAATAACATAAGCTTTATATAAAAAAAAAATAAATAAAAAAAAAAGAATCGCATATTATTTATCGAAATAAACAATTCAAAATATTGAAAATACAGAATTCATATTGAAATACTGTTAAACTATTACTTAAGTAATTAAAAAATACTTAAGCTTGCTGTGTGATCATGACGCATCTTTTCACGTGCAAAAGTAGAAAATATTAATTGCCATCGCTGCTTAAAGGCAGTAAACACTCGCTCATTTATCATTATAATAATAATATTAAAATAATTAAGGATAAAAAATACACCTTTTTTTAATTTTCATTTCTATATATATAAATATAAAAATATTTTAATAAAATTTTTTTTAATTTTAAATTTTTTTGTGAAAAGAAAAAACTAATTTTCTCTATTTTATAAAAAATTGTTTCTTGCACATAAAAAAGTACATATTCTTAAAAAAAAAAAAATAAAAAAATACCAATCGTGTTCGCCCGTTAAATTTGAAATTTTTGCGGTTTATCAAAATTTTTACTCTTTTATTTCGGACAATAAAAAACGAATTTGAGGAAAAAATTTTTTTGAAAAATTGTGTAATTTATTATTGTAATAATTAAAAAAATTTTTAACTATATATAATATTATTTATATTTATAATTATAAATATTTGATTTTTAATATTTAATATTAATTGGTTAATTAATTAATAATAAGTAATTATTATAGGTAATTATTAATAATTATATTTATAATTAAAATTTGATTTTTATTTAATATTTCTTTTTTTGTTATTTTTTGAATTTTTATTCAGAATGATAATTATATTTATAATTATATGAGAATATAATTATTTATAATATTATAAATTCGTTAATTTTAATTTAAAAAAATTAAACAAAAAAAATCATTTGATTATTATAAATTATAAAAAATGAAACTGTTAACTGAGTCGATAATTGACTTTTTATTGAAATAGTATACTAATGGATGAAATTATTATTGCAGTGAATTAAAGTTTAAAAATCTAATATCGGTGAAAACGGGTAAAAAAAAGAAGAGGTTTTTTTTATCTCAAATTTGCTGAAACAAAGTTCACTGCCTTTAATGGTGCTCTCTCTCTCTCTCTCTCTCTCTTTTTTTTTTATTTATTATTTTCTATTATATATTTTTCATCGCCTTGTTTTTTTGAAATCTTTGTCAATCGCAGAAATTTTGAAAAATTCCCCAAAACTGCTTTTAAATATATAGTTATTGAAATTAATTTATTCATTAATGAACAAAGAAAAAAAATTCAAAAACAAATCGTAATCCCGCTTTTTACCTTTTTCATCTCCTTAAATTAATAAAATCCTTTTTTTCCTTTTTTTATTCCTATAAATTCATAAAATTCCCCTTTTTCCCTTTTTTATCTCCTTAAATTAATAAAATCCCCCTTTTACACCTTTTTATTTCCATAAATTAATAAATTTCCCCTTTTCCCTTTTTTATCTCCATAAATTAATAAAACATCCCTTTTTGCCTTTTTTATTCCCTTAAATTAATAAAATTCCCCTTTTTCATTTCTTTATTCCCATAAATTAATAAAATCCCCCTTTTTCCGTTTATGATAAACATTATAATAATTTTAATTTGAGTGAATTAAAAACGGAAAAATAAAATTGAAAATGGAAAAATAAAATTCAAATTAGAATAATAAAATTAAAAATGAAAAATTAAATTGAAAATAAAAATAATAAAATTTTAATTTAATAAAGTTAATTGAATTATTATTAAAAATAAAATTATTAATACGAAAGGGCTTGTCCCGTTTATGATGTAAATGAATAAATAAATAAATAAAATTAAAAAGGAAACATAAAATTAAAATTGGATTAGAAAAAATTTTTCTTAATGAATAAATTAATTAAATAAAAAAGAAATTAATTTAATTACTGAATGAAAGAAAACTACAAAAGAGAAAGAAAAAAAATAGTCTATAATTTTTTCCTGTTTTTTATATTTGAAAATAAAATTCATTAATGAAATAATTTCATCTATACCTTTTAAATTGTAAATTGTTTCAGCAGAAATTATTAATCGAATTGACACAATAAAATTACTATATATGTATAGATATTAAACAACCATAATGATGATCCTTTGGAAAATCATTTATTTTCTTTTCATTTTGTATAAAAAAAATTACTTTTAATTAATCATCTACAAAAAAATATTCTCTCAACTCAAGCATAATTGCACAAAAAAAACATAATTATAAAAAAAATCATGAACCACCTTATTCGCCCTATAATACATTTTTTATACGCCGAGTGCTTAGAGTTTATCGAACTATGATCCAATTATATAAGCGCGTATAAAATTGATACGCCTACATAACAGATACATTCTTTACCCGCGGGGAAAGATATTGAACTGTTTTTATGACTTAAGAACAAGTTGTCTGTGATCTACAATAATTAAAAAAAATAAATAAAAAAAATATATATATATCTAATTATTAAGTATGAAAAATCGAATGGAGTGTTGATTTCCAAATTTTCAGACTTAACTTCAAAAAAAAATTGCTTTTTCCACTGAAGTTAAGTCGATGAATTCTTTTTATACACATTTTGTCTATGTGTATCGAAAGAATATAAAAAAAAATTATTAACAAATGGTTACGAAAGTAAATATGCAAAATTTTCCTTAAAAAAAAGTAAAAGATTGGCTATATTTGAGAAAAAAAATATAAAATACAAAAAAAAAAGAATTAACTCATTGCAGTTAAAAAAAAATTATTCTAGTGTTTAGGTAGATTTATAGAAGCGCAAAAAAACACCAAAATCGTTCCTTCCACCCGCTCCGGCCGTGTATTTAATTATTGACTTTTAAATACATATATTGCAAATCACGTAAATAAAGAAAAAGAAAAAAATAAAAAAAAAACTCAAATGCTCTCCAAATATCTAAATGCACGTCGAAATGCAATTTTTAGCGAGTCTCACTGAAAGCAAAAAAAAAAAAAAAAAAATCACACGCCATTGTATCACAGAGTAATAAGTTGTTCGAGTGTTGCGAAATAATTTTTGTACCATTTTGGCACATACATACAATTTTAAAGAGAAAAATAAAGAAAAATGAAAAGAGAAAAAATACACGTATGCAATACCGTCGACTTTATATTTATGTATGTACGTTTGATTAATTGTAAAATTTTCGACATATTATTATAACGAAATTATACGATCAATCTCGTGTGAAAGTGTACATGGCTTTTTCTGCGGTTAACAAAAAGACAAAAAAAAAAGAATAATAAAAATGTTGTCAAAGCTTTTTTCACGATATCCTAAATTTTTATCATGTTGAGAAATTATTTTTTTTTGAGTAGAATAGTAAATTTTATTTTACGCATAGGAAAAAAAATTTCTTTTTTTAATTCGCTTTTGTAGTTTTTACAATTATTGACATTTTATTAATTATTATAATTATTAAGGCATTATTTATTAGATTAATTCAATTCCCTGGCACGCAGAAAGAATATTTTCATTGCCCAGCGATAATTTTTAATTTAGAAATTATTATTAGCAAATATTACTCGCGAATTGCAGTATTAAAATTCTTATTATTAATATATGCAGATTAGAAAATTTTTTATTTTCAAATACCAACTTTAATTTTTTAAATAATTTCGGATTTAAAATTTTTTAAAAATGCACTTAGTAGCTAATTATTGTTATTTTTAATAAAATTCCTCGCAGGAATTTAATTATTTTTATAAATAATAAAATTCTTAGCAGGAATTCATTTACTTTTACAAATTTTAATAAAATTCTTCGAAAAAATTCAATTATTTTCGAAAATTTTTGTAAAAGTCTTTATAAGAATTCAATTATTTACAGCATAATATTTGAATAAAATTTTTATCATAATTTCATTATTTTCAAAAATAATAATAATATTGTTTTAAATTAATTGTAAATTTTTAAACGAATAAAACACCTCATTTTCTTGAAAGACAATTTAAATTTATTAACTTTCAAACTATATTAATTTCTAAAGCTACATAATTTTTACAACTTTATACAATATCAAGTATAGATAGTGGAAGAAAAGAATAGAAAAATTTCTTTCTAAAAAAAATAACATTTCAATATTTTTTTTTGATTTCTATTTTTGTAACAATTTTTCATTTCTATTGGAAAATAGAATACATTTTTTTTCTTTAAAAGAAACTTATTTTCCATTATGCTCTGTTTATCGCTTTTATTTATTGATTATTATCAAATTAAATTTATTAGAATGAATTCGAGAAAAAATTTTTTTTTCAAAAAAACGTATTTTCTATTACTCTCTGTCGCGTGTGAAAATTAATTAACTACTGATTAATTAATAATTTCACTATTAATTAAATTAATTTATTCATAGTTCCTGGTAAATTAATTTCATTCTCATCACTAATAAGAAGTTATTTGTATTACGTGTTTATATTTTTATTTTTATAAAAATTTGGCTCAGTCGTTGAATTTTCAATAATTCATCGAAATTGTAATTTCAAAATTAGATTGAAATTTCGAAAAAAAGCGGTTCTGAAAAAAAAATAATTGTAATTATTATTATTAGGTAATTAATTAGATATTAATTTTAAATTTGTTGAATTTGGAAAATTTAACATATTTTTTGATAATTATTGAACTGCAGATCTCGGATTGACTTTAAGACGCAAAAAAAGTCGCTTTAGTCGATTAAAAATAGAAAAAAGTCTTTTATTTAATTCAGTGTTGTCACAAAAATTTTATTTTTTTCTTCCCTGACTTTTCACTGATTTCTAAATTCAATTATTCAAAAGATCAAAACTTGTATAATTTTGTTAAATAAATATTTAAATACTTGGAAAAAAAGAATTTTTTTTCCACGAGAAAATCAAAGTAAAATGATTTAAATTTGAAACCTTCTGATAATTGATCAAGATAATAATTTTTAAATTAAAAAGTTATTTTATTTCAAAAAGTTCATTTTCAAAAATTGTAATAAAATACATGAAAATAATCAACGAATTTTTTTTATAAACATTTCGTGAATAATTCCGGGAAAATTCTAATTTCAATTCAATTTTTTGGAAAATTTTAATTATTAAAAATCTTTTTAATTTTATATTTCTGAAATTTAATTGGAAAAATAATTCAAAAATAATTTTCCAAAGATTTGTCTATAGTTATTTTTTACACTTGATAAAAATCGAGATTAGTTGCATTTTATTCTAAAAATATGGTATTTTCTTGTAATATTTGAAAGAAAAGTCGAAATAGTTGCATTTTTGAAAATAATTTGAAAAAAGTTGCATTTTTGGAAAATAATTCGAAAAAAGTCATAATTATCCAAGAAGCCTGGAACTGTAGAAAAATATTCTAAAAAAAAGAAGAAAAGTGAAAAGAAAAATTATTATACAGAAAAAGAATATACCTTTTAACTATAATTATCGATAAGATCGAGAAAATCGCCTTCGGGTAAATCATACCAAAATTGACGCCTACTAATTGGCATATCCTTGACTAAATTATCGAGAATCTCCTTCTTTTTATCGTCCGGTATTCCACGGAAAGCCCCAACAATATCCGGCCTCGTAAAACCAAATTTCGTTATTTTCATTTGTAAAAAATTCAAATCAGCCAAATCAACATTATCATCATAATTCATTCGATACTTGAGAATATAACTTCCCCTCATTGCCGTCAAATATCGAATATCATTCATCAATGGCTTCGATATTAATGTCTTCAATTTTTGCGGTGACGATAAATCCTTGAATTCACGAAAATCCCAAGGCGTCAGTGATTTTAATACCGGATTTCTCGTACTCGCCTGCCTTACAGCACTCTCAAAATCTTTGAAATCATAAATTTTCCCCTTTCGTTTCAATGACACCTCAATTTGATGGAAAAATGATTCCGTCGATGGATTATGTCCCGATTCAAAATAATAAATCTCCACACATTCAGTTTCAATGTCATTTGAATTGACAATATAGAGGAGGTAGGAGAGAAATTTCCAATTTTTCATCTGATGATAGGAATCGTCGAGCCAGAGGACAATTCTTCGTTTGTCGCGTAATTCAAGAAAAAATTGATGGAAGACACTAATTATGTCCTCCTCTTGTCTACCGGCGATTGCCTCGTGCCAGAGAAAAACAATTGGTCTTATGTTACTTTCAATAATTCCCAGGGGAATGAAACTCTGATTGAATGTCACGAGTCTTCTTGTGAATATTAACGATGAATCGAGTTTCGGTAGAAGTAGAGGTTTTTGCATATCCGTTGTGTAGTAGGCCGAATCCTGATTGTAAGCAGCCTCGGAATAGAGTGTTTGATATTTATTTCTCGCCTCAGAGTCACGTTTTATGTGCATTGACCATTTGTCACAAAGATCACAATCGGGAGCAAGATTATTTTTATCGTGATTCGAGTGGTGTTTGTTGAAAGTCTCGCACAAGTCACATTCGTCAGTCCCAACTTTAGCGAAGGTAATGTTCATTTCGATGAGTAGACTTCGATAGAGTTCGTAGGAGCAAGCACGGCCTTCGGAATATTTCCGCATAAAATCGGCGTGCATATCTTTAATTGTCAAATCATTGGGAAGATATCGTTTATTTGGAAGATCGTCTCTTTGGAAATTTGCCACGCATGGATGAAAACTTTGAATGTGCTCCTGAACTGCCTTATTTCTCGATTCCATTTTTTTGGCATTCTTTATTTTTCCCCGCATATCCATTTTTGGCTCCAAAGTTTCCTTGTCGACACTGTGCATTGTATTTAGAATAAGACTATCGTTTGATGGCTTAAAACCGAGGGTGGTGAGAAAAAATGTTTTACAGACCTGTTGTTCTTTATTGTTATTGTCCTTGACGTAGTACATAAAGACGTTGTTGCGTTTTTTGTGAGTGACGTCGGAAGTACGTCTTTTGATATCGCAACGTTTCACGAGATTTAATATGAAGCATCGTCGTCTCACGAGGCCAATTAAACTCCAAAATTCTTTATTTGTTTTGTCACGCATTTCGGCTGTTATTCGTATATTACATTTTAGACGACAATTATCGCAGCCTTTGCGTACGGGATGATTTGTTATGAGTTTTTGTTGTCTCATGGCGGATTCTTCGGTGGGTGATAATTTTTTTCTCTTCTTTGGTGAATTTGATTTATTTGCTGGCGTTGCTTCGGATTCTTCTGATATTGTGTTCTCTTCATATTGATTTAGAGAGTCGTCGGCATTCAAATCGATTTCCTCGTTGAATTGTTTAAAGTCGAAATTTATTTGGTTGTCTAAATCGGACGAGAGATCGATAAAGGGATCATCTTTTATGTAAGATGGACTTGAATCCGGATCAATTTTTATAGTGGAATTATTATAATTCGATGCAGTCAAATCGGTTTTTATATTTTTTCGTTCGAGTGGCTCGGATTTGAGCTTCTTTCCTTTTTTGGGCATTTTCATTATCTGAAAGCAATTTAATTTTTTGGATTTTGAAACAATTGGAAGATTAATTTTAATTTTGTTTGTCTAATTATAATTAGACAGAAATTAATAATTTTGTTTGGTTAATTATTTAGTGTACCATTAGTAAAAACTAATTGTTATTTTTAAATATTATTATTACTATTATTAATTATGAAGTATTATTATTACTGGTATTAATTATAAAGTATTATTATTACTAAAATTAATTATAAAGTATTATTGTCACTGCAATTAATTATAAAGTATTATTACTACTATTAATTATAAAGTATTATTACTATTATTAATTATTAAGCTCTTATATTTCTAAATAATTTGATTTAATACCAAAATTGTACTAATTATTTATAATTAGCAGTTAATAAATTTAATACATAACCAAACTTTTTGTTTACTTTAATGCTTCAGTGATTTCAGTCACTTCTGTTTTCCATAACATTATATTTATAAATAAAATTAATATTTAAAATTAAACGCAGTAATTGAAATTAGTATTTTAAGCACAATTAATAATGTAATTTTTATTACATGTATTATTGTATTAATGTATTTAAAAAGACATAATTTTGTATTAATTCCAAAATTTAGAGGTTAGAATTGACAAAAGTTTTAAAACGCTAAATACTTTAATATATTCACAATTTTTTTTATAGTAAACAATTTCACTTAATAAACTAACACTTATTTACCTGAATAAATTAAAAATTCGTCATAATTTTTCTCTTCTATCGAAAGAATTATTAATTAAATTTTCTTGTTTACTTTCTGTCTTTTTTGTTGTTGAAAGGCTCTTTAACGACACAAGTGCGCAAGCTTCTCAAGTCACATTTGATTGGTTAGGAATTTAATTGGCGCACTTTTTTTAAATATAAAATTATTAAATAAATAAATTATATAATTCAGAGTAAATAACTAAAGAATCTTAAAAGTATAAATAATTTAAATGAATAAATTCAATTTTAGAAAATAGGATAATTTTAATAATTTTTTCCTTTATTAAAAATAAATTAAAGGAAAAATTAACTAAAAATGTTAGAAATATTTTTTAAATCTATTTATTTATTTAAAATAATTAGAAAAATTGATATAGTAATAGATAAATCTTATTTAAGTTAATAAACATATTTAATATTTTATTTATTACATATTTGAAAATAATATTTTTATTTTATTATTATTTATTAAATTTTAAAAAAATTTTATAATTTTTAAAAAAGAGGGAAATAAAAAATAATAGAAAATTTATGTTAAATATTTATTTGGATTTAAACAGAAAAACAATAATTGTAGAATATTTTTTTTTGTATCTGACTCCAAAATTTTGAGCTGAAACAAAAGAAAAAATAATTTTTAAAAAAATATTCTTCAAATAATAGAAACGAAAATTTTTTACATTTTATCATAGTCAGTATTGAACGAGATTGTCATCTTAAAATTCAGGACTCTAGCCAGAATTTCATCATTTTAATTAATGCAGTTAAGTAATTAAAAAATTCTTGAATATAAAAAATCCTTTTCTTACTAAAAAAATTAGTCTTTTTGATTAAATAACTTCAATTATTATAAATACAAAATTTGCAATTATGTTTGATCTTTTTTTTTTTATTATTTTTGTTATTAAATTTTGTTCAATAAATTAAATTCACCTTTAAATTAACCCAATTCTGTCTTCGTAAGAGGAAACTCCAAGTTGTATTTTACGAAAATCTGAAACAAGAAACTCAATTTAGTTGAGGAAATAAATAAATAAATTAATTTGTTGTTTGAAAATATAAAATTCAGATTAAAAACACGTTGGGAATGGGTAACATCAACATTATCAGACCCGAAAGATAAGTATCATCATTGAAAAAAGTTTTAATTATTTGAATCAAGTTTTTGGTAATTAGCTTTTTTATTCAATTCTCAATTTCCTTTTTTTCCATTTTTGTTAATTAGCTTTGTTCGTTAATTTATTTTTTTTAGTTCAATTTTTATTTTATTCACCTTTTCTCAATTTCTGCAATTACTCCTCCTGATAAGATTGCATAACTTTGCATACACCTGGAAAAAAATTTACATTTTTAGTTTTCTAATTAAGTAATTAAAGAAAGATTCTTTTACAAATAAATAAACTTCAGTTAAACACGTTGGGAATGGGTGACATCAATATTTATCAGACCCGAAAGATGTTATCATCATATTTAAAGTAAAATTAACAAATCATATTTATTTTTGAACATTAAATAATTTTCTGCTCATTGAGTATTGACTTTTATTCTCTTATTTTTAGTTAATATTTAGAAAATTAAGAAATAAATTTTGTAATAAAAGTCATAAGTTACCTGAGAAAGACAATTTTCGGCTTCCATTCTTGTTCCAAGAGCAGATCATTCGAATTTTTCCCCCTGTAATTAAAAATGGAGAGAAAAAAATTAAGTACAATAAAGAGAAGTACTCGATAAAATTAACTAATTAAAAATTGAACTCAGTACACGTTGGGAATTATTTGACATCAATGTTATATCAGACCCGAAAGATTGTATCATCATTATAATTTTAAAGTTTAGTATTTAAAATAATTATTTATTGAATACATTTTCTTTCTTATAAATTTCTCTTTATTTTTCTTATAAGTTTATAAAAATAAACTTAATTTTTAAATATATTATAAAATAGTTTTCTTTGTGTTTAGTTGTTAAATTATAAAATTATAAAAAAAATTAATATAAATAGATAAATTACCTCTTAATTTTGTAGAAACATCCAATTGTGCCTCCACAGATTTTCTCGCATAATTTCCATTGAATTTAATTTGTTAATAAACAAATCTGTAACAAAAAAATATCTTGTCTTAAAATAATGCCATAATTAAATTTGAACGTTTTTAAATAGAAATTAAATAGATATTAAAATAGTCAGATAGCAAATACAATAAGATCACGGCATTCATAGATCTTGGTGGTATGCATAGTATCATCATTAAAAGTAGAATTTTTACATTTTAGGATAGATAAATAATTTAATAATAAACAAATAAAATAAAAAATAATTTTTAAATTAACTATCAAATTTTGTCAATTGTTGCCTAATAACAATTTTTATTACCTTAAATTTTTGTCCGTTTTCAGTTTCCTCTAGAAATTCTTTCCATTCTCCCATTTTTGAACATTCTAAAATAAAAATTACAAGTCTTTGAATATAATTTAAAAATTAAGAATTTTAAATTAAAAATAAAATTGTTAAATTAAGTCAGATAGCAAATACAAATAAAATCACGGCATTCATAGATCTTGGTGGTATGCAAAATGTGTCATCATTGAAATGAGTTTTGAATATTTTATATTTTTCGTACGATAAACTGTTATATTTTCTTTATATCATAAATTTATATTTACCTCAATAAAAGAAGGGCCACTTTCCTCTCAATTAAGATTTAGAATTCTCCCAAGTATCCAGAATCTGTAATCAAAAAAATAAAGTATTTTATTAAATAACATTCAATTAGGCATTAATGATTCTTTTTTATTTTCTTTCAAATAAATCAGATTAGCAAATACTATAATGATAATCATGGCAATCATTGATATGTGTGGTTTAGAAAATCATCATTTAGACTTTATTGTTTACAATAAATTATAATTACGATTACAATAAAAATAACATTTTCATAGTAAATATTTGATTATAAGTCGATAACTTCTATTAATTAAAGAAATATTAGAATGATTGCAAAAAAAATGTTTAAGGGAATTATATTAAAAAATTATATTACTTTTGAAAACTAATATAACAATTTTAATTAAAAGTAAAAATATACTTACGAAATAATCATTGAGGTGAGAATTAGTTTGCATTGATTTTAGGATTTCATTATCCATTCGAAGATTTTAAAGCCTTTTGTCGCTTCAAGTAATTCCAGTAAAAATTTATTACATTTCATTTCAGGTGAGTCTTCATTTGGAATAATTCAAGTTGATGCAAAACACCCATTGAGCCCTTTTTTAAACATTGCATTCGCAAATTTGAAAGGATGGCCCTAAAAATATAAAAATATAATAAGTTGTCGATTCGCCGAGAATTTATACAAAAATGCTTAAAATTTAAATTCGATTTTCATTTTGCTATTATCAATATTTTTCTCGAAAAGCGATAAACTATGAATAAAAAAATTTGAAATTAATAGAAATATATAAAATATATAATCCAAATGTATATTTAATATATTTCAATAGACCAGCAATGATAATAGCAAAATGAAAAATTATTTTTTTATTTAATTTTTCAAATTTAATTTCTGATTATATTTATTTAATTTTTAGAATTTTATTTAGAATTATATTTAATATAATTATTATTCGATGTTTTATCTATAGGCGTCTAAATTCACTATATTAAGTTTTCATAATTCATGTTTTCTCTTGCTTTTAAAATTCAATCTGAATCAATTCAGATTGTGTGTATAATTAATTAGATCGTTCAAGACGATTTAGTCGCTTGATTAAATAAATTTAAATACGAAGTATTTTCAATATACGCCCTACAAGGTTTTTTTGTAGACCAAAAAAAATGGGAAGATATTTTTTCCCCCTAAATAATTGTTTATTATTTCAAATAGTTTAAGAATTGCAGCCCAGGAAGGGAAAATTAAACCCAGACAACCTTCTTTTTCAAAAATTTCTGAATCAAAATTGGTTGTCTCAGGGCAGTTGGTGTTAAATTCTGAGCTGCTTGTTAACTTTCGATATTTATTTTGTATTTATATAATAAATAATGTTTATATAATTAATAGTGTTTCAGTATTCCTCAGGTCAAAATAAGTTGAGTTCAGTGTTGAATAATATTTTTCAGGAATTAAGTATTTCAATAATTTTCAGGCATGAAGTGTTTCAATAATTTTCACGAATGAATAAGTGTTTCAATATTTGATAATAAATAATAATCTTCAGGATATTTCAATATTTTTCGGCAATCAATTGTTGCTAGATAGTTTTCAAAAATTCTTCAACTATTTTTCACAGAATAAATATTCAGAAGATGGAACATTGGTTCCACAATGCCAAAAGGCCATAAATCAGAAATTCACTCTTCATAACTAATGTATATTTGTTTATTTATTTATTTAAATTAAGTTTTAGTTTAGTCGGAAAAAAGACGTGTAAACTCCCCCCAAAAATGATACGTAAATATTATTACGTTTTTATTAAAATTTTCACAAAATTTACTCACCTCAAAAATGCGATTCATTATCAAGTAGATTCAATTAAAGTCTGTCAATGATGTCTCTTCTTCAATAATTTTCAGTGCAAAAGATGTCGCTTACAAAATAATTTCATGAAAAAAAAATTTGTATCTCATTCCAAATTTTTTTTTCTTCTTTTACGTTTCTTTCTCGTTCTAATAATTATTCGAATTAATTACTCGAAACATTTGGGAAATTTCCAATTTTTATTGGATTTTTCCAATTAAAAGAAAATTTTACAATTTTGTTCTCGTTAATTTATTTAGTCGAATTAATTAATATTGAATTGCTTGAAACATTTTGGATCATATTCCAATTTTCTTTTTTAATATAACAATTTTGTTCTCGTTTAATTACTCGAATTAACGAATTAATTACACGAAACATTTTGGATCATTTTCTTTTTTTTACAATTTTGTTCTCGTTTAATTACACGAAACATTTTGGATCATATTCCAATTTTCAATTTAGTTCTCGTTTAAATACTCGAATTAATTACACGAAACATTTTTGATCATTTTCCATTTTCTGTTTCAAATTTTACAATTTTGTTCTTGTTTAATTACTCAATTTAATTAAAAATGCATTAATTATACTCGAAACATTAACAATGATAATGTCATAATATAATTAAAAACAAATACTAATACAATTTTTTTAAAATATAAAAAAGTTGAATAAGAATCGTTTTTAAAATGATTTTAAATTGTAACTGAAAGAAGGGTTAAAAATTAAAAACAAATTTATAAACATCAAAATATGGAAATAATTAATTAAATAATTGAATAAATTATATTGCGATTAAAAAGTAAAGAAAAATTCGTAACTAAAATAATTAAACTAAAATATTCAAGGTAATAAAAATGATAAAAATGTACAATTTTAATGAAATAGAAAAGTTTAGAAATAATCTTAGAACAGTTTTTTTTACTCAAAGACAAATTATGTCATTAAAAAATTTATAATTTTCTAAATTTCATATACTTATATTATCAGTTATAAGTTAGCAAAAACAAATATTCAATTCTGCACTAGGATAATTTCCAAATAAAAATTTTACTTATCACAATTTTTTGTGAATTCACGATTAATTGTAAACAATTGTTAAAATATGTTCTCAATTAATCGAGAATTAAAACAGTGATAAAATAACAAGAAATATAGTTCCATAAATATTTAATTTATGTCTTTATTAATAAAACGAATTAATCTAAAATTGTCACATGGAGGAAACAAGTAGCACTATTAAATTTTGTGCTACAATATTATTCACATTTAATCTTACTTGTAAAGGGTTTTAATGTTTTTTTTTTAAATACTTAATACAAAACAAAATTAAACTATACATTTGATCCCTAAATATTGAAAACGTATTTCAGTAAAACCAGAGAATTATTATTCTACATGTAAAAAATTGATATTTTACCATTCAGTGAAGTAAAATATTTCTGTTAATTAATATCATTAAATAGCTGTTTTTTTTATAAATTGTTAGACGCAATTATATAAAACAATAAAGCAAAATTATCGTCTTAAGAATATAAAGAAGAAAATCCACTAAACCAAAGAATAAAATCATTTGGTCTCAGAAGCGAGGAATTTGCCAAGAAGACTTAGATTTAAATTTAACTTAATTAAATAAGTTTTTTAATTTTTAAATCAAAAAATTTCACTAAAAGTCAGTGGTGTTCAATTTTTTTTTTGATTGATACTTGTAATGATTGTTCATCGGAAGTATCTTGAATATTAAAAAAAGAATTTCACCCCCCTTGTAAGAAAAAAAATCTCGTTTATATCTCTCTCTTTTTTTCTCTCTCACAAGTAGTACAAAATACTGAGTAAGAGAATAATGATAATCGGGGAAAGTTCGATTAAATGTTTCATTGAGAAGATAAAAAAAATCTTCATATTTCTGGTTTTTTTCTTTCGTTAAAAAGACAAGTTCTCTTTTTTTAATAACGTCTTCTCTTATTGGGAAAATCGTCTTGACGATTACGATCGTTTCCACCCTGCCAACGGCCACCGCCGCCTCCACCTCCGCGGTTATTTCCACCGCCACCTCCCATTCCTCCTCCTCCACCCCCACCACTTCCTCCCATATCAACCCTCATATCCATTAAGTCCATTATTTGTCCCCGATCGTCGAAACCCCCCCGTGCGCCGCCACCACCACGATCCATATTGTTATACTGTTCCATAAAAGATTTTGGGTCCTAATTGACAAATACAATTTAATATTCAGCCAAAGGACCAATAATTATTATATTATTTGTCGCGTAGGATTTTGTTTTTTTTTAACGTTACCACGAATTAAAAATTCATGATTTGCAAGGCGAGATCGTCCATGTATGACAGCAGCATCGTCGTCAAAAATCACATAGAAAAAAAGAAAGGGGAAAATACATTGTTAGACTATTTGCAGAGAATCGACTTCAACGTTTTAGTACGATTACAGCTGAAATGCCTCTCATCTGTTTCTCGACTTTTGTTTTTAAATATATTGTAATATTTTAATTTTCTTTTGTAGGCGATTTTATATTATTTCGCCATTATAATTAAGAATACAAGACCAAGTAAATGCCCAATAATGCAGATTCAACATGAAAAAAAAAATTGTTTTTATAATCGCAGATTTTTGTATGAAATTGTTTTTAAATTAGTGAAAGATGAGTGATTACCAGGATGATAATGATTCCATTTCTTATTTCATTTTTGCGGTTCAAAATTAATTTCTTAATTTTATAGTTCAAAATTTTCATTCTATTCTAATCTCTATTTAATTGAAATTGATTTTTAATTCTTGATCCTAGAATTTATTTTCAATTTTAATTCCAAAGTAATTAAAATTGATTATTTGTTAATTAGCTAACAATTAGTTAATTAATTTACAATTAAAATTTATTTTTTCAAATTTCGGACTAAAGTTGCCACCCTGATTACTTTCATTAATTTAAAAATCTAATTAATAGTAATAAAAGCATAAAATGCTAATTCACATTGAGTACAAATAATTATTTTATAATATTATTATATTTTCCAATATAATATTATTATAACACACATTTAATTAATTTCTGATTTTTCAAATTCAACATTCTTTTTAACTCTTTCGTTGTTTTTGTTTTTTAATAATTTCATTAACTTCTCTAATAGAAATTATAAAATTATTTTTTTTAAACTAGTAAATGAACTAGTTTCATGACTAGAAGACAGTGGATGTATAACTGGTTCTTTAAAACCTAATTAAATTAATTTTATTTTTTTTAAATCACTATTATATGTTCATTAATAAACAAAATTGAAAGTATTTTTCACAATTTTTATTAATACACAATTTAAAAAAATATTGAATTAATTAAAAAATATCTTTAATCAATACTCAGTTATTTTGAAAAATATTTTTAATTAGTAATCAGTAATTAAAAGATATTTTTAAATAATATCTAATCAGTGATTAAAAAAATATTTCTAATACACAATTAAAAAAAACTATTTGGTTAATAATCAATAAACGTCAAAAAAAAATTTGATTAATCAATAATTGAAAAATATTTTTAATCAATAATTTGTCAATTAAAAATATTTTTAATTAATAATTAATATTTTTTAAATATTTTCAATTAATAATCAGCAATTACAAAAATATTTGTAATTAATAATCAATAATTACAAAAATATTTGTAATTAATAACCAATAATTGAAAAAACATTTTTAATTAATAACGAATAATTAAAAAATATTTTAAATTAAATATTAATTAGTTTTTATGAAAATATTTCTAATTAATAATTATTTTTAAAATATTTCTAATTAGTTGGATTGCAATATTAAAAAAATTCGTTTAATCGAAAAAGAATTTAATTACTCTTTAAAGAACTTATTCAACATCAAGTAATTCTTTTAAATAAACAAATTATTAGTTGTAATAAACGGTGTTAGTAATCATTTCCGACGCTTGGTTTAAGACAAGGAGAAGTGATATTGATCTTCTCAATTCTTGTGGTTTAAGATTTCTTTTGGGTGTGATAAATAATATGGCAGGTGTTTTACATTCAAAAAATAATTCTGGGTGGATTTCGTTTTCATGGCGCACACAATCGATAGTGCAAGGAGGGCAATTTATATAATTATATAATTGTTCAGTATGCTCGTAAAATTTTAAATAACGTTTAATGTTTCAATATCGATCTAATTTTTATTTATTTAAATATTGTCCATCTAATTATATGTATTTAAATATTGTCCATCTAATTTTGTTTATTTAAATATTCTTCATCTAATTTTATGTATTTAAATATTGTCCATGTAATTTTATTTATTTAAAGAAATCTCTAAATTTAATTCAGAGATTATGAATCTATAAATAAATAAAATGTCTCTTAATAGTCTTTATAAATTAAATTTTAGAATAGTTATTAATTCTCAACGTCTATAAATTAAATTCATAAGACGTTAATTCAACCTTAAAACTATACAAATTTAATTCACAGAGATTATCTCCTTAAATTTATTATAACGGTTATAATTGGAAATTTTCTTTAATTAAAATCAGAACAATCGTTCTGATCAAAATTCAGGTAAAATCCTTCATAAGGATTAATATTATATTTACCAAAACTATGGAGTCAAAATGTTTCATATTTTAAATCCCCTCCCAGTCCCCAAAAATTGTTATTTTTTTTTTTTACAAAAATCCACTGTTGTCATTTTAATTTTTCCTCCTTTTCATTTTTGTTATATAAAATAAAAAGGTTTATAATTTAATTTAATATAATCTTAAGTATAATAATAATAATAATAATAATAATAATCTTTTAAAACGTAATTAATTTAAAATTAGTACTATTTTTTTCAATTAGCTAAAGTCAATTTTTGTCTTCTTTGAAATAAACAGAAAACGAATCAATCTTTCTGGTACCGTGAAAGATTGAAATTTTATACAGTACTATTGTTGAACAATAGTTTATTTCTGTATAAAATGTTTTCTGAATTTATTCATATTTTATTTAATTTTTCTTTATTTTGTAGAAGTTAATTTTCATTTAATTGTCAATATTTCTCCCCCAATAAATAAATATTCCATATCCAGAATTAATTTTCTCATTTCTATAACAATTTTTCTAAAATATAATGGTGGTTTTGTTCCTTTCAAAGATAATAAATTAAATTTATTAATTAATTGTAATGGGAAATCGTTAATCGTCAAAATATTTAGAATTGACGAAATGGGGAATCAATTTCAAAATTGTTGCGACTCGTGGTATTAATATTTCATTAATAGAAGAAAAAAAGATTCTCGCATTTTTCTTTTTCTTTTTTTCTCATTAGAAATCTTAAATAAACTTAAACCGTACTTTTCAGAATATTACTGGTGTTTAATTTCCTACAAATATTAATTAAATGTTCAGGCGGAATTTTCCATTGTCAAAGGAATAAAATTAGCATTTGGGCATTTCTTGGTCTTTCACAAAGCCACGAAACTGCATTTTTTTGTTTGTTCTCCTTTTATGTACTAAATTAATTTTAATAATTTATTTATGTACCAATTTAAGAAAAAATGAATAAAAATTTGTTTGATTAATCAGCAGTTTCGTAGTTTGTGTTATTTATATATCAAATAGCAAAAATATAATAGAAGTCAGAGTAATCAGTCTGCAAAGCACATGGAGAGATCAAAAAGAATCTTTTAAGATGTCACAAAAAATAATGGAGGGGAAAATATAAATATTTTCCACAATAGAAATAAATTTTAAGAAGTAACAACACTTCATAGAATGAAAACAGTTCTGAAAGTATTATAAAGCTGTGTAATATTTTTCGTAGCCTTAATTTTCAGAATACACTGTTCTTTTTTATCCATTTGCTAATTAATGTTTATCAGATGATTCAATTTTTTATTGTAAAAAAAAAAAAATTCAACTCGGTTATAAAATGTCGCAGGGACATTTCAATTGAAAAATATATTCGTATTAGTTGTTAATCAGTTAATGACTAAAACTCAGTCAGTAAATACTTTCTTTCGAAAGTAAATTCGCAGTTTTATATTTCATCTTTTAAACACTTTGAAGGAAATATTTTTCCCAAAGAATTTGTTTTTTAGATGAAATTTCTAAGACATTTTAAGACCCAAGTCTTCCTTACTTTTTATGTACTTTACTTTCTAATCAGTATTTGGTTTGACACTGCAAACCAAAAACATTTTATTTTAATTTATTTGCTGAGGCAAAGATTTCGAGAAACATTTTTTCAATTGTTTCAATGGTTTTAAAAAAGGGAAAAATTGCTCCCATCCCCCAAAGAGAAGAAATTTTCTTTTAATGCGAGTAATTCTCACAGTAATCTGCTAAATGATTCTCTATAAAATTTTGAGTTTTCTAACCCGGATTAAGAAAGTAAGATCACTAGTTGACAACTCCATGTGTTAATTTAACTTTTAGGAAATTTTTTCTTCATTAAATTAGTAATAATTCAAATCTTCAAGATTTTCACAAAATGAGAAAAGCAAGTTTTGCAGACTTCATAACTCTGTCAGTATTAAACGTACATGCTTGTAAATATTTTCTTTTCAATCTATTTTTCACGTTGTTTTTCGTTTCTTTCTGTTAAAAGGGCGTCTAACAAAAGCCTGGTAAAATTTATTACTCAAAATAATGAAAAACGGATGTAAAAATTTGAAAAAGTGATTAAATATCACTAATTAAGTTATTAATGTTCAAATTTTGAACTTTCTTCATAAATGAACAATTGTCCAGAAAATTGAAATTCTAGCTGAATGAAAATTTGTTCAATAATTAATTTCTCTTGATTGTTAGACACCCTGGTTAACATAAAATATTAAGAGAAAAATAAACGCTGTAAGTCTTAGAAGACGAGAGCGTAATTGAAATATCAATTTAAAAAAAAGGAGTGAAAATTCACTAGTTTAAAAATAAAAGTTAAATTCAAGGAGGGTACATTACCATTGGCATGTTGTTTCCACCTGAAATGATATATATTTTCGTTAGTTAATTTTTCTTGAGAAAAAAAGAAAATATTCTCCCAATTTGAATATTTCTTTATCTAGAAAGAAAATTAAGGGCGTTACTCACCATCAGTCGTTCCATAGCCTTCACGGTCATTGTTTCCGATTGAATCGTAATTTTTTACTCCACCTCCACCACCGCTTCCTCTCATTGCTTGTTCCTTTTTATAAAAAAAAACATTCCAGTTAATTTTCTTGTTTTTAACGTTCAAGTAAAAAAAAATATTTTTTTTTTAAAATATTAGATAGTTTTCTTTTTTAGAAAAACAGGAAACTTACTTGCATGAACAAATTATTTTCCTGTTGTCTTCTGTGAAGCTCCTCCTCTTGTCTCCTGATACGACTCGTCATTTCTTCTTGTTGACGCCGTCTTTGCTCTTCCTCACGTGTACGAACTTCCTCGACTTGTCTTTCCTTCATTTCGTATTCACGCTTTTGTCTATCGCGATCGGCTTCTCTTAATCTTAATTCTGAAAATCAAAACAACTCTTAATCTTTCTGTTTAAAATAAGGCATAAATCTGTCTTTTTTTTAAATTAGGGCTCGAACCGATGAAATTACTTAAAAATACGGACTTTACGAAACAAAAATGAAAAATTACGGACCAATTACTGATAAAAATATAACCAGTCCAGTGATAAAATCATTATTTTATATTATAAGAATATTGTACTTTTTCAAAATTATTTTTATCATTTCAATTCAATTATTATTTTCAAGAATTTTTAACTAAAATTCTGCTCTAAATCAATTATTTTTAATAATTTTCGAAAAAGTTCTTTGACAATTTTCAAACAAAATTAATTTCAAAATTCAATTATTTCTAAAAATTTACTATTTATTGCTAGGTATTAATATTCAATTATTATCTGAAATTTTAACTGAAATTCATTTTTAAATCAATTTTTATTAGAAATTTCTACTAGAATTCAATTATTTAAATTCTACAAAAATAAATAGATAATTTATTGAATAAATGACTGCTTTTCAAAATTTAATTCTCATAAAGAATTTTATCAACAAATTTTTAAATAATTGAATTCTTTTGACGAATTTTAATTAAATTTTTAAGAATAATTACATTTTTCGAGAAATTAGATTAAAATTGCTTTAAGAATAATTGAAATTCTGCAAATGAGTTTTATTATTTATGAAAATAATTGAATTCCTTAAAATAATTCTATTATTTACGAAAATAATTGAATTAATACAAAAAATAGTTGAGGAAAATTTTTAAAAATAATTGAAATTTTGCCAAGAGTTGTAATAAAATTTTTTTTAAAAATAATTGAATTTCTGAGAAGAATTTTAATATTTCTAAAAATAATTGAAATTTTGACGAGATTTTTAAAAAAAATTGAATTTCTGCAATCATTTGTAATTTTTTTAAAATTCTACAAATTTTTTCATTCAATTTACGAACTTTTTGTGCTTTTTCAATCAAATTTACGGACCTAGTTCGAGCCCTGTTTAAATTCGTAGGTAAAATTTTCGTTACATTTTTTTTATTTCTGCCACGAAATAGAAAAGATGAAAAGAAAATATTGAATTTAATGAAATAGAAATTAATTTCCACTTACGTTCTCGCAACATTTCAGTCTCATGTTCATAACGCGCGAATTCCATTTGCGCCTCAAGTTTCTCCTCCTCCATCACCATTTCACGTTTCAAAGCCACCTCCTTCTGCTTACACAATTCGTGTAATTGCTTCCATTTTGTTCCGTATTCGTGTTCAAAACTGCCAATTTGAGCAAAACGAGGTCCAGCTTCGCGCGCTTTATAAAATTCCGGATTTTTCTTTGGTAAATTTTTATCCGGATAGCCATCGATATCGTCCTGCTGCTCGAAAGGTTCCACAACAACCGGACGTAACGATCTGCAAATATTTCAAAAATATTATCGACTGAAATTAAACTAATCTTCCGATTTTTAAATTTAAATTTAAATTTTCAATTCTTAATTCTTAATTTTCAATTTTGAATTTAATTTCGAATTAAAAATGAAATAAATTTACTATATTTTTGTACCCATTACTTTTCGGCACATGATTAGACATAAAAAGAACCTATCATGCTTCCTAGCTGGGCTAACTTCTCTATTCCCCTAATAATAGTATTTTCTATGGCACTTGCTGATTATAAAATAAATCTCGCAAGCGTGGCATCGGGGATTTAAAAATTAAATTTTTTTTCTGCTTAAGCTTACGCTGTTAAAAAGTAGCATCCATCGTTGCATTTTCTCAAAGCTGTTTGTGCACTCTGTTTACGGCAGAATTCAACGATTCCCTCGCCAGTGGATTTTCCCCTCTCGTCAACAATAACAATAGCTCGCTCGAGATCACCAAAAACACTGAATGCTTTTTCCAATAATTCATTGGACACCCAGGGCGTTAGATTCTTTACTTTCACCGCACTGGAACTGGGGGCAAAACGAACCTTAAGGGCGCGACCCTTCCTCTGACTGCCGTCTAATTCATGCTTTGCTTTTTCCGCATTTAATCGATAATCCTGAAAATAAACCAGTTTTTTGGTTAATTCGTATTCAGTGGAACTCTAGGGGAAGAATTACTCTATTCAGAATTTAATTTTATCCTCATTTACATTAAAAAATGCAGCCAAATAATATTATCATGTGATAATCAAACGGTAATTATTATAATCACTGGATAATTGTGAAGAAAAAACTTACAAAAATTATATTTAAATCAGGAAACGTTTCAACACGAAAAACAAACACGGAAGTTGTGTTGAGTTTCTGATTTAGATATAATTTTGTAAAAAAAATCCAAAGATATCATTTTTAAATTGAACAATTACCATTTTTAAGAAGGCAAAATTTTTCTCCTTATTGATGAAAATTTCCGAAACTTCGCCATGTGGAGCGAACATTTCCTTCATTTCATCTTCGGTCACGTCATTAGTTAAATTACCAATGTAAAGACGATTTCTGCCGTTGAATTTCTTTTCTGTACAATCCTGGGGCGGTAATTCGTGTGTTGGACCACTTATGCTCATTACTCGTTCCAATAAACGGTCCTGGAAAAAATTCTTCAATAAACAATTCCGTCTATTCATTTTTTATCTTTACATAGAATTAAGATTTTCAAAAAATGTCAAATTCAAAACCTTTATGAAATTCAACAACTTATAAGAATATTATTACAAAACATGAAGATATGAATCACTCGGAGTGATTGATACCTTCAAGTTTTATTATAATTGAACCGCCGGATCGTAGAAGGGCATATAGCTAATGTAATTTAAATGGGCTATATGCCCTTCTACGATCCGGCGGTTCAATTTATATCTATTAAAATAAAATAAAAATTATACAATTTCAAACTAAGATTAAATTTTTTTTTAAGGGCATTTGAACCATGATGACGTCACAGCCTTAAAACACATGCTTTGCAGAACCTATGACGTCATAATGGTTCAAATGCCCTTAACCAAATTGTAAATGAATTTTATTATTTAAATTGTATCCATTACTTTTCGGCACATGGTGAGATATAAAATAATCTACCATGCTTCCTAGCTGGATTACTTTTCTCTTCCCCGTTAATTTTTATATTAATGGCACTTGCTGATTAGAAAAAAAATCTCGCAAGCGTGGCATCGGGGTTGTCAAGACAATTTCAGTAAGAATTATATAAAAGTTATTGAAAAAGAATTAATACTTGCTAACAATGTTTATTCTAACGACTCGACCATTTTGTTGAATTTTTGTTTTATTTAATAAATTATTATTAATTTTAAAGATAATTGAAATTTTGATGAGAATTGAAAAAAAAAGTTGAACATAAGAACTGAATTTCTGCGAAGAATTTTATTACTTTTGATGAAAATAATTGAATTTTCCTGAAAGTTATATTTAAGTTTTATTTTTACTTTTTATTTCTATTTTCCATTTATATTTCTACTGTTTACTTTATATTTCTATTCAGATCAGACAAAAAAAATTTTATTTCTGATTTTCAGAGAAAATTTCGACTTTTTCCCTGAACCTAAAGAATATTCTTTAAATATTTCTTCCATTTTTGAGAATAAAAAGAAAACTTACATCCTGTGACATCATATTTCCCATTCCTCCTCTTCCTGGACCTCCGGGACCGCCGCCACCGCGACCTCTTCCTCGCATACCTCCACCACGTCCCATTCCTCCCCCCATTCCACCCATTTGACCACCACGGTCCATTCCTCCTCCTTCCATATTTTCCTCCATCATGGATTCACTCATTTTCATCTATTAACAAAAAATAAAATTATATAATCATACGTAATTACAAACTAAGATTTAATTTTTTATCAAATTTGTAAATGAATTTTTTTAAAATATTATTTAAATTGTATCCATTACTTTTCGGCACATAGTGAGATATAAAAATCTACCATGCTTCCTAGCTGGATTATTTTTCTCTACCCCGTTAATTTTTCTATTAATGGCACTTGCTGATTAGGAAAAAAATCTCGCAAGCGTGGCATCGGGGTTTTTAATTTCAGTAAGAAATGAAATTGAAAAAGAATTTAAGAATGCAATGAAAATAATTGAAAACAAAATCAGCACGTGCTAACAATGTTTATTCTAACGACTCAACCATTTTGTTGAATTTTTATTTTACTTTTATTTACATTTTTACTTCCATTGCAAGTGTTTCTTTGAAAATAGAACAAATTTGATTTAAACTGCGTAGATTGAAAGTAAAAAAATAAACTTACATTTCCATCCATGTTTCTGCCGCCTCCCATTCCTCCCATACCACCGCCCATTCCTCCACCGCGTCCACCGGAAAATCGGTTATTGCCTCCGATGCCGCCGCCTCGTCGTCCACCACGACCACCACGTCCTGGTGGTCCACCACCACCACCACCTCCTCCTCCTCCTTGATTCGAATTATCATTATTTTCAGATTTAGGTTTTAAATCCGAATTCTTTGTATCTTCCGACATGTTTTGTTTCTTATATTTCTTTCCAAAAAAACGAGAATTCGTTTTCGGCGAAGGAAAACGTGACACCGACGCCGTTAACGCCTCTCTCCTTTGATGTCCAACGATCTCTACCCCAAGGAAACTCACAGCGGAAAGAAGGAAGAACGCGCAGGCACCGGTGAAATAACCCCACAAAATCCCCCTTTTCTTTCCCCTTGTTTTGGAATTATTCTCTCCTTGACACGTGATTCGTGGACAATTTCAACAATGTCCACTCTGTCATTTCCGATTCGTCATTCCTCCGTCAAATCACTACTTGAATCAAACTTGTTTTCTTGCTGCAAACAATTAATTTCGTAAATAAATAAAATACTTATGCTAATTTCTACAAAAAGTTCAGTAAAATTTCTAGAAAAATGATAATGGAATTTGGTAATTTACTTGTGAACCTTGTGAAGATTGATTCATATTTTACTCTTGCGTCCATTTTCTAAATGGAAGTGATATTGACTATATTGTGTTGCCATGTAAAAGAGCGCTTAATTTCAAATCTGTAAAATAACAATAGTTAATTATTAGTAAGTTTCTATTGTTAATAATACTGCTAATTAATAATTGATAATAAAAAAAAATAATTGACCAGCAAATGTAGAAAAATATTTAAAAAATTCAATTATTTTTATAAATAATAAAATTCTTCAGTTGCAATTCAATTATTTTTAATATTTCTAGTAACAATTCAATTATTTTCAAAAATTTTAACAAAATTCTTCGCAGAAATTCAATTATTTTAATAAACAATAAAATTCTCCAGAAGAATTCAATTATTTAAAAAAAATTTAATTAAATTCTTTGTATAAATTTAATTATTTTCATAAATAATAAAATTCTTCAGAAGAATTCAATTATTTTCATAGAAAATAAGATTTTCCCGATAAATTCAATTATTTTCATAAATAATAAACTTCTTAGAAATTCGGTTATTTTTAATAGAATTTGAATAAAATCTCAAAAGAATTCAATTATTTTTTAATATTTCTAGAAAGAATTCAATTATTTTAAAATATTTTAAGAAAATTCTTAGCTAAAAATCAATTATTTTCATAAATAATAAAATTTTTTACAAGGATTCAATTATTTTTAATATAAAATCGCAATAAAATTTCTCGAAAGATTTTAATTATTTTCATGAATAAGAAAATTCCCCCTGTTTGGATTTAATTATTTTCAATATTTCTAGAAAGAATTCAATTATTTTAAAAAATATTAATAAACTTCTTTGCTGGAATTCAATCATTTTCATGAATAATAAAATTTTTTACAAGGATTCAATTATTTTTAATATGAAATCCCAATAAAATTTCCCGAAAGAAATTATTTTTATCAATAATAAATTTCTTCACAAGAATTCAATTATTTCTTAAATAGTAAATTTCTTCAGAGAAATTTAATTATTTTCAAAAATTTTTCCCAAAAAATTCAATTTTTTGTCATAAGAAATACCTAAATATATTAAATAAAATTTTGAATAAAATAGATAAAAAATTTACATATTGACACAAAATAATGTTAAATAAATTTCTAATTTTCTTTTTTGGCAATAATATCAGAAGACTTATTCTCTAAATTTGAATTAAATAAAATTTAAATTAATCAGAATAAAAATAATATAAAATGTCTAAATATTAATTTTTGAATTCTACATATAGAACAACAAAATCAAATAAATTCAAATTGCGAACAGACAACAAAAATATATAACGATTATTAATATAAATATTAATTAATATTTAAATAATAATAATAATAACTGATAACCGGTGATATTGAATAATTAAATAAATGTGACTCTGCACGATTAAAAAGAAGAAATTATTGAATTATTTTTCGATTTATTAATAAATGCGTGTCTACACGATACAAACCAGGGGACAACACAATTTTCGTATTGTTTATTATATACTAGTAAATATTTTATATAATACCTAGATGATTTTCCTGTAATTACGCAATGTAAACTTTATTGATTTTTCACTTTTTATTTATTTTCTTTTTTTTTTGTTCATTGGGATATCAATCGCTCAAGTTATTTCGGATCTCTCTTTTTGTTTTTATTTTTTTTTTGTTTGTCAAACTATCACAAAATTGATTGCTGGTAATAACAGCCACACCAGGTGCTTCTGAATTCTTATTTAATATATAGTTCTCTAAACAAATGGAACCCTCTGATTGAACACTTGTACTTTTTTCTACATTCTAAATATAATTTTTATAATCACTACGAGAAAATTGTTAAACATCGACAAATACAAATTTATCCTAAGAACATATACTCTCTCTTCTCTTCGAATGTATTCATCGTCTTCTTCTTCTTCTTCTTTTTTTTGTCTTTTATTATATGAAAAATATTTTTTTTCCCCTTTAAAATTGTTTTCACTTTTTATAAAAGCGATGTGTGTGTATTTTTTTTTCTTTTCTTTTTTTTTAAGACTATATAAGTAAATGCTTCTCGAAATTATTTCAGAAGACACCTAGTAGGCAACTACCGTCTTTATTATTTATTAATTTTTTTTTTTGCAAAGTATAAATTGCATATTTATCATTAAATGACACCATAATATTATGCGCTGTGATAACATATACAATGAGACACCATAATTGTTCACATATTAAGAATATATGTCTAAATAGTTTTTTTTTATAATTTTTTTTCCTTTCCTCAGTGCTGTACGAAATTTATTCAATAATTCCGGTTAGTATAATCTTTTTTTTTATAAAATTAATTTAAATTGCCTGAAATTCCATTTCAGATTCTTCGAGAAATATTGACTATATAATTCATATTGAATCTGGTGATGAAAATTTCTCGTACATCACTGGTTTATTTTTTTTTTCTCACATACTGCTGATTTTTTTTTATACTTTATAATCCCTTATTTGACGCGTTAAAGAATAACGGCGTAAATTATTTTTTAATAACACAATAGTAGCAGTACACGAGAACCTTATTTAAAATATTCGAATAGAATAAATAATTTTTTTTTTGTTTTTTTCACTATATTTACATATGTCGGATTTTTCATTCTAAAGCATTCAAACCCATATAAACAATCGCGTAAAATATTCAGACACACGTACAAAAATTCTATTATGCATTGGTTCAGTTTTACATTAGTGCATTTAATTTATTTTTTTAGTATTTTTCATTTCAATCATTATAACGTAGCCAATCATTAAAAGAAAGACAATTTTTCTTTGCCGATATGTTACATAATAATAACAACATTAAAATTAAATATCAAATTAAAATCACAAGTCTTTCGTATGGTGACTGCACTACAAAAAGGGAAACAAATGTCTCGAAGGAAAAAAATTCACTACACAAAGTAATTCTCTATTTTGTTTTTAAATTTAATTTTAATTTAATTCTAATTTAATTTTTCTTTCATTTCCACTTTATTTAATTTTATTTTCATTTTATTTTCATTTTGTTTAATTTTCATTTAAATTAAATTTAATTAAATTTAATTTTTATATTATTTAATTTTTGTTTCATTTATGTTTTAGATTTTATTTTCGCATTCAAATTAATTAGACGCGAAAATAAATATTTTATTATTCGTTTAAAAAAATTTGTTTCTAATTAATGTAATTAATTTCATTAATATAATTAGTATAATTAATATTAATATAATTAATATAATTAATAATAAAATTATTAATCAAGAACAATTATTAATTAGCTATATTTGTTTTTATTAATTTAGTACTTAATTGATTAATCGGATTATCAATAATTGTATAATTGATTTTAGTCGCCTAATTAATTTATTTAGTTGCCTAATTGATTTATTTAGAATTAAAACATTAAAAATTATTAATTATAACTAATAGTTGAATTGACTAAGTTAATTAATTTATTTGGTAGTTGGAATAAAATAAAAAAAGATAGAAAAAAGAGGATAAAGAAAAAAGAAAAGATAGAAAATTCGTAATCAATATTGAAAAAACTTAATAAAACGTAAAAAAAAATTTTTTTTAAAGTTTCCCTAGAAACTAAATAAAAATTTTTAGAGGATGAATTTTTAAATAATAATTGCGAAATTGTTCGAGAAATTTTATTAAGATTATATTATAAATAATTGAATTCCTAAGAAAAATTTTATTCTTTAAGGAAATAACTGAATTCTTTTGAGAAATTTTATTATTTATGAAAATAATTGAATCCCTGAACAGAATTTTAATATTTACAAAAATAATTGAATTATTGCGAAGAATTCTTAAGAAGATTTTTAAATAATTGATTTTTTTGGGAAAAATTTATGCAAATTCTATTTCAAATAATCGAATTCTTGTAAAATTTTTATTATTTATGAAAATAATTGAATAATTAATTAATTTGGTAGTTAAAAAGAAAAGAATAAAATCCGAATAGATAGAAAAAAGAAAAGAAAAAAAATTCATAGTCAATATAGAAAAAACTTAACAAAGCGTAAAAAAAATTAAAACAAAAACTTTTCCCTAGAAACTAAATAAAAATTGTTTAATTTTCAATTCAATTTTTCTAATTAATAATAAAATTTATAAACATTTCTAAAGTGAAAGACATTTGTTCCCCAAATTATTGAGAACACATTTTACAATTTTATCATCACATGCGATATGGAAAATAGATGTATATATATATTTATTTTTGTGAAAATTTTGCATACCGTTATTACAAGTAGCGAAAGAAATACGCAACTATGAATTTATTATCGAATACTATTTGATAAAGTTTAAATTCTAGTTTGGTATGGCACGAGTGGTCAACTCAATAATTCTGAATTTTCATTACATAGCCCTTTCTTTTTTTTCTCTCTCAAATATATTTTTCTAGTATAGAAAAACAAAAAAGCTACTTTTTTTTTTACTTGATTCGATAGAGATCGGCAGCAATGACTTTTAATTATTATTTTTTTTTGTTTCTTCATTTATTTCTACACATCATTACATAATAATGTATTCGAGGGTATTTTTTTATTTTCCAGGTCTGTGTGTCACTTTATTCCAACTATACATACATATATCTCTCCCATTTTTTTCCTCAAAAAAAAAAAAAAAAACGAAGGCCACTGTAATTCAGAAATTTACTTAAAAATGCTAAATTGTAATTATTTTTCTTTTATTCGATGTTTTATCGTTTTTTCGAATGTGAATTTAAAAAAGTAATTATTGTAATTAGTATTTGAAAAATTAGGCCTGTTTGAGGTTTTTTTTCGTTTAGTTCTCAAAAAAGTTATTTTTCTTTTGAAATTCGCCTTGTATTCATTTCGCCTTTTTTTGATTTTTGAGATCAAGTGAAATTTTTGACAAGGTGTTTTTAAAAAGACTGACAACTTTCTTTCTACACTTTTTATTATGTACAGTTAAAGAATAAAATTAGAAAAAAAAAATTTGTGCCGATTCTTACTAAGACAAGTAACTGAGTCTTTTTCAATAAATTGTTGAGAGAAGGAAAAGATTCGATAATTAAATTACTATCAGAATTTTCGATATTAATAGATTGTTTATCAGAATATTTTTTCGTTTGTGAATCAAAATCATACTTAAAGTGACACAGGCACAAAAAGGCAGCTTTTGAAAATTATTTTTTGCCCTAACTTTCAGAGATTACGTATTTAATAAAAAAAAACAATTTTCGTACTTTAAGTGGAGTTTACTCAAAATCAGATCTACTTCTCCTTTGATTCTATATTAATATCAATCAATGTCGTGAAAAATAATATCATTATGTGAGATTAGGCAAGAAAGGATCATTTTAGGCCTTTTTTTCAAAAAGCGTTTTTAGATCTTTTTTTTAAAGCTTTTCAGATCTGTAGACTAATTATTGAGATTTTTGGAATTGATCTCCACTCTCGGTACTAGTTTCCTTTTTTTTTTGAAAAAAGAGAATTTCAATTTTACTTTATAATCTATGCAATTCCAAAAAACATAATAATTCCAATGATCACAATTTACTAATGATCCCTAGAGATTTCACTTTGCAGTTGTACATTTTTTTTGTCATGTTATTTGCTTTGTATTTGTTCATTTATTTTTTTTTTGCCATGCTTAAACATTATAGATGAGAAAATAATTTGTTTCGTTCTTTATATAGCAAGTTCTTTTGTTTTTATATCGGTAAAAGATGTCTCATGGACCTCTCTTTGTTTTTCTTTCTTTGAATATTCCTTTATCACCATTTATTATTGTCTAATTAACTTCAAAAGTGATTTTTCAATTAATCATTTTAAAAGTTAATCAGAAAGAAGCTCTAAAGTAATATTTTTTTTTAATAAATCATTGGCTCTTAATTTGTGCCCAAATTTTGTGAAAATATGATAATATATATACCTTTTTTTGCGTCAACTTTGGTTTCACTTCATTTCTAATCCAAAAGAAAATTTCTTCAAGTTATTAAACGTGGACTGTGCAATCCTTCAACTTGAATATCTATCGGTGGACAATGATGAGTATCCGGGGGACCCCAATCGTGTAAATTTCCACTATTCGCTAATCTATGTGTTAATCGATGTGCTATTGAGAAACCACCGCTTCCTTCCAGTTGCGTTAGTACTATTATTACTTGCCTGAAATTATTGATTAATTAAATTAATATTAAAATCAATATTAAAATTAATATTAAAATTAATTAATAGAAAAATGAATTAATACTAAAATTAATAAACATATTTGATATTAAAATGAATTAATATTAAAATTAATTTTCTCTATTACATAAAAAGATTATTTAAATGCGATTTTGTTTTTATTATTATTATTGTAAATTTCGTTAATTCAACCTGTGAAGAGGGGGAACACTGTCGGCAGTTCTCAGTTGTCCTCTTGTTGAAACAACATTATAACTCTCGTGACAATCACATTTTACATGAATCCATTTATTCACGTGACGATTCTCAACCATTACGACTAAACCCGCCCAGCCTTTTGTCAAATAATAGGCAGTCATTCCTTCTCTACCCTGAAAAGAAGAGAAAATAAATTTTATTCAAAAATTTCTTCGAATATAAATAATAATTAGAATTAGGGTTGTTACAAAAATTTAATTTTGTCTTTCCCTGGAAATTTCTGATTTTCAGACAGAATTTTTAACTAAAATTCTTCTTTTAATTTAACAAAAAAAAACACAAAAATTCAGAATTTTGTTATGAATTCTATAAGAATTTAATTTTTTCCCAGTACCTTTAATAAAATTCCCAGACTTTTCCTTGATTTTCCCTGACCAATTCTACTTTTCCTGACTTTTGTGGCAACCCTGTACAATTATTTTAGTAACAATTCTTTTACCTCGTGTCGTTGTCCTTTAGCAAGTGTGAGACTTATAATCGCATCAGCCAATACAAAAGCAGGCGGTGAAATTTGTTCAACCAACAATCTCTTTGAACTGTGAATAGCCAAAACGTATTCTGGATAACTTGACGTATCCTCCATTCCCGTGTGCCAATGATTAAAAGCTAGACAAACGACAATATACAAATCCCTCTCCAACATTTTGTGACAACCGACGAAACCACGAACTTGTCGTTTACTGTGCTCCACCAAACGACCCACTTCCGGAGCTGCTGGCGATCGTGTCCGAAAAACAACGACACACAAATCCAATTGCGAGCGTTGCGACTTTTCCGAATTTCTGCAAAAGAGAAATGAAATTAAAACAAAATATAAGATCCATTCTATCACTCAACAATTTTAATTTCAACATTTTCTAAATTATTAATATGAATTAATAATAGTTGAATAGTAAAATGTTGAATAGTTTCATAGTTTTAATTTATTTTCAAAAATGTTTCACCAAATTTTTCACAAAAAAAAAAATTTTCACCAAAAAATAGAGATTTTTGATTAAATTACCTCTGACCCTCTTGAAAGAGTGTGAATTCCGTTTCAGTCGGCTCGAGAACAGTCAAAAGAACACAGGACAAATGCCTCAATGACGAAAGTGGCGGTAAAGTCCCTCTCAATCTCACCTCACTCCATCCAACTCTAGTTTTACAAATATCAATACAATCAAAATAGCGAAGAACATCATCGAACGAGATCCAAAAAACACCATCCGAAGCACCATGTGGCATCAGCATTTCCCTCAATTGCGGCGTCCAAATTGGACTATCATCAGACCAATCGCCCTTCCAACTATAATGACCCCAAGGATTTCTCAAGCGCAACAATCGTATTCCCTGTACATCGCGAACATCAAGAACCGAATACGCGTGTCTTGGTCTCAGTCCCTTTCGTTGATATTCCTCCTCATCAACTTTCATATTACCACCACCGCAACTTGCTCCCATTAAAAACATTGCCTGCCTCGATGACAATAATTGCGCCCAAATTAAATCCTTATCCAATTCATCCTCACTTGGCAATGCCGACGGCTGCAGGGGAACACTCTCGCATGGTGCTCCGGTTAATGTTGCCAATCCTTCGATAGCACGTCCCGACACCAATGCCTCATAACAGCCGTGAATTTTTGCCACCGCCTTCTCAATCAAAGGCACCCAAAGTTGTTTTCTCTTTGCCTGTGAATAGACGAGATGTCCCCTTTTATCGCACGGCAATAAATCGTCAACCAATACTGTTGTCCATTTTCCATCCTTACAAAGACGAACTTGATATGCACCCTCGGGACATGTTTCTCGCATTACAAGAACACGTTTCACCAGTTCATCACTCTCGGCAAGTACGGCCAATGCCGATAGTAGCCAACAATTACCTAAAACACCTTGCGATATATCGGATGGCAAGGGTGTTCGAAAAACTGCCCATGGCAATCTTGAATCAACACTCGAATCGACATTAATCTGATGTGGCCTTCTCCATTGAACCACGTGATTATCCTTGGTGTCAGTTGGATTATAATAGAGTGACTTTGGTGCCGGGGGAAATGAATCGTCAACAAATGGCTCATTCGTCTGGAAAGAAAAGAGAAAACAATTTTTTTCTTTAAATAAAAATCACAGATTATAATTATATAAAAATATAATTCATAGTTTTAAATTTATTTTTCAATTATATACAAATTATTTAATTTTTACGCTATAATGCTAATATTAAAATTATAATTTAAATTTTTAAGTGAAATTTATTATTTAATCAATTTTTATTAGAACATTTTTCGAGAATTCAATTATTTAAATACAAAAATAAATAATTCATTAAATAATTGAATATTTCTTGAAATTGAATTTTTATGAAAAATTTTATCAACATTTTTAAAAATAATTTAATTCTTTCGGCGAATTTAGAAAAAAAAAATTAAGAATAAATGCAATTTTCTATCATTTTATTTAAAATTGTACCTATAAAAAATAATTGAAATTCTGCGATAAGCTTTTGTTATTTATAAAAATAATTAACATCTTGCAACGAATTTTATTAAAAATTTGTTTAAAGAATTGAATTCCTGTAAAGAATTTTATTTGTGAAAATAATTGAATTCCGGGGAAAAATATTATTATTTATGAAAATAATTGATTTCTTGTGAAGAATTTTATTTTCAAATTATTTAAATAATAATTGAATTTTTCAGAATTTTTTAAAACTTTTTCAAAAAAATTAAATTTTATCAAGTAATTTCATTAAAAAATTGAAAATAATTGAAATCTTACGAAGAATTTTATTAAATTTTTTTCTTTAATAATTGAATTCCTGTGAAAATGTTTATTTTTGAAAAGAATTGAATTCTTGGGAAGAATTTTGTTAAAATTTCTTAAATAATTAAATTGCTTCGAAGAATTTTATTTTTTACGAAAATAATTGAATTGTTTCGAGGATTTTTACAAACAATATATGAATATAGATATACGATTATGAAGTTTTAAACAATTCAAATATTTAGCAATTATTAAATTAAAATTCTATCCAAATCCCATCTTTTTTCAATCTCCAACAAAATTCTTTAAAAAATTGAATTATTTTCAATTTAATTTCATTATAACTTCAGTTAATTTAATCATTTTTTAATAACATTTTTTTAGAAATGTTAAAAAAATTCTTCGTAAAGATTCAATTATTCTTAAAAATTTTCATAAAATTTTTCAAAAGACTTCAATTATTTTATAAATAATAAAATTCTTCGTAAAAATTCAAATATTATTAAAAAATGTGAGAAAATTCTTTTCAATAATTTAATAATTTCCATGAATAATAAAATTCTTTACAAGAATTAACTTATTTTCAAAAATTGATAAATTTTCTCGAAAGAATTTTATTATTTTCAAAAATTTTGATAAATATTCTCAAAAAATTTTATTATTTTCAAAACTTTTAATAAAATTCTTGGAAACTATTCAATTATTTTAAAAAATAATACATTTCTTCAAAAACATTCAATTATTCAATAAATAATTAAACTCTTACCAGAAATTCAATTATTTTTAAAAATTGTAATAAAATTCTTTCCAAAAAAAATCTTTCATAAATATGTAATACAATTTTTTACAAGAATTCAATTATTTTCAATAATTCCGGTAAATTTTGTCGAAAGAATTTTAATAGAATTCTTTGAAACCATTCAATTATTTTAAAAAATTTCAATAAAAGTTTATGAGAAAATTGAATAAATTCACATTTAAAATTGTAAAAGTTATTAACGTAAAATAATCGAAAATAAAATACTTTCTAAATTTAAAAAAAAAATTATTTGAAACTTATACAATTTTTTAAATAAATAATTAATTATTTTTAGTTTCTTTAAAACAATTGTGATTTTCAAAAATTTTAGTTTAAGACCATCTGAAATTTAATTATTTGTAGATGTTTTTAATTAAAATCTTTTCTAAGTTCACTATAATTAATAACTTTAAGAAAGTTATTTTCGAATTCAAGTTTTTATAGAAAAAAGATTTAAATTCAAAAAATTGAGGTATTTAATTAAAATTCATTGTCATAATTCTAGAAATTTGATAGTATTCCATTACTTTTAATAAAATTCCTTGAAATTTTCTTGATTTATAACAAAAAATTTTGAAACTATCTAAAACATTTTGTTTTACCTTAAAAAATTTATTATCAATATTAATTGAATCTAGAATTTCGAAAATTGTGTTCAACTCTGAAAATGTTAAAAATTATATTCAGAATCAAAATTGATAGTGTTTACAGTGTTGAGCTATTTTGGAAATTTACAATTCAATTAAATTAATAATATTGTTAATATTAAAAATTAATTAAATATATTAACTTTTATCAAGATGAGAAATTACTTGATTCTGAATTTTTGTTAACGTCTTTTTTATTTATTTGATTGATTAGTTAAGAAATAATGTTAAAAATTAATAAATGAAATTTAATGTAACTCGAGATAATTATGTTATTGAAAAATTGATTACCTCTTTACAATATAAAACTATTCTCTCCCATTTTTCAAGCGCCTCTCTTTCTTCGATTTTTCGCAAATTTTCCATTACAACACTTTCTTGTCTCTGTATTCGAAGAGTATTATTTCCAGGCTCGCTGGGTCGAGGTCTGTCATTCGGCACTTGCGACAAAATTTTCGAACTCTGACACATTTCACAATTTCCCTGTGAACTTTTATTTTCGAAAGTGCACAACTTGCATTGCCACTGAAAATAAAAATACAGAATTATTATTTTTTTTATATTAAAACATTGATTAAAAATTATTAATCACGGGAAAAAGAATTAATAACTGAATTAATAAAAATAGACTATTAGTCTTGCTTTTTGGCAAAATTATATTTGTTGCTCTAGAAAAAAGAAATAGGGAGAGGAACAATTTTCCAAAATAAAAAATGTTTTCGTTCCCTATTTCGTGTACTATTTAATATGTAAAGCGTGTATTTTTCTTATGTAGGCGAATTTTTTGTACTTGAATAAATTCGTCTCTTGTACTGAAAGCTAGATTTTTTTTTGCAAGTCAAGCTCAAATTTGACGAATTTTAATAATTACCTGTGCAATGCCGGGTTCCTTGGACCTAATGTACTTTTTATCAACGATACCAGATCCATTTCTCTTGACAGAATTCCTATGCCTTGGAGTGACAGCTTTTTGACTAGTAGGCGTGGGACAATTGAGCCTAGGACTGGGACTCCTCTGTGCCAAAAGTCTATTCTCTCGTGGGGTTTCAGTGAACGATTGATTCTTACAGGCATTGCACGTTATTGCTGTCAATGGATTTCTCAATGTACAAGATTGACAAACCCAACTCTCACTTTTTCTCAATGTTGGATCATCTAAATGTGAGACACTTCTCAATTTTGATCCACCGCATGCTTCGCACGTTGTTTTCGTTGATGGATTCAATAGTGTACATTTCTTGCATGTCCAACCAGGACCTAATTCTAATAAATCATCGGAATCTGATTCAGTGAAATAACCAGTGGGTCTCGATGGAATATATCGTACACTATCTCTAGAGACGACAATTGGCGAGTGCGCTTGTCGTGAATTGACACTATCTTTCGTGACTGTGATTAATGATGGCTGTGTTAATGATGGCGGTGATCGTGATGAACCACAAATGTCACAACCACCGGACCATAGGGGATTATAGGCGTAAGAACACTTTCGACATGTCCACATACGTTTTAGAGGACTATTGGCAGTTCTGTCGTCGATGGGCGTTGTTGACGCCTCGGCTTGTTGTGATGATGCAACAATACGTTGTGTTGTCAGTGGATGATTCAATTTATTGTTCTGTTTCTTTGGTAATGGTGGGGGAATATCGGGATCGGTTATTCCAATGTAGGAGTATTTCGGTCGTGAATTGAAGGCAGCTGAATGTGGTGGCACTTCTGGTGGTTCCTTGTCATTCAGGCTCCTGCGATTTACAACTTTCCGTTGTGTTATACTTGTGACGGCATCAATTTCCGAGAATGAACGTCGATAGCAAGGTGGACCGGCTGATGTTAGTGCTCGTGTGTCCCAAACGGGAACGCTGATGACAACACCGCTACAGGGCGCTGGACTTCTTGGCGCTTCGCAAGCTTCACATTGCTCCAAACCAGAAGAATTGTTCAATGTACAATTATCACAGCTCCATAGGGCGTCGTCCTGATGTTGCTCGGATACGAGGAGACTTGTCGGTCTCAAAAGGACGTTATCGGACAATTTTTGCACAACCGAACCGTTTGAGAGTGAACGACTGACTTTGGATTTAACTCTCTCGTACATGGATGGACTGTGACGTTTCGGTGATCTTTGAGAGGGATCAACATTGTCGACGACGTATGATGATCCTGATGGATCTATTCTCTCGGTTGGCAGGGTCCATTCCTCGCGATTATTGCGTGTTCGTTCGCCTGTTAGCTGGGCCATTCTTGGAATTTCTTGAAATTTATTATCTCGACGTGTGGATATTTTTAGTGTATTTGTACTGCTGTCGTGAACACGCGTTACGAGACCGGTTGTCACTTTTGTCACGAGATCCAAACGTCCCACTTGCTTTAGACTATTGCCATTTTTACTCGGTTCGAGTCGCTTGCATTTTCTTGCGCCAATTTGCCGTCCATGGGTTTCAATTTGGGAGCTCGCTCCACAGGCAGTGCAAATTGCCGTTGCTGTTGGATTGTTTCGTAATAGGCAACGAATGCAGGTCCACTTGGTGACGAGCGACGGCAATGATGGCGAACGCTTGAGAACACCAATCTCTCGCCCTGTTTCCGACCAAGAACGACTCCTCAATCTCTTTTTTATCACATTGGACTTTGATTCTTTTTTCTCCTTACTGCAAAATAATTAAATTAAATTAAAGTTATTAAACTAAATTAAAGTTATAAAATTAAATTAAAGTTATTAAATTTATCACTAAATTAATTAAATACTTTTCTAATGCTAGAAAAAAATTCAAGAATTCGCTAAGAAAAAATAGATGAATTCGATCAGAAAAAAAGGGAAAATAAATCCAGGCTTCGCACTCGATAATTAATTTTAAAAAAAGAAGCTTTAAGACTGAAAAGAAGTAGTAAAAAAAGTAGCTATTGGAAAATTAAATTTAAAGACTAAAAAACTCGTTTTAATCGATTCGAAAAAATCACAAAAATTTGATTCTGTATTTCCCTGAATTTTTACTGATTTCCGTAAAAAATATTCCCATCTTCCTCTTAACCTCAATTCTATTTTCCTAAAATTCAACTATTTTCCAAACCTTCAATTAGAATTCCACAAACATACGAGTAATAAAATTTAAAACTAATTTTTAAAGGTACAAAAAAATAAAATTCTTTAAAATATAAAATTTATTTCAACTAAATTTGAGAAAATTTCCATTTAATTAGAAATTAAAATAATTTTTTCAAATATTTACGCGAATTTAAATCTTATCTTGGAAAAATGTTAATTGCAGTTTTTCGAAAGACTATTTTTTCTGCATAATTACTAAAAGAAATTATTCAAAACTTGAATAATATATCTGTTAAATAAATATTTAAATACTTATTTTTATTTATTTTTCCAAAGAAATTGAAATTTTGAATAATTTTAATACAAAAGCTTTTTGAAATTATATTATTACTAAAAATCACAACTGTAATTCTTTCGAAATTCAATTATTTTTAATTTTTTTCGAATTTTTAAATAAAACTAATAAAAACTTTAATAACTTTTTAGAAAAATGATAAATTGGTAATTTTTTGAAAGTAAATATCTAAATATTTTAAGTTTTATGACAATTAAAATTTTTGAAAGATATCAATTTATAAATTTTTTTAAATTTCATTTTTTTCTGAAAAATTAAAATATAACGCTTTGCACATTTAATTATTATCTAAAATTTTAACTGAAATTCATCTTTAAATAAATTCTTATTAGAAAGTTCTACGATAATTCAATTATTTAAATGCAAAAATAAATAATCGATGGAATATTTGATTATCTCTTAAAATTGAATTTCCTTAAAGAATTTTATCAAAATGTTTGAAAATAGTTCATTTTTTCGAAATAGTTTAATACAATTCTTAAGAATTTCTTAGAAGAATTCTATTATTTGTGAGAATAATACGATTATTTCGATGAATTTTATTCAAATATAGGACAATAGTACAATTATTTAAAATAATTTAATTTGAAATTTAATTGAAATTAATTGAATTCTTATAAACAGGATTTATCTAAAATTTTAAAAATAATTAATTTTTTTCAACAAATTTTCTGGTGAATTGTATTTTCATTAATTTCGTTCCTATAAAAATTTTATTATTTTTGAAAATAATTGAATTTTCTTGACGAACTTTATTAAAAACTTTTTAAAATAATTGAATTTTTTTTTATAAAAATTTATAAAAATAAATGAATTTTTTCGAAAAATATTAAAATTCTTGAAAATAATTAAATTCTTTTTAACTTGTGAAGAATTTGAAAAATTATAAAAATAAATGAATTTCTTAGAAGAATATTAAAATTCTTGAAAATAATTAAATTCTTTTTAACGAATATAATTAAAATTGTATTGAATTGAAAATAATTTAATTGTTATAAAGAATTTTAACAAAATTTTTGAAAATACTTTATTTTTTTCGAAGAAATTTAAAAAAAATTTTAAAGGCAATTCGTATTCTTTCGAAGAATTTCCATAACATTTTTAAAAATAATTTAATTTTGTCCAGAAATTTTATTAAAATTTTATTGAAAATAATTGAATTCCTGCGAAGCATTTTTGTTTATTAATAAAAATAATTGAATTTTTGATATTTTTTAAAATACATAAGTGAATATCTGCGAGAAATTGTTTTATTTATGGGAATAATTGAATTATTTCGAAGAATTTTTTTATTTTTTTAAATAATTGAATTCCTGCGAAGAATTTTATTATTTATGGGAATAATTAAATCCTTGCAAAGAATTTTATTATTTTTTAAAATAATTGAATTTCTACAAAGGATTTAATTATTTATTAAAATAATTGAATTCTTGCGAAGAATTTTATTCAAATTTTTCAAAATAATTTAATTTCTTCAAAGAGTTATATTAAAATTGTTGAGAATAATTTTTTTTTTTAAATTTAAACTTACTTTCGGATTTAAAGTATTGAAAGTTCTCAATAAAATTAAAATGAAATAGCTATTAGTGTGACGAATTGTAACAAATTGTCACAATTTGTCGCAATTTCTTTACAGTTTTTGTGATAATTTTATGAAATTCACAAAATTGTAAAAAAAAAAAAGTTATTAAATAGTATCATATCGGGAAAAGATAATAAATACTAGATTTTAGGAGATGAATGCAAAGCCTGTAAATCAAAAGAGAAAATTAATATCGAAGAAAAAATGTGACGAGAGAAATAATTTACCTGAGAGGATGGAAAGTTTGTGATGAATGACGAATTGCAGGAACGGGTGGCCGCGACTTCTTCAAGGACAATGGAACTTCGGGAAGTGAATTATTCCCAGGATTACGAAGTCGCGGCGGAGGCGTTGGTGGACTCGAGGAACGGGATGAGGAGATTTCGTTGCGACCCTCGTTTCTCGAATTATTTCGTGAATTAGCGTGTGAATCGCACGCCGTTTGATGATGCCATGTTTGAAATTGATCACTTCGGACTCGGGATAATCCGCACCTGGCGCATTGCGCGCTTTCGGTCGGATTTATCAGAGAGCACTCCGAGCAATGCCACTGAAGCACCGAAGCAATCGAGCCCATTCTCCATTCGTAGACATGGCTCTTCCTCGATCACCGGATTCGGACTTCTCGCTCAATTTTTCAAATGGCGCTGAAAAAATCAAATTAAATTCAAATTAAATTAAAAATTAAAAATCATTCAATCAAAATTAAAAATATCTTTGAGTTTTTTTTATTTATTTAGGTTAACACAAAGGAAGCGACCACTAATTTAAATATTCGCTTTCCAGTGCAAAATGGTATTTTTCTAAACTTGTAATATTGAAAATAATTTGAGAATAATGTAAATAAATGAATTGTAAAATTAAATTCCCCAATTTTAATTAATAGTGATTTAGTTCACTTTAATTGGTAAAAAATTTCAATGAAATGAATGAAATGAATTAAACTTTCGATTGAAGCAATTAAACCTTAAATTAGCCCCAACAACTATTTCCTTCACTCTTATTTCTTTTTGTTGACTTATTTTTGTTTCTTTTTCCTCTCTTACTGTTTGTCTTTTTTTTACTCTTAATTGTCTGCTTACATGACTCAAAATTTTCAATTGTTTCTTTATTGTCTGAATATTTTCAATTATTTCGTAATATTGTTCCAAGTAATTCTATTTTCTTTTCTTGTAAAATTTCTATCAAAGAGCACTGAATAACAATAATAATAATAAATATGTTCCCGTTTTTTTAAAATATCAATTATTTATGTTTTCTTTTGTGGAAAATGTAAATAAAATTTCAGAATATTAGAATAGTCGAGGTTAACACGGGAATAATTGATTCAAGTAGATTATGAATATTTGACAACAAACACTGTTTCTTTGGAATAAATGGAATAAATTTAATTACTCCAAAATAATAACAACTCTTGAATTTATATGTAAACATACAAGTATAAAAAAAATCGATTATCGAATAGAATGGAATAAAAGAATATAAGCAGTGATTTTATAAAACTAGGAGTGATATGGTAAAAATATAATTTTTTTTCATATTATATTATAAAAAAATCGAACCTGACAGCACCGTCCTCAATTCTGTTGCTGCTTGTCGCTAAGCGCTATCTCCAACACAAATTTCTTCACTTTTGGAACAGCCACGAACTTTATTTTATTCACAAATGAATTTCATTGATTTATTGATACTGTTTGTGTTGTGAGAACGATGGAAATCGAGTCGATGAATAAGAATTTATGGGAACAATGTCCAAGAGAGAATTTGACGGTGAGCACTGATGGCCCGCCATCCTTTAACATATGTTCTCTGGAGGCCATTTTTTCGTCCTGATTCACCAAGAACACTGATGAGGATAACATAACCATAAAGAAAATGGTTTTTTGTATACTTTTAAATTTTCATATTGATAATCTTGATTATTAATCACTGACAATCACATTTGATATAGGGAAAATTAATACTTTATGTTCTTGACGATCTCACGCTGAAAAAGACAAAGAGCCAAGACTGTTTTTAAAAACAAAATTTACACTCTACGCATGCGAAGTAGTAGTTATCAACAAATCAACCATAAAAAAAGGCCATATTTTAGTTAGTTGTTTTTATATTCTCGAACGAATGTAAAAAATACTTTTTTTATCGCTATTCCCTTATATGGGAAAACAGAATCATATTTCTAGAAGAAAAATTTTTACTATACAATTGAGAAAAGAAAGATTTGTTTTTGGTTAGCAATATTCCTGTCGATCGAATGATTGACACTTGACAATTTTTATTATTATTCAACATCTTTGGTTCCTTCATTTTTCAAATTAAAATTAATTTATTAAAAATTAAATTTCTATCAATTATATAAGTAACTTAACCTCAAAATTATTTCTCATTGTTTATAATCATTTATATTTGCCTATTTACTTTTAAAAGTCGAAATATATAATGAAAGAAAGATTTTAAAATCTTATTCTTTATTTTAATATTAGAAAGTTCTATAAAATTCTTGTATATATTTGTAAATTAAATTAATTAAAAGATTAAAACAAACAACGAACTGTAAAAAATATTAAATGTCAAATTTAAATGCCCTGAACTTGACAATAACGAGCTTCATGTTTGTGACGACAGATGGCGTTAAATATCGGCGCCATTTTTTTCTAAATTTTGAATTAAATAAATCTTAATTTATTAAAAAGTTTATAATAAAATATATTAACTATTATAAAAGTATATTATAGATTTTATAAATAGGAGTATTTTGATTTATCCTATTTCTCCGTCACTTTTTAAGTGAATATCTTGAATATTTTTTCTTTTAAAAAAGTCGTCTGCTACAAAGGGGGTAAACAAATGTCTGCTAGTAATGGCCCTAGCTGTCAAAATAAAAAAACCGATAATATTAAATAATGATTATAATTAGTAATTTCCGAATGCAATTTGAAACATTCTTTAAAATCCTCATCTAGTATTTATAAAATTCGAAAAAATTCTCTTTATTTGTGTGTAAAATAATGTTGGAGACAGAAAATTTGGATTATAAATACACTGTACAGGGGTGAGTATTATAACCATTATAACCTATAGAATTAAATTATTATTAGTAGAAAGCTAAAAAACTAAATAACTACTTAATAAAGTTAGTTAATTAAAAGTAGTTTATTCACATTTATTTATTTTGTAATTTTTTTCAGAGCAAAAACTTCTTTTATGAAAACTCTTTTTAAAGGAGAAAACTTGGACAATAATCTGATTAGGATACTTTTTGAGGTGAGTTATAATTTTATCATATGATCACAGGAAATTGTTATTGATTTTATCTTTAAAAACTTTATTTCAAATCTAATTTATCTAGTTTTTATTGACTCACGGATTTGAGAGTACTGCCAAATGTTTAACTAATGAGGCAAATAGTTTGGGCTTCAAATTTCTCGACGAGGATTTTATTCAGACGAAAGTAATTTCAGAGGAAGTATGTCACAATATTTTAGAACAATTTAATGGGGGAAATTGGAAAAAGTTCTTCAAGGTTTGTACTATTTTTTATTTAATTCGGAAAAGAAATTTTTCTCTATTAAATTCTTTGAATTCTGGAAAATGAAATGTTTTTAAATTTTCGAACGTTCAAACGTTTCAAACGTTAAATAAACGTTAATTATTATTTCATTTAATTTAATATTATTTAATTATATTTTATTTTAATAAAAATAATTTCTATTTGGAAATTATAAAGGAATTCTAACTGAATAATTTTTGAATTTATTTTATATTTCATTTAAGAAAAATTGAAAATATTTAGAGAAAAATTGTTTAAATTTGAATGTTCAAAACTTGAGGAAGAATTAAAATTAATAAAATTTTCTTATTAAAGTTATGGGATGATTCTATACTGGAAAATATGAAATCGACAATGGAATACAAAATACTTACCTTGAAATTAAGAGTTCACTTTGCTTACTTGCCGGTTCGTTTAAAACTCTGTAAGTATTATTCAAAATCTATATTTTAATAAACTGTAAATTAAATAGTTAATAGTTTTTTTAATAATTTAATAAACATTTAATTTTCTTTAGAATACTTAATATATTGTTCTCTTCTTCTGATTTTTACAGCATCCAAAAAACTCTCCGAGGACAAATATGTTAATTCTGAGGATAGTTTCGACAGCGATCCAGTAAATATTTTGCTATTTTTTCATAGAATTTAGAAATAATTCTTTTAATTTCTTTTTTGTATAATAATAGAAAAATTAAAATATTTTATTCATAAAAGTTTAAGAAAATAAATTTAATTTTAGGATGTGGAAACTGCTCACGATTCACAGAGGGAAGCAAGCATGAATCAATTAAAAGAATATTTGTTAACAATTGAAGGAGATGCGGCGAATTATAATTCTTGTATTAAATATTTTGGTTTACCACATTTGGAGGACCCAATGACTGATCCAACAGTTTCTGATATTTTTTCGCAAAATTGGGTCGATGAACTTGAAGCTAATCTTAAAGTATTTCTTCTTAAACACGGAAAGGTGCAATTTTTTCTATTCAATCTTCCTTATTTTGCATTTTAATTCATTTTTAATTTTTTATTTTAATTTTATTTTATATATTTTACAGCATCACCCTGAAGAAAATTATAAATCCTTGTCAAAACCTTCCACCACATCGACAACAATTACAACGGAATCATTAAATAAAGAACAATTGGAAATCTATGAGAAAAATTTACAAATTTTAGAATCCTTTGATTTAGATTCTAATGACGAAGAAAATAAAAATATAGGAGAAAGAGCGGAAAATGAGATTTTACGATTTACGAGAACAACCAAAGATAGTAGCAATCGTTCACGAATTATTGTCAATGATCGAAATATTCCGTTTTTCATTGAGGAACTCGATCTAAATAAGGAATATTCTCAGCCACAAAAAAAAGAAGTAAAATTGTTAGTATAATAAGTTAACTTTGAATTTTTTTCCTCTTAAATTTAAATGAAAATTAATTTAATTAAAATATCTAATGGAAATTAATTATCAATTTTTGCAGCAAATCTACACAAACGAGAATTCAAGGAATCAAAAATACAGCAAATTTATCGGCCCTTGATGATTTATATTATCCGGTGAAGGTATTGGAACCGGAGAATTTGCTAAAAAGTCCAAAGTCAGAGATGAAAAAATATGAGGAACAATTAATATGCACAATAACGCGATATCAAAATATTTACGGCAATTATCAAAAATTAAAAATACGCTTTCATCAATTACACTCGAATCATCAGAAATTATTGCATGTCACCGCTGAATTAACGCAATTTCTTGAAAATTCACTTAGTGGAAATCCAGTGAATATGCTGCAAGTACTTAAGACTTGTTACACCATTTTTCCTGACGTTTTTCAAAAAAATCTACGAACCGATTCAAAAGTAAGTTTTTAAAACTTTGATTTTAATCATGTTTCCTTCCTTCCTTCCTTTCTTTCTTTTCTTTCTTTTTCCTTTTTCATTTCTTTCCTTTTTTCTGAATCTTAATTAATATTTTTCTAATTTTTGAAATCTCAGGAAGAATTGGTATTTCAATCAGAAGACGAATTTCAAACGAATCAAATTAAAATCAATCATTGCTTCGATGTGACGTTGCTTTCTTCGAAGTCAATTGACTTTAGGAAAATTAAATTTCACCTCTCGTGTGGAAATTTGAAGACAAAACTTTTACTCCTTCAGGCATTGAGATGGGTAAAACTTTACTTTTTTCTCAGTGTGAATGTAATTAATTTTTTCGTTGAATTATAATTATTTCAAATTATCGTATTTATTTTAGAAAATTACTTTTAGTCAACAAGGCGAAAGGGATGAGGTGCTTCATGAATATATAAATAATGATTTACTGGGTATCCATGGAAATATCGTTGGCAATAGTGGAAAATCAATTTTGCCAAATATTTTATATTCCGTCGAGGGTTCGATTAATATTTTACAACAAACAGCAGCGAGATTATTGAATACAATTGCATCATTGAGATGTGGTCGGGATTATTTGTCAATTGGAACTGCAACTCTGAATGCAGTAAGTATAATAAAATTTTTATTTTTGAAATTCTTTAGAGAATATATTTTTTTTCTTGGTAAATTTGTTGAGAATATATTTCTTTTTCTTGGGAAATTTTTTGAAGATTTTTAAATTATTAATTTGATTTTCTTGGGAAATTTTTTGAAGATTTTTAAATTATTAATTTGATTTTCCAGGTAATTGAATGTTTGAATGGCAGTAACGATTCGATTCCAGATGCATTTACTTACGATATGCTGTTGTCGATGTTACAAAAATTGTCATTGAGAAAATCGCAAAGAATTAATATGATTGAAACTGGTTTGGTTGAATGGTTAATTCATCATTTGAATATTGAAGTTTGTAAAATGAGTCCCTACAGATTTAAATACGTCACGGCTCTATTGATGAATTTGTCATTGCAAATAAAAGCACGCACTCAAGTTTCGGCGTCTTTGGTGCTTCCTGTATTAATAGATTTACTTCTCACCGAAAATGAAACTGTGAGTCTTAATTTTTCATTTATTATTAATTTCCAAACATTATGGCTTTTTAACAAAAATCAAATAAAATAAAATTGTTATTGATAGTAATATAAAAATAATTTAAAATTTAAAAAATATTTTTCAGGCCTTACCCTATATTAGTAAGGCTTTAAGTAATTTTTTACTGGATCAACAAATTAATGAGGAGGGCAAAAGAATGGGACTTGAATCCCATTTGAAATATTATCGAAAACGTGTTTCCGACGAAACAAGGTAAAATTAGTTTTAATTTTTCAGTTTTTAAAACTTTTTTTATTAAAAATATTCAAACATTTTTTATTTAAAATATTTGAATTGAAGTACTTTTTATTTAAAGCATTTAAAAGATTAAAAAATTGAATTATTTTTCATAAAGATTGAAATCTCGAAATATTTTATATTTGTTTATAAAAAATTTAAATTTTTATAAAAATAAAAAAATTGTTTCAGACAATGTTTAGATTATTTAATCAGAGTGCACAATCGAGAAGAGAAAATTGAAGAAACGGACGTCGGTGATAATGATGATGTAAGAATAATTAATATATATTTTTTTTAAATTATTAGATTTTATAGAAAAATAATATTTTCTACTTTCACAGGGTGATTGCGATTTTTTAGAAGATGAATTAGACGAAGATGATCCAGTTCAAAGTGATCATGGAGAACTCGCTGGTGAAATGCTTCTAGCATCTTCTTACATTCTTCCGAAAAATACAAAATCTATCGAACTCGATGAACCGAATTCCGATTTTAAATTACATAAAATTCAACATCGAGAAATAATTCCCAGGTAATATAGATTTTTCCTGAATTTCATTATATTCAAATTTTATGAATATAATGTATTTCAATATTTGGTATTTATTTTATTTTAATTTAATTTATGAAATTTATTTAAATTGTATTGATTTTTACCTTCAATCGAAATTTTACCCTTTAATTAACTTCTGTTTTGAAAGAAAGAAATTTTATTCAAGATTTTCGAACGAGATAAATCAGATTCAACTGAAACCTGTTAATACAATTCCATTATTAGAAGATACAAATTTTACCGATTTACTTCGAAGTGAATCTCAATTTGAGGTATTTTTATTTTTATCGTATTATAATGGAAAATGTAAATAATTTAATAATTTCATCAAAAATTAAAAAGAATGGAAAAATCCAATTCTTTTTTATTTTATCATTTAAAATTTTGAGAAAATATTGTCAATTAATTTGTTTATGATTTATTTTCAAGGGAGAAGAATATTCTCAAGAATTTTTGAATAAAGCAAATAGTAGTATGATGAATTTAATGAATTACAATTCATCGGATAATTTGAGAGTAAAAAATTCAAGTACTTCGTCTCGTGCCTCCCCAGTGAGAACATTGTATCGACAGCAAACAAATTCAATTAATTCTGAATTATCGCAATCGTTAAATGTAAATTTTGAAAGAAACTTTAAAGATATTTCCAAAAGTCATTCGAAATCAAAGCAATTTTCTACCGCAACGTCAAAAGTTTCTAAGAACACTAATCAGTCAAGTAGTCAAACTTTCGAAGACGAAATAAACTTGACTAACGAAAGTTCCTCCGTAATTTCCAAGTGTGTTTTTTTATTAATTTAAAAGAATTCAAATTTTTTTTTCTTTTAAAATATATTGCCTGCTGAAAAATAAATAATGAAAAATATTTCAGAGAAAGCAGTAAGCTGAATACAACTTCGTCATCGACTTTTCCATCCGCTTCTGAGAGTCAACTAGAAGGTAATTGACTGAAAATTTATTTATTTATTTGAAATTAATAGAGAACATAAAAAAAGATGTGGAATAATTTTGAGAAACCGAAAATTGAATATTAAGTATTATTTAATATAAAATTTCTTTAATATTTAATAAATTTCTAATAAATTTTAATTAATTTTCTAATAAATTTTAATAAATATCTGTTAATTTGATGAATTTTTATTAATTTGATAAATTTCTATTAATTTTATTTTATTATTTTTTTTCACTAATTTTTCTTATCATAAATTAAGAAATTTCTATTAAGTTTAATTTTCTTTAACAAATAAATTAAATTATCATTCTTGAGCAAATTTTTTTAACGTTTTCTCCAACGTATTATCAATTTTCACACGATGTTTTGTTTTTCGTGAAATAAAAATAATGCATTAAAAGAAAACTTTCAAGTTGATACGTGATGCGGTTGTGGGGAGAAAGTTCTTAGCTTTCCCCAGGACTCATCCGTGAATATCCAGTAAACTGGAGAATATAAATGAAAGTAATTTTAATTTTTAATAAATTTTTTTAATTCCATTTCTTTTTTCTTTTTTTTTGCACTTATTTATAAGTAGAAAAATGAATTACAAAAAATTTAATTAACATTCTGTTATAATATTTTATTTACAAATATTCTATTTTTTTCAGGTCCAAATGAACAGAGCAGTATTGCATCAGTGTGAGTTAAAATACGAAATTTTCCACGAAGATCAAAGTTTAGAAAAAAGAAAATTTCCCGAAAAAATAAGGAGAACAATCGTTAATGCATGCATACTTTGTTTGCCTATAATTTGGAAAAAATAATAAATTTTTCACTATACTTGTATAATTATTTTATTTTTGTAATTTATTATTTTTTCTAAAATTTATTTCCATTATGTATTTTTTTGTTTAATATTTTTTAAGTACTTTTTTTTATTTTTGTTTTCTTCTCTTCTTTATTTCTATTCTGCACGTTTTTTTATTATTTTTTTTATGATACTTTGCAATTTTCAGTATTTTTTTCATTGAAAATTTTATAGCTTCTAATATTTTATCTTTTTTCCCTGCAGAGATGTATCGGCAATAAAAAAAGAAGAGGAGGAAGAAGCTTTTCATGCGAAACCAAAAATACAACGAACACCTCCCCAGTCGGCAAAATTGAAAGGTCTACGAAAACTATAAATTCACAGCATTCTAGTTCTTTTTTTTGTAAGTATTTATGATAAAATTGCCTTTTCTGCTCAATTTACTTATAAAAGAAATTATTAATTTATTATCAATTTTTTATTTAAATTTTTATTCAAAAAATCGAAAAACAAGGTCTATACATTTTTCTTCGATTTTTCTAGATAACTAGAAATAATTTAAATAAATTTTAATAAATACTTAACTATATTTAAAATTAACAAATTATTAATTTCGAATTATTAATAATTAACAAATTAATAAATAATAATTATTTTTATAAAATTAAAAACATTTTAATTTTAATAATTAAAATTAAAATTAAAATTAAAATTATTTTAATTTGAATTTTAATGATTAATAAATTTTGTAACTATTAATTATTAATTAATTATTCATTAATTTTAGTGTAGGAAAAAGAATTTTCTACGATGCACCCAGAAAAGCTGAGAAGGGATTTCCTCCTCTGGATATAAATCGACTTGAATAGGGACTCGATCCACCGGCGAAACTCGGAGTATAATAACTCGCTGCACCTTGAGTTCCATAATCAGCGTTTCTGGTTGTTTTGTAACTGCCGCCAATGAGAGGTGATGAAGAATAAATTTGCCCTCCACCACCACCAGCAGAAGCACTGTGATGAGAATTAGCCGAAGAATGATCCTTCATTATGATAAATTTCCCCGCACCATTGCCCACTAAATATGAACCGTGTCCCTTGGCCATAAAATTAGGACTCGATGAATAAGAACCAAAATTTTGACTTCCTCCGCCAACTATTATTCTTCCATCTCCACCATGTCCTCCACCGAAGGGAATTGAAATTGGTCCTGCAAAAAAATTGATTTAAACATTCGTAAGTTCTTTTATATTTCCAAATTTTCTTTTTTAATTAAGATTTTAATTAACATTTAATTAAGAAGTAGAAATACTTTGATTTTTAATTTTTATTTGATTTTAAATTTTTAAATTTGATTTTTAAATTCTATTTTTTTTATTTATCTAGTTTTTCAACTACCTGACGATTTTTGCGCTCCAGAATAAAGCATCGATTGTGGTTTCAGTCCGGCGAAGGGATACGCACTCTTAACACCACCATTTGACGAGAGATAATTTAAATTGGCCGCGGAAAATCCCGAATGAAGTGGCGAGACTGGTGAATTGTAATTGTCACGTTTATAATTTCCAACTGAATAGACGTGCGGCGAACTTTGTGAGTAATCAATTTCATTTCCTGTGTAAGCATCTTGCGAGGGATAATTTTCGTAGACTGGATATTTACCGCTAATCACTTGTCCTCGATGTTTGCCGGTGGCGCTTGTTAAAAATTCCCTTGTTCCGGAAGTGGGATAATAATTACGATATCCACTGGTGTCGAGTGCCTTGAATCCACTTCCGGTGTAAATTTGACGATTTGAAGTTGAATCGGCGGAATAAGTGGGACTTGAAACAAAACCTGAGTTTGCGGATGATGATGATGATGATGAGGAGGAGGAGGAGGGTGATGATGATGATTGACCTACAAATCCTCGGAGACTGCTTGTATCTTGACTTGAGGGATAATTGTCGAGGCTGGATCCACGATAACTGGTGCCAACGGTGAATTGTTGAGTCGCTGAGCCCGTGTAATCGCTGACAGGTGCGGAACTTTCGTAATCGGTTCTTCCGGAGAATCCTGATTGAGAATTACTGTTCCCAGTGTAGTCCGACTGGCTCACGAGACTTGAGGTGTAATCGGAATTCGATAAAGCGTACGGCCTCTCTCTGAAAAATTAAATTTTTCCTCAATTTCTTGAATTACAATTTTTTATTTGTCGAAAATTCATGTCCAATTCGAAAAATGGAAAAATTTGTTGGCAATTCGTCTGTTGAAAATTCAGTTTCTTCAATTTAATTTGAATTGAAATTGAATTAGAATTAAAATTAGAATTGAAATTAGAATTAAAATTGAAATTAGATTTGAAATTAGAATTTACTTTAAATTCAAGTCCAGGAGTTGAATGTGAAATGTCGAAGACGAGTTGAATCGAAAACGAAATTTCCAGTATGAATAATAGACCAAAGAAATTATGTTAATTATATTTAGTGAACTAGAATTATTTAGAGAATAAAGGAAATTCTGAAAAATATCAGATTGAGAGAAAAACTCAAAGAATATTAATTAAGAAGGAAAAAGAACAAAAGAAGTGAATTTCTAATGGAAAGGAGAAGAAAAGAGAAATTTTCTCGAAAGAAAAAAGAATTGGAAATTATTAGCACAAAAGTGAAAAATCAAAAATATTGTTAACGAATCGATCAATCGCTAATAAATAAATTTATTAATTATTAACTTGTTAAAAGAAACAAAAAGTATATCGAACAAATCAGAAAATTAAAAATTGTACCGAAAAAATTACAAAAGAGAAAATTAAAAAAGTATATTGAAAAAATTATGAATGAGCTTCAAACAGAAACAATAAAAGAAATGTATGAAGAATAAGAAGAAGAACAAGGAAAATTAATTAATTAATTTCAATTGAATGAAAGAAATAAAAGAATGAACTAAAATTGATAAAAAAAATTAATTGAAAATAGAAACAAAAAATCGAAGAAAAGAATATTTTTGAATTGAACTTGCCTTGTGTAACTGCTAATCGTTGTGGGAGCGTCCGATAAATAGGAATTGTCTACGCTTTGATAATTTCTAATCGATTGACTTTCCCCTTGGCTAGCATCGGAATAAATTGTAGACGAAGGGTAGCTACTACTTGATAGACTATTTATGTGACCCGGACTAGATCCACTGGCGAGATAATATTTCGTCGATCCTCTCGAATATCTGTCGGCATTTCGATTTCCATAATCGTACGATTTGAATCCATCATCGGAAGGTGAAAAACCTGCGTCGAGTACAATATGCAATTAAATTTTAATAAAAATAGAAAAACAAAGCTAATTACTAAATTTAAAATTAGAAATTAAAAATTAAACATTAAAAATTAGAAATCAAAAATTAAAAATTAGAAACTAAAAATTAAAAATTAAAAATTAAAAAACTAAAAATAATAACTAAAAAGTTTCATGAATTGAAAAATCGTCTATAAAAGAAAACAAAAAAAACGAATTTGCCTTTTGAAAGTATGTAAAATCGAGACGGAAAGTTTATAGAGAGACATCAACGCAAAGAAAGTAATAGTATCGATATTTTTTCGAAAACTACTTTCCTGATGTTCTTTATTTTTCACCTTCGCATTCTAAAATGAAATTCACTTTTAAATGCGCTGAAAACTTTCATTATTTTATTGATCTTTTTTCAATTTCCTCCTTTTTTCTTTATACATTTTAATTCTATACTAAATTTTACATTTTTATATACGACAATTCTCCATTGTAACTTCTTCACAAAAAAGTAGATTTCTAGATCAAGAATTTTCTCGGAAACTATTAAATTTTGTAGTCAGTAATTAAAGAAAAAAAATTCCAACAAAATTACATAGTAAAATTATTCTAGACTAAAAATTTTATTAGAAAAATGGAAGAATTTCTTTTCTTAATTGAAAAAATTCAATAATTGAGGAAAATATCATTCCAGAAAGAAATATATTCGATTGAAGAAATTGGCTAATTTTGTACAAAAATAGATAAATTAATTGCACATTTATGTGATTCTGAAAATTTTACCAAAGAGATATAAAATATTTGAATAAAAAAAATATATGGAAAATAATTTAAGAATCGTTATTAAATTTTGCTCACAAATTTCTCTATAATATATAAATATATTTTTATATATAGAGAGAAAAATTAAATTAGGAGAAAGTAATTCAAAATCTTGCACTATAAATTAAAAGAAAAAAAAAGAAAGAGAGGAAAAAAAAATTCCTTAGATTGTTGTACAGTAAATGTGTTTAATAATTCGCACAAGTAAGCATGTGTGTCGCATCTAATTATATGCGTTTTGTAAAGAAAGTGGAACACATTGTACATAATTTTCTATCTCACTCTCACTCGTGTATCTAATTGAACTTGAAATTTGCAGATAATTATTTCTTCTTTGTAAGGAAATTAATTATATGTTTTAACGACAAAAAAAAAATTTATACGTATTTATCTATAAATAATAAGCGATTAGTCTTGATATTAGAAATTAACAAATTTCACTTTCAATTATTAATGATTGAGGATTCAATTTTTATTTCGAAAAAAAATTACAAAGAAACAAAAATTAAATTAAAATCAAAATAAAAAATAATTTATTTTCATTTATCTTTTATTTTTTCTATTTTTTTCTATCCTGTTTTCCTCTATTTCTATCTTCTATTTTTTATTTATATTTCTATTGTTTTCTATTTCTACTTTTTTAAATATAATTTTTAAAGAGGAAATTAATTTTTCTATTAAATTATTCAATGATAATTAGAATTAATTAGTCTATATTCTCGGGTAGATAATTAATTACTCAATTGATTATGTAAATAATTAATCGCTTCATTAGGTAGATAATTGACTTCTTCATTTAATAATCGCTTATTTAAGTAAATAATTAGTTACATAATTAAATATATTTATTTTTAAGTGATTATTACTTATAATTAATTAATTATATACGTAATCAGTTAATTAATTAATTAATTAATTATCTAATTCATTACCTATTTTATTAATTAATTACCTAGTTAACTAGTTATTTAATTAGTTACCTATCTGGTTCGTTATTTATTTAATTAATTAATTAACAAGTTCATTACTTATTTAATTAATTAATTACGAATTTCATTACTTATTTATTTAATTAATTTCCTAAATAATTATTTTATTCCCAAGTTCAATGCTTATTGACTTAATTAATTGTTTAATTAATTAATTAATTTCCTAGTTAATTATTTTTTATTCCTAATTAATTAATTGCCGGCTTCATAACTTATTTACCTTATTAATTGCCTGATTAATTGATGAATTACGTACTTCATTATTTACCTAATTAATTTCCGAATTAATTATTTTATTCCCCAGTTCACTAATTGTTTACTTAATTAATTTCCTAATTAATTATTTTATTACCCAGTTCACTAATTGTTTAATTAATTAATTTCGTAATTAATTATTTAATTACCCGGCCCACTAATTGTTTAATCAATTAATATCCTAATTAATTATTTCATTACCTAGTTCACTACTTATTTACTTAATTAACTTCCTAATTAATTAATTAATTTATTATCCAGTTTGTTACTTGTCTACCTAATTAATTAATTAATTAATTATTTAATTAATTAAATGTTTTGTTAATTAATAATTAATTAATTAATTAGTTGATTAATTTATTAATTAATTACGACGGAGAAATTAATTTAATAGGTTGTTAATTACTTACATAAAATGAATGAATAATTAATTATATTAATTAGAGGTAGATAATTAATTAATGGTATTAATTACCACTTAGGGTTGAATCTGCATTCACGACAATTAGAGTTGTGATGAAGACGAATATCTGAAAGTAACGTAATCAAATTTTAATTAGTTAACTGAAAATAAAATTAAGTTAAATAATTAATATTTGTAAATTTTCTTCTTCAATTATTTAATATTTATTTAAATACAAATTGTAAGACAAATACTGTCGAAAATATTAAAAATTAAATAATGAATTTCAATAATAATATTAACAAATATTAATCATAAATAATAAATATTAATACATATTAGTTATTAATAATAATAAATAATAAGAAATTATTATTAATAAACTTTAGATATTAATAATAATAAATGTTAATTATTAGTAATTAATATTTACTAATTAGTAAAAATGTTGACTGATTTTAATTAGTAACTGACTTTTTGCTTTTGAATTAGTAAATTTGACTAATAAATAGTAATTTTTACGAATTAAAAAGCAAAAAGTCTAAAGTCTTGTTTTATTTTGATTATTTATTTTTATTTATAATAATTATTATAATTATAAATATTATTTATTTTTACAAGATTTTTACTAATTCAAATTTAGAGATTATTTATAATTAATTATTATTTTTTAAAATGATTAAAATATTAAAATTTACTATTTACTATTAATAATTATTAGCAATAATATTAATAAATATTAATTATTAAGAACATTGTTAAGAAATATTAATTGTTAATAATTTAATATTGAGTTTGATTTTGGTTATTTAATTAAAATTGAATATTAATTTATACTAATAATAGAATATTAAATTCTTATTTAAATTTAATTGTTAATGAAAATTAGAATTAAAAATTAAATTTTGAATAAAACAAATTTAATTAAGGGGCTAATTAACTTTTTCGCCAGCAACTAATTAACTTACTCGCAACATAATTCCGAAAGAGAATAAAATTTTTTTTTTCTGAAACTAGAATAAAAGAAGAGAAAACACACTATTTTTGGTACATATATTTTGATATGTAAAAAAAGTCTTTCGAAAATAACACTTTAACAACAACTGACAGTAAAATAAGTTGTCTACTAGTTTTATACTACAGTAACCCCTTCTCACTTGAAATAAGGTAAAAGCAATTCCGTATGTATACTAACTCGGGAAGGATATTGGCTGAATCTTGACCATTCTAAGGAGAAAGAAACACCAGTCAACCTAATTCAGTTCATCATTTATGGGGAAAGCTATAGGTCATCGGAGAGTGCTTTGCTGTCTACTAAAATACAAAAAATATTATTATATACAATATTTTAGCATTTTTTATTTTTTATTTTATATAATAATTTCAGTGAAATTGGTATTTTTTTTTTTTTTTTTTTTGAAAAAAAAATTGTATGGGATAAATTTCACTTTTCATTGTTTCAAAAAAAGATTAGATAAATGCTGCTATTCAGTACTACTACAACTACTATTCAATATTTGAAATAGCTTCACAAATACTTTCCATATCGCAAGGTCAATATCGCAATTTTCCTTTTCAATGTCATTGGCACTTTCTTCATTGCTCTTTTAATTAGGCGATAATTAACTCTGCTTTTTCATTTAATTTATTCGGCAATTTTTTTTTATATTCTTCTTCAAATAGATAAAAATAAAATTTGAAATAAAATTTATTTTATATTACGAAAAATGTTTATTTTATTTTTTTCAATTTAAATTATGTTATTACAAAAAAGTATAATTTAATTTTTTACAATTTAAATTATTTTATTGCACAAAATGTTCATTTTATTTTTTTCAATTTAATTTATTTTATTACAAAAAATTATTATTTTATTTTTTTTCAATTTAATTAATTTTATTAACAGGAAATGTTAATTTTATTTTTTTTAACTTTGCCTTTTATTAAATTTTCATTTATTTCAAGTAAATAAATAAAAGAAAAATATATATATAAAAATAAAATGTAAGAAAAAAGATAAAAATTTTAGTTAACAAAATTTTACTTTGTCATCATTTTTAATTAATTATGACTAAAAAATTTTACGTTCTAATTACAAGTAAATAAATTTCATTAAAATTTTCGTTTGCAAGAATCGAAAAATATTAATAATCGAAAATTTAGGTTCAAAAATATTTCTTCGCTCTTGAGAGCAAAATTAAATAAATTGATTGTGTCAATTAGTAATTATTTATAATCAATAATTAATAATTTGTTTTTATTAAAAAGAATTATTATTTTATAATAATTTATAATTAAAAATTAATTTATAGTAATAAATAATTAATAACTACTTATTTAGTAATAAATTATTAATAATAAACCGAAATCTTAGATTAAAAATTGTTTCTTCGCTTTTGATACAGCAAAATGAAATAAATTGATTATTCAATTAATTAATAATGATTAATAATTAATATTTATTAATTTAATTAATAAATGAAATAATAATTTTAACCGAAATCTTATGTTCAAAAATATTTCTTCGCTCTTGATTGGGAAATTAAATAAATTGAATGAGTTAATTATTAAATAATAATAATTAGCAGTTTAATAATTAATCATTCATATTTAGGTACTTCCAAAAATTAAAAACTTTATTAAAAATGTTATTATCATAAGTAATAATAAAAATTATTTATAATTTATTTATTCCAAATTCCATGAATATTATTTACGTTTAAAAAATTTATAATAAATTTTTTTAATTTTATTTTTTAATTTTTAAGAGTGATAGGATAAATTAAAAAAAAAACAAATTAAGATACTTGAGTAACTTTCATTTCTAAATAAAAATGCGATCGAAATGTTTTCAGTGCGTAACGTAGGAGTATCATCATCGTATATTTATAATTATCATAGTACATGTGAATAAAAAATTACTGTAATTAATTTTACTCCATAAAATATAATAATATTCCCATAAAACTTGTATTCAAATTTTTATCAAAAAAAAAAGAAAAAGAAAAGAAATGAAAAAAAAGACAAGAAAAAGAAATTAAATAATTAGAAGGTCAATGTCAATGATTCTCTCTCTATATAATAATTAGTTAAATATATATATAAATTTAAATACAAACATTAGAGATTGTTTCACGTTTTGCCTTTCAAACATTTAATCTAATCGGAGCGATCGCAGCTTCTACACTTTCGGAATAACAAAGTATTTGATATTTTATTCTCAAAAGAGTGAAATGTATAAATTTTAAACGTTTAGTAATCTAAACAAGAAGGACATGTAAACGAATTTTGAATACCGATTGTATTGTAATCAAATTTTTTTTTCCTCCCCCTTTTTTTTTCTTTTTGAAGTGAAAAAAAATGTGTCAAAATTTTTTTTGGCGACAATTTATATTTATTTGATTTTGAAATTCGAATTTTTTTTTGAAGTGAAAAAATTCCGTAAGATTGAAAGTAAAAACGGGGTTTTTTTTCATTTAATGTGAAAGAAAAGAAAACGGTAATAAATTTAAAGAGAGAAAAAAAAATTTGCAAATCGATCTATCGTGAGAAGAAATATTAAATTTATAATGGATCTTTGCGCAGTGATAGAAATAGAAAAAGAAAAAGAAGAAAGAAATATAAATTCTATCTCGCATTACGAGGCAAAATAATGTCTCATTTTTCACTTTCGATTTGTCTATATACATATATATATATAGATATAATAAATATAAGAGAAAGTTATTAAAAGTTTTCTCAAAGAGTGAATATTTAAATTAATGTGTGCACAATTAGGAGATATAATCTGATTTCATTGAAACGATTAATTACAAATGGAGTGTAAAAATGAGAAAATTAAAATTTGCATAATTCTTCTTTTTTATGCATTATCACACGAATAGTGCTAAAAAATATATTTGGAATAATTAGATATTACTCTTCTTGTAAATATTGCAACAATTTTTTTTAAATAATAATTCAGAATTAAATTATTAAAATATATTACGATTATTAAAATTAAATCACGATCTACTTAATAATTGCAAATTTGTATATAGAAAAAACGCGAAACGATTATTTTTAGACTATTTTTTGACTATTTTTTGACTATTTTTTTTATTCTTATAATTGAAGATTTTTATAACGATTGTAGAAAAAATTGAAGAAATGGAAGAATCAGAATAGAAATCCGATTAAACAGAATTATTTTTTTAATGAAAAAAATTGATAAAAATTCATTTTTTTAAATAAAGAAATTCGTACTAAAGTTGTCAATGTTGGAGGTAATTAATTATTTTGAATATAAACAAAATAATTTTTTTATTTCTATAAAATATTTTTGCGTATCTCACGTGGATAAAGAAGCTATCGCTTCATTGGTAGAATTCACTGGATAATGTAACTTTTACCGATAAGTCCACCATTTAGTTTATCTTTTTCAGGCAAGCGTAAATTTTTATATTTTATATTTTATAAAATAAAAATATATTTATATTTATATTTTATAATTACTTTTTATTAATTATTATTTTAATTATTATAATTATTTTTTAAATTCTATTTTTATTTATTTTATTTTTATATTCTTATAGTTCGATTCTTCATTTTTATTATCTATAAAAAAATACACTTTCTTTGATTCTTCTTTTTATGATTTAAAAAAAAGTTTTCTTTGGGAAAATTTATCTTTTTCAATTTTTTATTTGCTTCTATCTTTCAATCTCGATCTTCAATTTAAACTTTATTAGAGAATTCTTTTTTTCAATCAAAAAATTAAATTATTAAAAATTGTTAAACTTTTTATTAAAAAATACAAATTATTTTTTAATAAAAAAGCAATTTGTAATGCAATATAAAACTTTTTACTCGAAAGCAAATCTTTTTTTATTGATGAACTCAATTAATAAAGTACAATATTTATATTAATTGAGTCAATGCTCCAGTTAATTTATTTCTTCATTAGAAGTCTATTTCGAAATTAAGTTAATTTAATAATATACTTATTTCTTCAGTGGAGTATAATAAATTTTATTAATTAAATCATTTCTATTTAGTAAAATTTCATTTTAATTATACATTATTTCTTCAGAAAATTTGATTTAATTAAATTATTTCTTCAGTTGAGTATAATTTAACAAATTGAATTATTTCTTCAGTTGAGTATAATTTAACAAATTTAATTATTTCTTCAGTTGAATTCAATTTTACGAATTGAATTATTTCTTCAGTTGAATTCAATTTTACGAATTAAATTATTTCTTCAGTTTGAATTTAATTTCACGAATTGAATTATTTCTTCAATTGAATTTAATTTCACGAATTAAATTATTTTCACTTCAGTCCAATTTTACGAATTTCTTCACTTCAGTATACAATTTAACGAATTAAATTATTTCTTCAGTTATAGTTTAATTTAACGAATTGTAAATTATTTCTTCAGTTGAGTTTAATTTAACGAATTAAATTATTTCTTCAGTTGAATTTATTTTTACGAATTGAATATTTATTTCTTCAGTTGAATTCAATTTTACGAATTGAATTATTTCTTCAGTTGAATTTAATTTCCCGAATTGAATTATTTTTTCAGTTGAATTTAATTTCACGAATTAAGTTATTTCTTCAGCTATAATTTTAATTCACAAATAAAATGAAAATTAAACTAAAATATAAATAAAATGAAACGAGTAATAAAATATATTATTACTGCTTGTTTATTATAGAAGAAGTAAAAATACCTTCTTTTATAATTTTTTTAATAATTATAAAATAACATAATAATATTAATTTTATTATTAATAACTAATGTATATTAACTTCAATAGGAATGGAATTTTTATCCCCAAAAATTTTCAAGGAAATATTTTTTCTTTCTAATACACTAAAATAGTAAAAAAATTTCGAAATATAATATAGAAAGTTAATAATATGAAAAATATTATATGGAAGAGCGTTAATGAAACTAAATTAATTGTAAATATGATATAGATTTTCCTGAAACTAAAAATATATCAATTTTTTTTTGTTCTTTAAAAAATAAACATATATATACGTTTCCTTCACGATTGTCGTTTATCTTGACGAATAAGTTAATGTGTCGGAGATATTTGATGACCCTTGGTTGACCTCATATTTCTCGATAGTGGCCTCGAATATTTCTCAGAAACATTACCACTAACCACGCGCGTATGCAATAATCTTCGGTTTATGGCTTTATGCAATTTTCCGATTTCATTTTTTAAATATATTTTTATTTGTTGTGTATTTGCGTCTCTATACACAATGTACAGAAATTATCGTTTTTTTCAATTTGATTTTTTCTATTTAATTTTTCTATTTGATTTTTTCTCTTCTTCCTCTTTTTTTTCTTTCCATTTCTTTTTTATATACAATGTGTAATTTAAAATAATTTTCTTTGTTGCTTCTTTTTTCGTTTACGTTTAAAATTGTTTATTTATTTTCATATTTTTTTCGATTTGAAACTTTATCTATTTTCTACTTTTTCTTTTTCTCTTCATTTTCTCTTTTCGCTTTATTTCTCTATATCTTTCTTCTTCTTTTTCTTCTTTTGGTGTAATTTAAAATAATTTTCTTTTTTTTTTTTATTTAAATTTCTTTTTATATTTAAAATTTTAAATTCGTCTTTATCTATTTACTTTATCTATATTTTATCTATTTTTTATTTTATTTACTTTCTACTTCTTCTTTTTCTCTCTATTTTCTATTTTCTCTTTATTTTTCTATCTATCTTCTTCTTCTTTTTCTTCTTTTGGTGTAATTTTAAATAATTTTCTTCCTTTTTTATTTAAATTTCTTTTTAATTTAAAATAATTTTCTTCTTTTCTCTTTCTTTCCTTGTCTATATTGTAAAATTGTTTTATCTACTTTCCTTTTCCACTTATCATTGTCTTTAAAAAAAGAAAGAGAAAAAAAAATATAAAATTCGTTTTCTTTTTCAAGTTTTCTTTGTCTTTAAAAGAAGAAAGAGAAGAAAGAAAAAAGTAAAAACAATTTTTGTCTTTAAAAAAAGAAAGAGAAGAAAAAGAAAGAAATTTAAATTCAAAAACGACTCAATTAACTTGAAAAATCTCCAATTTTCTTTATTTCTTCACTTGTCTATAATCGCGTATAAAAAAATATTTTCAAATGAAAAAAATAGAATAAAGTGCTATGAGTATAATTTAAAGGCAAAAAGTGCGTATTTCCGTAGATGATATAATTTTTGTTTGCTTAGTAACTAGACTTTCCCAATCTGTAGCAGTAGTCCCAAGACTCGAAGTCGTCATCTCGTTTAGTCGTGTCGCGTCAGTCTTATATACGAGCTTTGCTCAACTTGTTGTTGGTCTATAACCGCGAGATTTTAACATAACCGGTGAGTCTTTTAAAGGCAATATTTTCGTGTTTTTTTTTTCTTTCCCCCCTCTCTGCAAATTAGAGACAAAATAAATTTTGCATTTTAATTTTTTTATTAAATTGAATTTTTATTTAATTAAATCACACTGAAGTTTTTTAACTGATGGACCAAAAGTCAACAAATTTTATTTATTTATTTATTTATTTAAGAAAATTTATTTAAAATTTATTTATAGATACAATTCAACGTATTGTTTTTGTTCCTTAGTTCTTTATATAGTGAACATTTTTTTTTAATTATTTCCTATTAACTTGAAAAGAACTGAAAAAAATGTGATAAAAGTTCTGTGTGATATTTAAGTAAATAATTTTTATTTCTTATTTTTAAAAATTGTGTTTTTGTATTTAAAAAAAACATTGACCTCTAACTAATTATTTCAGTTAGTACCTATTAAATAAAAATTTGAATTATAAATACTAATTTTTATTTATGTAATTATTTGTTTAATTATTTTTTTTATTTGTTTACTCATTTATTTACTCATTTATTTATTATCTCATTTGTTTATTTACTCATTTATTTATTTACATATATTTATTATATCTTCAGCCTTTTGGTCCTGAAGTGGACTTGGATTTAATTTATTATTTATTTATTTTCTCATTTATCTACTTATTTATAAATATTTATTATAACTTCAGCCTTTTGGTCCGGAAGTGGACTTGGTTTACATTTATTTACTTATTTGCAATAATATAAACATAATAATAGAATTGTTTTAAAATAAAAGGATTTTTATTTATTTTCTATTTTCTATTGAACAAAATCGAAAGTTTTTAAAATTATTTATTTATTTTATTAAAATAAATTATTTGTATAAACGATAAAAATAAAATTTTTCGTGACACAATTTTTACAGATTATAAACCCGTACAGTGTTTAAATATTATTACTTTTTCTTTACCGAATAAAAGAAAAAAAAATGCATAAGAATGAATTTTATCTCATGACCCTTAGACTTTTGGTTTTTTTTTGTGATTTAAAACTAAAAGGCGATAAAGACTATCGAGATGTTTGAATAAAGAAAACTAAATATAAACAAGAATAAATTGTCCTAAATTTAGTTTTTCGATATTTATCAAGTTTGTTAAATATTTTATTGATTTTTTATTTCAGGAGAAAATTTTTCTTATCTATAGTTAAAATAAATAAATAAAGAGATAAAGAAAGAAAGAAAGAAAGAAAGAAAGAAAGAAAGAAAGAAAGAAAGAAAGAAAGAAAGAAAGAAAGAAAGAAAGAAAGAAAGAAAGAAAGAAAGAAAGAAAGAAAGAAAGAAAGAGAGAAAAAAAGAAAGAAAGAAATAAATATTTAAATAAATAAGTAACAAAATAAATAAAAATAAAAAAGTGATAAATAAATACAAATAAAAGTTTATTTACATTATAAAATTATTTATTTATATTGCCAATTGCTTCCGTGATTGTTACAACATAAAATTTAAATAATAAATTTGCGAATAAATTGTAATTTGTGAAAATTTACATTATATTTATGCAAACGAACATGATGATTAAAAATGATGATGAAGAACGTACAAAATGTTTATGTTGTTAATAAATTAACATAATATGATTTTATTTTTTCGATAGTAATTTTAAAATTAAAATGCACTGTAAAATTTTTTTCTTAAAATTCAAATAATTGACACAGATTATTTATCTAAATAAATGAATATTGATTAATAATTAATAAATTAATAATTATTATTAATTATTAATTTTATTATTTTTATTATTATTTGGTAGTGAATAAGCCATTTTTTTATTCGATTTTATTTATGTTCATGGTATTTTTAATAATATTATTATTTTATTTTAATTTGCAAAATTAAAAATACAAATTAAAATTAAATTCTTTTTTTAATTTTTTTGTTTACTTTTTTCCTTAGAAAAATTGTGATATTAAAAAATTTGTACTTTTTATTTTTTAATTAATAATTTAAAAAATTTTTAATTTTAATTTGCAAAATTAAAATTAAAAATTAAAATTAAATTTTTTTTTTTCAAATTTTTTTGTTTACTTTTTTTGGTGTGAAGAACTTTTATTGGTGTCATTCACCTGACTTTGCGGATTCTTCGCGAGTGATGTTCTCCGCGTTTATACAACGCATGTATGAATGAGTTGTATGTTATCATTATCGGAACCCACGACCGATGTGTCTCGAGCCGCATTATTTCCGGTCTGTAATTTCTATCTCGCATCATTATCAGAATCTCATTTTCAAACTTTGAAAACAATGAGCAAAGCCCGCAAGTGGATAATTTTCCATTTACACATTTTTTTTCGTGTTTCATTATAAAAGAGGAGTGACAAGTTTATATTTAAAGTTTTTTTTTTTCTCTTTAACAATGGCACTTTTATTTTGTTCCATTGTTTATCAGAAGGAGATTTTTAGTTCAATGTTGCCTTATTGCAATCTTTACTAGAACGATAAAATACATAATTATCATTGTTTATCCAAATAAATAAATATTAACTCAAATTATATTATTTTATTTAATTTTTATTATTATATTATTATTGTTATTATTTAAAAAATAATAAATTAATTAAACAATGATGGTATATTATTAATCATAATTATTATTATTATTAATTAATTAAATAAATAATTATTATATCTGGAACGAAAAAATATTGATAATACTTTTTTCCCCATTTTGACCCCCTCACCAAGGGGAAATTTTTTAACATTTTTGAATTATTAAAATTGCTTTTATATTATTTTATTCTATTTTTAGTTTAATTTTCATTTCTAGTTTTGAATGATTTTCTAAACAGGAATTTTACATTATTGAAAGAACAGGAAGTAGACAAGTAAACATATAATATTGTGCAAATGACTTATGCGTAAAGTGGAAAAAATTTCATTTGTAACGATTTTTTTTTTTCATAAATGTTGACATTGAAAAAATAATAGTTCTTCGCCGCAACACAAAAGGAAGTGACAATTAAACAAAACACCGGTTTTTTTTTGCAGCAATTAAAATTAATTTGATCAAAATATAATTATATATATGTCGTCGAATGAAAAATGAATAAGAATCCTACTCGTGTGAATATAAAAAATAATTTTATATTATTAATAAATTATCGATTGCCCTCAAAAAAAAAAAAAAAAAAAAATATACGATATGTTTAGCTAAATAATAGCTTATTGTGATTTTAGTATTTAATTATAAATACACGCGAGTATTGAAAGGAAAAAAGTATTTTATTATGTAACACGATTTTATAATTCTCGTCTTTGTCACTAATTCAAAATTTTAAAAGAGCTTGATTTCAATTTTTTACGGAAAATTTTTTTAAAAAATAAAATTTTCACGGAATTATTCACTAAAAAATTAAAAACAATAAAAAATGTTTTGAATTTTTACAGAATTTTTCAACGAAACAATTGTCAATAAAAAAAATATTTTTAAACTAAAAAAAAAATTTGAGTTTATAAAAAAACTTTTAGTCTGCAAAAATGAAGAAAAAAAAGGTTCTAATATTTATATTTGAATTTTTTTCATTCGTATAAAAATTAATAATTTTCAATCTAATAATAAGCAATTTTAGAAATTCAAATTTTCAAATGACCCCTGAAGTCAAGAGTGAAGGCAAATTCCTTTTTATTATACAATTTAAAAAAGTTATTTCGACTTCTATATATATAGATGCACATGTTTCAAGTGCGTATTACAATATATGAATGCGATGATCTCGCGATATCGCAAGAGCCGTTAAACGTAAGGATGGCAAAAGTTTTGACCTCGTTCTCAGTGTCATATATACATATAGGCACTTGTTTTGTATATTTTTTGTAAATATATTTTTAAATTTATATAATCTAATTATATAATAATAATAATAACTATATAATAATTTTTACAATAATTATAATTATATTATAGTAATTATAATGATATTATAATTTATAATAAAAATATAATCAAAATGTTTACTAATTTGAATTAGTGTCTGACTTTTTGCTTTTGAATTAGTAAAATTGACTAATAAATAGTAATTTCTATTAATTTATTAGTAAAATTTACTTCTTTTGTCTTTTTGCTTTTGAATTAGTAAATTTTACTACTAAATAAGAATTTTTACTAACTTATTAGAAAAATGTACTTTTTTTTGACTTTTTGTTTTTGAATTAGTAAATTTTTCTAATAAATCACAACTTCTACTAATTAGTAAATTTTCTTTTTACTTTTTGCTTCTTAATTAGTAAATTTTACTAATAAATATCAATTTCTACTAACTTATTAGAAAAATGTACTTTTTTTTTGACTTTTTGCTTCTGAATTAGTAAATTTTACTAATAAATCACAATTTCTACTAATTAGTAATTTTTTCTTTACTTTTTGCTTTTGAATTATTAAATTTTTATACTAGTAAATCACAATTTCCACTAATTAGTAAATTTTCTTTTTACTTTTTGCTACTGAATTAGTAAATTTTTCTAATAAATAGCAATTTCTACTAATTATAGTAAATTTGCATAATAAATTAGTAGAAATTATTATTTATTAGTAAAATTTACTTTTTTTTTACTTTTTGACTTTGAATTAGTAAATTTTACTACTAAATAACAATTTTTACTAACTTATTAGAAAAATGTATTTTTTTTTGACTTTTTGCTTCTTAATTAGTAAATTTTACTAACAAATCACAATTTCCACTAATTAGTAATAATTTTTTACTTTTTGCTTCTGAATTAGTAAATTTTACTAATAAATTAGTAGAAATTATTATTTATTAGTAAAATTTATTTTTTTTTCTTTTTGATTTTGGAATTAGTAATTTTTACTAATAAATAGTAGTTTCTACTAACTTATTAGTAATATTTACTTTTTTTGTCTTTCCGTTTTTGAATTAGTAAATATTACTAAAAAAATAAGTAGAAAATCTAGAAATTATTATTTATTAGTATAAAATTTACTTTTTTCGTCTTTTTCTTTTGAATGACTAAATTTGACTAATAAATATTTTTAGAAATTATTATTTATTCGTAAATTTGACTAAAATTTAAAAGCAAAAAGTCAGTAACTAATTAAAATCACAAATTAGTAAACATTTTTCCTAATTTAAATTTAGAGAGTTAATTATAACTACAATAATACAATATCCTACAATATTATTAATAAATAATTACAGTAACTTTTTCAAAATTATTTTCATCATTTCAAATCAATTATTATTTTCTACAATTTTTAATTTTTTTTATGAAAATAATTGAATTTTTGAAAAAAAAATTTATTATTTATAAAAATAATTGAATGATTGCGAAGGAATTTATAAAAAATTTGTAAATAATTGAATTTCTGAGAAATTTGTATTATTTATGAAAATAATTAAATTCCTCAGAAATTTGTATTATTTATGAAAATAATTAAATGTTTACGTACTATTTTTGGGAATTTGAAATTGATTTGAAAATATAATTGAATTTTGGGGAAGAATTTTGTTATTTATAAAGATAATTGGGATTTTGACGAGAATTTTTTTTAAATTTGAAAGATAATAATAATAATAATAATAATAATAATAATAATAAAAATACTCATATGTGATTCTATTTGTTTTATTATCCACGATTGTGTCTGCAATGCATGTGCGCAATCGGACATTGCAGGCTTTGTGCAAATTATTATCACGTGGAATATTCATATTCCACATATGTGTACAAGTATTCAAGGCATACGAGCCTCAAAGAAGACAAGGGCACCCATATTATTTCTCTATGCATATACACACGATTGAATCTTTATAAATGAGAAACCAGAACTTGGTTCTTGTTCATTCCGCGCAATTGTCACTTAAATTGAAATCTTATGCGCAAACATGATGTGTATATAATGTGCGCATGAATAATTTCAGTAATAATATCTTATATGAGCTGGGAATTTGTCAGAATGTATTATTTAACAAGTGGAATTTAGAAGAAGTAAATTATTCTATATCTTCTTTTTTCCGTTACTCTTATTTTCGATTTTCTTCTATTCTTTCTTCTTCTTTCTACTTGTTTTATTTTTAATTCGTAAATCAAAATTTTTCTATAGTTTTATTTTTTTTTTGTGCATTCTTCTAATTTTGTCTTTCATTTTGCCTTTTTTCCTATGTTTTATTTATTTTCTTTTTTAATTTTTCTAATTTTTTTCTAATGGACAATAATGATCTTATATGGGTAGTTTTGATTTTTTTTTAATGCAAAATTACTGCTGATTTTTTCGTTTGTAAAATATAATTAATTAACAATTACAATATGCCTAGTTAATTAATTTTATTACGAAAATAATTGAATTCTTGCAAACAAATTTTATTCCCATAATTTTTGAAAATAATTGAAATCTTTTAAAGAATTTTATTAAAATAGTTTTTGAAAATAATTGAATTCTTTTAAAGAATTTTATTAAAATAGTTTTTTAAAATAATTGAATTCTTTCGAGAAATTCCATTATTATTTAAATGAAAATAATTGAATTCTTGCGAAAAATTCCATTATTATTTAAATGAAAAAAAATTGAATTCTTGCGAAAAATTAGCTTTTGATAATAATTGATTTTTTTTTTTGAGAAATTTCATTCAAATTATATTAAAAGTAATTTAATTCCCGCACGAAAAAATTTTTTGCAAAAATAATTTAATTCTTGTAAAGAATTTTACTCTAATAATTTTTAAAAATAATTGAATTCTCGCGAAGAATTTCATTATTCAAATAATTCAAATTCTGGAGAAGAATGTAATTACAATTTTTGAAAATAATTGAATTCTTTCGAGAAATTTCATTAAAATTCTATTAAAAGTAATTGAATTCACGCGGAAAATTTTATTACGAATATAATTGAATTCTTGCAAAAAATTTTATTATAATAGTTTTTGAAAATAATTGAATTTCTGGAAAAGAATTTTATTAAAATTTTTGAAAATAATTGAATTCTTGCAAAAAAATTTTATTACAATAGTTTTTGACAATAATTGAATTTCTGGAGAAAAATTTTATTACAATAATTTTTGAAAATAATTGAATTCTTTTGAGTAATTTTAATGAAATTATATTAAAAGTAATTTAATTCCCACGAAAAAATTTATTGCGAAAATAATTGAATTTTTGCAAAGAATTTTATTCTCATAATTTTTGAAAATATTTGAATTCTCACGAAAAATTTTATTATTTTTTTTTATTTTTTTTTATGAAAATAATTTAAATTCTGGCGAAGAATTTAATTAGCTTTTGAAAATAATTGATTTCTTTTGAAAAATTCCATTGAAATTATATTAAAAATAATTGAATTCTCACAAGAAATTTTATTACGAAAATATAATTGAATTCTTGCGAAAAAAATTATTACGAAAATAATTGAATTCTTGCAAAGAATTTTATTCTCATTATTTTGTGAAAATAATTGAATTCTTCCAAAGAATTTTATTATAATAGTTTTTGAAAATAATTGAATTTTTTTTGAAAAATTCAATTATTATTGTACACTTAAAATAATTGAATTCTCGCGAAAAATTTTATTCCAAATTTAGAAAATAATTGAATTTTTTCAAGAAATTCCATTATTACTATTCAAAATTAAAAAATACTTTTTTTAAAATTAATAAAATTAATAAGTGTAGAAATAACACAAAAAAATTTACTGTTTTAAGGAAAAAGGGCAACTATAAGTTAATAGAAAATGTTACGGCTAATTTTGGTGACGTTGATCGTCGCCGGAGTTCAAGCCAGTTGTCCAATGCGACCATCCACGGAAGAGGCATCCTCCCAACGACTTCCGGGCGACGGTGGTTATCGCATTTTGATTAGTGGAGATTTCGATAAATATATCCCAAATGCTGTTTACACAATTAGCTTAAGAGGTAAATTAATTATTTATTATATATTATTTAATTATTAATTTATTCAGTTAATCAATTATTTCCAATTTGAATTAAAAGTAATTAACTCAATGAATAATTAATTTGAATAATAAATGATTGATACGAATTAATGAACAGTAATTTAATTAATAAATTACTGCTAAATCGAATTAGTAATAAATAATTCAATTGATTAATAATTAATTATTATTAACTAATAATTATTAATTAATAAATTATACATTATAAATAATAATTGAAAGAATTAATGTTATTTAAATTGAATTTAAAAAATTTTAATAATTAATTAAAATTTTGTATTATTATTATTTTTATTTTGTTATAATAATAAAATATATTGTTTAATATTCACTTTAAATTAGAATTAGTAAAAATATTTACTAATTTGAAGTAGTGACAGAATTTTTGCTTTCGAATTAGTAAACTTTACTAATAAATTTGTAAAAATTAGTATTTATTAGTAAAGTTTACTAATTCAATAGCAAAAAGTCAGTGACTATTAATTTTAGTAATAAATAGTAATTTCTACTAATTTAGTAGTAAAATCAACTAATTCGAAAGCAAAAAGTCAATTATTAATTCAAGTAAACATTTTTACTAATTCAAATTTAATTGAATAAATTTATTTATTTGAATTAATTTAATTCAAATAATTTAACAAATAAATGTGCGATTTGTTATATTTTATTTAAAAAAAAGAAAATATCAACATTCTAGAAATTGATGTGGATTTTTTTTTCAAAATATCAATTTATATATAAAAAAAAATAAAAAAAAAAACCATTTTGCATTCCAATTGGAACACACAAAATTGCACGTTCCAGGCACTCGCAATCATGAGAGACTTCAACAATTTACACGTTTCACGCTATCTATCGATTCCCAACACTTGCCTAATAACCCTGCTGCTCGAATTGGATATTTGCAGCTCTTTTCAGATTCGCTTGCTCAATTTAATGAAGATTGTATCAATACGATATCAGAGTCAACTGACAATTCAAAATCAGAGGTGAGTTCAAAAATGTATTTTTTTCATTTTTCAATGATATACGTGAAAAAAAATTTATCCCTGATATAAAAAAATGTGTATGCAATAAAAAAAAAGTGTTTTTCTAACACTTTGAAACTTTGAGTAAAAAGAATTGAATCTTCCCTCGAAAAAAAATAGACAAATAAATATTTTTCATTGTAGAAAGATTTGAGGTTTTAAATATTTTTAGATTTAAATATTTTTTAATTGAATAAATTCTTAAACATTTTTAAATGTAAAAGAAATTCAATATTTTCCAGTGTAAAAAGTTTTAAATATTTTCTAACTTAAAAAAGATTGAAAATATTTTTTAATTTAAATATTGTTCTAATTTTTAATTTAAATATTGTTCTATTTTTCAATTTTTCAATTTTTCAATTTTTCAATTTTGAAAGATTATTAAATATTTTTCAATTTGCAAAAATTTAAATATTTTCCAATTTCAAAAACATAATTTTTTTTTAAATTTAAAAAAATTCAAATATTTTTCAATTTGCAAAAATTTAAATATTTACGAATTTAAAAAACATAAAAATTTTTCTCAATTTAAAAAGATTCAAATATTTTTCAATTTAAAAAAAATTTAAAAAATATTTTTCAATTTAAAAAGATTTAAATATTTTTCAATGCAAAAATATTCAAATATTTTCCAATATATATAAATATATATATATAAATATTTAAATTCAAATATTTAAAATATGAATAATTTATATAAAAAATAGATTCAAGTGATGTGGAGAGCACCAGCATCGGGTTCGGGTTGTGTGGTATTCACTGCAATGATTTTCGAAGATTCAACACATTGGTATGCGGAAGATGGGGCATTAACGAAAACATTTTGTGAAATGACATCCGATGAAGCCGAAAAATTAGATGACAATAAATGTTGTGCTTGCGACGAAGCAAAATATTCGGTAAATTATTATTTTCTTTCTTATTTACTTTCCATAAATAAGGCGAACTATTTTATTTTGTTATTAACTACCATTAATAATGCAATCTATTTTTTATTATTATTCTCATTGTTATTCTAATTCTTTTTAATTTTCGCTATTATTATTATTATTAATATTAGGTATTATTATTATTATTATTATTATTATTATTATTATTATTATTATTATTATTATTATTATTATTATTATTCTTTACATTTTTAGTTACTATTATAGTTCTTTTCATATTTTTTGACAATATTATTGTGTATATTTTTGTTATTATTATTGTTATTACAATTTTTTATATTATAGTTAATTTATTGTTCTTATATCTACTCTCTAAATTTGAATAAGTAAAAATGTATACTAATTTGAATTAGTGACTGACTTTTTGCTTTTGAATTAGTAAATTTTACTAAAAAATAGAAACTTTTACTAATTTATTAGTAAAATTTTTTTTTTTTGACTTTTTGCTTCTGAATTAGTAAATTTGCATAATAAATTAGTAGAAATTTCTATTTATTAGTAAAATTTACTTTTTTTTTTGACATTTTGCTTTTGAATTAGTAAATTTTACTAATAAATAGAAATTTTTACTATTTTATTAGTAAAATTTAATTTTTTTGACTTTCTGTTTTGAGTTAGTAAATTTTAGTAATAAATAGTAATTTCTACTAATTTATGAGTAAAATTTACTTTTTTTGACTTTCTGTTTTTGAATTAGTAAATATTACTAATAAATTAGTAGAAATTATTCTTTATTTATTTATAAAATTAGTAATTATTACTGTTTATTAGTAAAGTTTGCAGTGCCTGACTGTTTGCTTTTAAATTAGTAAATTTTACTAAAAAATAGAAACTTTTACTAATTTTTATTAGTAAAATTTTTTTTTGACTTTTTGCTTCTGAATTAGTAAATTTGCATAATAAATTAGTAGAAATTTCTATTTATTAGTAAAATTTACTTTTTTTTTTGACATTTTGCTTTTGAATTAGTAAATTTTACTAATAAATAGAAATTTTTACTATTTTATTAGTAAAATTTAATTTTTTTGACTTTCTGTTTTGAGTTAGTAAATTTTAGTAATAAATAGTAATTTCTATAAATTTATGAGTAAAATTTACTTTTTTTGACTTTCTGTTTTTGAATTAGTAAATATTACTAATAAATTAGTAGAAATTATTCTTTATTTATTTATAAAATTAGTAGATATTACTGTTTATTAGTAAAGTTTCCAGTGCCTGACTGTTTGCTTTTAAATTAGTAAATTTTACTAATAAATTACTAATAAATTAGTATAAATGACTTATTAGTAAAATTTTCAGTGACTGACTGTTTGCTTTTGAATTTATAAATTTTACTGCTAAATAATAATTTCTAGTAATTTAATTATAGTAAAATTTACTAATCCAAAAGCAAATATTCAAAGAAAGGTAATTTTACTAAAATAAATTAGTAGAAATTACTGTTTGTTTATAAAATTCACTAATACAAAAGCAAAAAGTCAAAGAAAGTAAATTTTCCTAATAAATTAGTAGAAATGACTTATTAGAAAAATTTTCTAATTCTAAAGCAAAAAATTCAGTCACTAATTCAAATTAGTAAATACATTTTTACTAATTAAAATTTAGTGAGTAATTTTTTCTTATTTTTTGCTATTTTAAATTTAAAAAAAAAATTCTTTTCTATTTTCTATTTTTTTGTTTTTATTGTTACTATTATTTTTGTTTCTTTTTGTTATTATAATTATTATAATGCAGTTGTCACTATATTTGTTTTGTTATTTTTTTCCCCTATTATTGCTGTCAGTAAGACGATATTTCTTCTTTTATTCTTAAAATTAGATGATTATGGAGGGTATTTGGTCGAATGAGACTCACCCCAAGGATTTTCCATTTTCCCTATGGTTGACCCATTTCAGTGATGTGGTCGGTGCAACTCACGAGACAAATTTTTCCTTTTGGGGTCGGGATCACACAGCATCCGATGGATTTCGTCAACTCGCTGAATGGGGCTCTGCATCCGGATTGGAAGCCGAATTAAAATCCCAAGCTCGCCATCTGAGAACTTACATCAAGGCAGCTGGACTCTGGTATCCCAATGTCAACACTAATACAACCGCAAATTTCAGGTTTTCATTTCTCCTTCAGTGTCCATTAAACAAAAAACAAAAAACAAAAAACAAAAAACAAAAAACAAAAAACAAAAAACAAAAAACAAAAAACAAAAAACAAAAAACAAAAAACAAAAAACAAAAAACAAAAAACAAAAAACAAAAAACAAAAAACAAAAAACAAAAAACAAAAAACAAAAAACAAAAACAAAAAACAAAAACAAAAAATAACAAACTAACAAAATAATTACAATAAAATAAATAAAAAATAATTACCGAAAAGTAATTAAATATTAATTCTACTAGAAAAGTAATTAAAAATAAGACCAAAAAAAGTAGGTAACTTGATTGAGCAAAAATTATTTTTACTTAAAGAATTATTAAATTTATTTAAATAATTTGTAAATAAATTAATTTTATTAATTTTATTTATCACGAAAAATAATAATTTAATTGATTTAATGAATTTTCGATATTTCAGAATTAAAATAAAGTAATGAATATTTTGTTTTTTTTTGGCAGAGTTGACAAGAAGCATCCGTTATTGTCAGTTGCCTCAATGCTGGGACCATCGCCCGATTGGGTCGTGGGTGTGAGTAAACTAAATCTCTGTCAAAAGGATTGCTCCTGGGTTAGGAGTATGATCATTGATCTTTATCCATGGGACGGTGGGACAGATAATGGTATCAGTTATATGTCACCGAATTCGGAAACTAAGCCGAGGGAAAAAATGAAACCAATCACAACATCATATCCGGAAGATCCACGATCACCATTCTATGATCCCAGTGGAAAACCAATGCTACCATTGGCGAGACTCTATTTAAATAGGGAGGCAATTGTTCCAAAAAGTTGTGACGAACAGAATCTTCAGCAACAAATCGCTGAATTTGAAGTCACTGAAAATACTGAAGACACGTCTCGACGTAAGTTTATTGATAATTTTTTTTACAAATTTTTTTTTTAATTTTAAATTATTTTTTTATTATTTTTTTTAAATTATTTTTTCAACAAAAAAATTTTTTTTTAATTTTTAATTTTATTTTTAACAAAAAACGAATTAAAAGTGTTGCAAAATAACACTTTTAATTCGTTTTTTGTCTTAATTTGATATCCTTAGAAAAACTGTGAAAAAATGTATAGGGAACAAAAATTTTACTTGGCACAGCGATTTGTTTAAATAACGAAAGTTTTAATTAAAACTGAAAATTTAGTGAAATTTTTTAATTGTATTTTCTTTTTTTTAAGCCGAATGCCTAACGACGGAATACTCGCCATGGTCAACGTGTTCGGTGACATGCGGCAAAGGTTTGAGAATGAGAAAGAGAGATTATAGAATTCCGGAAAAAGCAGCAATGATGGGTTGTAATAGACAATTGATTTCTAAGGAAATGTGTCTTGCTTTCAGTGGTGAATGTCCGTGAGTAAATAAAAATTTATTTCAAAATATTTTATATATTTAAAAAATATTTCATGTCTGACTGAAAATATTTTTTTCTACTTTTGTATAGAAAATAGAAAAATTAAATAGAAAAATTAAAATTATTTCATGTCTTACTGAAAATTACTTTTACTACTAATATCATAATGTCTACAATTGGAGAAAATCATTGTCTGACTGATTTGTGTTTGTACTACTGAAATATTTTTCTGTTTGTACTACTGAGGTATTTTTTTATATTAAAAAATGTTTCATGTCTGACTGAAAATATTTTTTACTACTTGTGTATACAAAATTAAAATTAAAATTATTTCATGTCTTACTGAAAATTACTTTTACTACTAATATCATAATGTCTATAATTGGAGAAAATCATTGTCTGACTGATTTGTGTTTGTACTACTGAAATATTTTTCTGTTTGTACTACTGAAGTATTTTTGTGTTTATACTACTGAAATATTTTTCTATTTATACTACTGAAGTAGGGTAAACAATACAATAGAATACTTCAGTAAATAGAAATAATGTAAATAAAATAAAATGTAAATAGAAATCAGTCAGACAACAATGGAACGATTATGTCTGACTAAAAATTAACTTTTCTACTGACAAAAAAAAATTTCAAGTGCTGTCTGATTTAAATTTACTGTTACTACTGAAAGTAAAAAATGAAAACGGTGTCTGACTGAAGTTTATCTTTACTACTGAAAATATAAATATGAACAATGTCTGATTAAAAATTTACCTTTACTACTGATACAAAAAATTTCAAGTATTGTCTGAAATGGAAAGTACGTCTGACTAAAATTTGACTTTACTACTTACACACCACATTTCAAGAACTCTCGGATTAAAATTACTTCTACTACTGAAAATAGAAATAGGAACAATGTCTGACTAAAATTTGTCTTTACTACTGATACGAAAATTTCTAAGCACTGACGGATACGACTGCTAATACTAATGACAAAAATTCCTAAACCTGTCTGACTATATTCACTTTTACTACTTGAAATAGAAATAGAAACAATGTCTGACTAAAATTTGGCTTTACTACTGAAACGAAAAATCCCAAGTACTCTCTGATTAAAACTTTCTCTATGCTGAAAGTAGAAATAAGAATAATGCGGTGTCTGACCAAAAGATGGTTTTTACTACTGAAAAATTTCAAGTATTTTATTGATTTCCTAACTTTTACAATTGAAAGTCTAAATAGAAACGATGACCAAAAAATATTTGATTAAATTTACTTCTACTACTGAAATACGAATAGAAATAGAAACGATTATGTCTGACTGAAAATTATTCTTACTACTGATTTAGAAAAATTACAAGTTTTATCCGAAATAAAAATGATGTCTGACTGAAATTTTACTTTCACTACTGTCTGAAAAAAAAATTCTTCTTTTATAAATAAATTCAAATAAACTTAAATAATTGAATAAAAAATTTTTTTTTTAATTTAAAAAAATTAAAATTAAAAAAAAATGTTAAACATTTTAAAAAAATAATAGGAATTAAAAATACTTAAAATTGAAAATATCTCATTTTTGCCAACAAAAACTGGTTTTTTTTAGAGATGACGCTGAAAATGAGGACAAAGCTTTCGGTATTAATGAGTCCGATTGTGAAGCATCGAAATGGACCGAGTGGTCCGAGTGCTCGGCGTCTTGTGGTCCTGGCCTGACAATGAGAACAAGAAAGCTCGTCAATCGAAATAATAGAAAAAAATGCAATCACGTCACACTTATTGAAAAGTCGAAATGCATGAAATCAAATTGCGAACCTGGAACTGAGGAGATACTTGATCCCAAGTGCTCTGTAATTACAATTTCTCATATAAATTCTTTCAATTTTTATCCTGTTCATTTTTTATTTATTATTTGATTTCTTTTCTCTAAATTCTTTCTATCTCTAATTTGCTATAATTTTTATACTTTTATTTTCAATTTCTATACTTTCTTTCTCTCTGTAATTATTTAATTATAATTTATTTAATTTATTTAATTTATTTTTATACTTTCATTTTCAATATTTTTATTAAATTCTTTTCTTACTAAAAATCTGCTTTCTTTAGTTTACAATATCATACAGTTTTTCCGAGGAGGCAAAAAAAGTTATCAAAATTTTCACGATGCATTATTTTGATACTTTTTTTTGTCTTAATTTGATATCTTTAGAAAAACTATAATATAATTTTATACTTTAATTTTCAATCTCTTATTTAATTTCTTTCATTAAATTCTTTCTCTCTTTCTTTAGTTTACTAAAATAATAGTAATAGAAAATAGAAAATAATGCAAAAGCAAAAAAAAAAAAAAAAATACGATTTTCGCAATTCTGAAATAGGTAAAAAAGAGAGTAAATGAAAATTAAGGTTTCAGAATGGTCAACGTGGTCGCCTTGCAGTGTCACTTGTGGACAGGGTGTGAGAATGAGAATGAGATTATTAACCAGTGATCCTACATCACACGCGGAATGTTCCTTAAAAATTAAACTCATACAGCAAGTTGAATGCACGGAATCTGAAGAGTGTTCACTCGACATGGCTACTGCTAAAGGTAAAAATAATTCTTACCATTAAAAAAATTAATTTTTGATAATAAAATAATCAGATTTTTCGCAAAAAAAAAAAAAAACAAAAAAAAAATTTTTTTTTGTATAAGCAACAAAAGTACCAGAAACTAAAAAATTTTTTCAATTTCTACGATTTTTAGTTGTTTGTATGGAAGAACAAGAAATTGGTCCTTGCAGAGGACGATTTGAGCGTTGGTCATTCGACACACGTAAATTAATGTGTGTTCCATTCATTTATGGTGGATGTCGAGGAAATAGAAATAATTTCCAAACTGCCGATGAGTGTACGAAAACTTGTGAAATCGTAAGTTATTTCATTGATATTTTCATTTATTTATGAAATATTTTTTTAATATTATTTTAATACTATTTTTTTTAATGTTTCATTATTTTTACCTTTTAAGTCATTTATATTTACGTACAAGTATTTGTCTGACTTGAAATTACTTTCACTACTGATAACAGGAAAATAAAAAAAAACTGGAGAATATTCAGTCTGACTAAAATTTACTTATACTACTGATTAATTAATCTTTACTACTGAGAACAAAAAAGTTTTTAGTCAGAATAAAAAAAATTTGGTTCGACAAAATTTAACCTTTACTACTAATGTCGTAATTGTTCGAATCAAATCAAAGGCTAAAATTGAAAACTAGAATTAAAAATTAAAACTAAAAGTAAAAAATAAAACTATAAAAGTAACTGAAATGAAATAAACTAAAAATAAATAAAACTAAGAACTAAATTAAAAACTAAAATTACGAGAAAATAAATTCCCAAAAATTTGCAGTCTGACTAAAATGTAATTATACTACTGATACAGTTACTCCGTCTGACCGGAATTGATCTCTACTACTGACACCAAAAAAAAAACTTGACGGACTTTAAGAATTTGGTCTGAATAAAAAAATTTGACTCTACAAAAAATTAATAATAATTAAATAAACAATAAATAAATAATAGTAGTTATTTAAAAATATAAAAATATAGTAAAATTTAACATACCTGAGGTTAACGAAAGTTATAAATTCAGGTTCGATCGGCACTCACTGGTGGTCAACAGCAATCGAGAAAACAAGATGAATCTATTTTTAATAACAATCAACTTGTCAATAATCCTAAAGTTGATTGCATGGTTTCACCCTGGTCACCATGGACAGCTTGTAACGTTTCCTGTGGTCACGGCTTTGTTTATAGTTCACGATTCATCAAGGTTAATATCTATATAATATAATTAAAAATTAATTTACACATCTAATCAAATTAATTAATAAACTAACTCAAATTTATTAATAAATTAACTCAAATTAATTAACAAAACTACCAAAAATTAATTAATAAATTAACTCAAATTAATTAACAAAACTAACACAAATTAATTAATAAATTAACTCAAATTAATTAACAAACTAACATAAATTAGTTAATAAATAATTAAAAATTGATTAATAAATAATTAAAATAGAATAATAAATAATTAAAATAGAATAATAAATAATTAAAATTGATTAATAAATAAGTAAAATTTATTAACAAATAAAAATAAAAATTACAAAAAAAATAATTTTTCAAAAAAAAAAAAATTTTCTTTATTGTATTAAATTTTACCTTAAATTTTATTTTTTGCAGCGACAACCTGAAAATCTAGGTGCTCCTTGTCCAAAGAAACTTCAACGAAAAGCCCGTTGCACTCTTGCACCTTGTGATGATTAAAAAAAAAAAAATAAAAAGTTGATAAATTTTTTTAAAAAATGTAAAAAAAGGAGCTGAAGTCATAATCAATAGAGGCTAAGATTGATGTACAAGTATAGTTTTCAGATATTTTTTACTTTTATAAAATTCTTTTTTAAAAACACTGCACTGATCAGAAAAGAAAAGAAAAAAAACCTTTAAATCTAGTATAATCGATTACTCAAATATTGTCGAATAAATATTTATTTACTTCGAAATAATTTTTATTTGACTACGTGATAATATTTGCCTGAACTGCAAAATATTTGTCGTTCATTTTATTTATGTAAATAAAAATTATTTCGTCAAAGTAAATATTTACTTTGTAAAATTTTTTATTTTTTACTTTTTATTTTATTATTTCTTTAATTTATTTTTTATTCTATTTTCTATTTTGGAATCTTCATTTTTTATTTTCTTTCTTTATTTAATTTTTTATTCTCTATTTCTCAAATTTGTTTATTTATTTTTAATTCTCTGTTTTTGGTTTCTTTTATTTTGCTCTCTATTTTATTTTCAATGTTTCGTTTTATTTTCTATTTTTCATTTTTTTTTCTATCTCTGATTTTATTTTTCATTTAATTTTCTATTTTTACTTTAAAATTTTTAATTTTTAATATGTTTTACTTTTTATTTTTTAGTTTAAAAAATTATTTTACCACTCAACAGATTACTTTTTATTAATCTGAAAGAATCATCGTGAAAAAAAAAAATTCAACGATAATGGAAAAAAACGAGAATACGTTAAATTTCCAGACTTTTTATTAATATTGCAATTTTTTTTTTCGATAATATTTCTCGATCCACTGACTGACGAAATATATATAGAGTTACAATATATTTGTATTAAAACGTATCGATGACCCGCACCAATTACATTATTTTCCCATTCAAAATATCCGGAGCATAAATAAAGAAAAACATTTTTTTTCCAACTTTCATCTCTCGTTGACGACAATAATTAACGAAAATTTTATTTAAATTAACAGTATTGTCTGTATATAAAAAAAGAACTCAACTATAAACAAAATCAAACAAAATATATTTTTTGCTTCCTTTATTTCTAAAAACATTACTCCATATAATATATTTTTTTTTTTATTAAAAAACTAATTAAATACTTAAATATTAGTCAAAAAATCCTTAAATTAAAAAAAAACTAAAAAAATAACGACTAAAAATGAATTTATGAAATTATTTAATTAGAAAAATAAATTAAATTTCCATAATATACAATTTTTCTACAAATCTTTTTGTTTGAAAAAATAATGAAAAGATTAAAAATGAATTAAGGAAAAAATTATTTAATTAAAAATATAAATCAAATTTCCTTCAAATCTTTCTTTTTTTTCACTTTAGGTGTAAAATCAGTAAAATAATAATTTCTTTTTTTCCTGTTATTTGTATGTACATTTATAATCTTAACGTTTAAGATTTAATGACACTGTTAGGACCAAAATGATGTTTCATGATAAATTCGCTGATTTTTCTATAATTTTTTCTTGTTTTCAATTTCTGGACCCAAACAGCGTTTAAAAACTTTTTGTATATTTTTTTTTAAAGATGAATTATTATAATAATTTTTCTTTAAATCTTAGACTTTAATCCCATTAAGCGCGCAGTTATAACGAAAAAAATACCAAGAGAATTAAAAATGTAAATTGTATATTTTTCATTTTTTCTATTTATCAATCTCGTTTTTCAGAATAAATAATTCGCATTCATTTTTGATTATATAAAAAATAATCTCAACTTTGAAAAAATACTCTATTGACTATGGAAAAATCTTTGTTTTTCTGTCACGGACATTCTAATTCGTTCTTGATATTTTTTTCGAAAGTTATTTTTGTTTTTGATTTCTCTTTAGTTTGATTAACTATATTTGTCTTGTTGAGACGTTTGGTCAATGAGATTTTTTTTGTCGAATTTAATTTTTTTACTCTCTCTTTTTCTTTACGATAAAGAAGCATTTTTTTTTCTAACTTCTTCTATAATTTGCTATTTATTATATTTTTATTTCATAAACTCTCGTTTTCTCTCGATTTACAAAATTAATTGAAAATGTATTTTACAAATTGTTCGAAAAGAAAATATTTTTTTTTTAAATATACCCTTTTTTTATAATTACAATCAGTATACATGTATAAGAATTTTTATTATGTTTCTGCGAAGAGCATTATTGAGTGTACTACAATATTTTTGAAATTCGTTTCAAGCTAAAAGAGCAGGGAAAAAAAATTTATTTGTGTTTTTTGTAATTAATTATATTATTTTTATTTGAATCGAATGAAAATAATTATTTTTATTAAACAAATAATTATTTTTATATGACAAATAATTATATCAAGGAATTAAATTTTTTTTTGTAGCTAAATAATTATTTTTTAACGCGTAACAAAAAATATATTATTTTGATAATTATTGAAATCGAACAAATAATTATTTTTATCAAATAAATTTTATTTGAATCTAAAAATAATTATTATCTTTCGATAATTAAATTTAAATCGTAAAAATAATAATTTTAAATTTTAATTCGACAGTACAAATAAATATTTTTTTCAAATAATTTTTACTTTGAATCGAAATAAAGTTTTTATTTAATTCAGAAGAAAACATTGCATTTGACTCAAATAAATTTTTTTCCATTGCATATTGAAATATTATGTCAGGGAGGGAGAAAGAGAGAAAGAGAGATGATAGAAAATAGAGGACTTGATAGTTATGAATGTGATTAAATTTCACGAGAGTTGAAAAAAAATTAGAGCCGTTTCAAGCAAATATTGAAAATAAATCCAAATAATTCAATTCTAAATGTCACGATTTGAAGAATTAATGGAATATTTTTTTAATTATTTAAAATTGAAAAAATATATACCAAATTCTTGAAAATCGAATGACAAACAGAAATTGTTAATAAAAAAAATTAGTTACATAAAAAAGATAATTAAAAAGCCGAAAAAAATCGCAAAAAATGATAATAAAATTTTTTTGTATTAATAGGCTTGCAATTAAAAGAAAAAATTAAATTAACAAAAAGTAAATAAAAGGAAATAAACAAATAAAAATAAATTAAAATAAAATAAAAATAAAATAAAAATAAAATACAAATAAAATAAGAATTGCGAATAAAGAAATAAAAGCTAGAAAATAATGAAAAAAAGAATCAGGGAAAATTAATAAAAAACATTTTTTGATAGCTACAAAATTTCGAACAGAGATTATTTTCTATATATCAATTTTTCTTTTGATATATTATAACTTTTTTAAAAGTAGATTTTGAGAGTATTTTTCTTTATAATATAAGAAGTGAAGAAATATCTATTTATTAGAATATTAATATTATTTTAAAAAAATTAGTCGAATAGAACGTAATTACGTTTAAATTACTTATTATAAATTAATTAAATTACGTTTATCGTATTATAGGCCTATATCTCGAGTATATTTATACCGCTTACTTTAATTATTATTTTCTTTTGCGTTTACTTCACTTATTCTTTGGAGCTTCTTCTTTTTTTAATTATGTAAATTGCTCTATATTGTTCTCCTTTCTATCAGATCTAAGCGACATTCCCCTTTGTGGCAGTTTCAATTTTTTTTATATATCTATATTATTATATTTTTTAACAGTTATTACTGCAATCTTTTTTTTTACAATGTATACGATTATTCACAGAGTTTAACTTTTGTTTTGAATAATTTTTCTTCTTCATTTGTAGAATTTAATTTCTGCTTGTTTTTTTTTGTTGTTGTTCGTTCACAGAATTTAATTTCTTAATTGTTGTTTTTTAGTTCGTTTATACAGAATTTAAATTTCTCATTGTTGTTTTTTTTCGTACGTTTATAGAATATAATTTCTGTATAAATTTCTATTTTTGTTATTTTTCTTTTAGTTAGAAATTAAATGAAAGAAAAACAAAAAATTTTTTTTTAAATAAAGTCATAATGAGTACGAATTTTATGTCACAAATCGACAATTTCATTTCAAGTTTTTCGTTTTCATAGAATTTTTTTTCTTTCATTTTTGTTTTAAATTCTAGTTTTGTATAATTACAGCGTATAATGACAATCATGCAACAAGTTTTTTGATAATTTTAATCAGATAGAATTTTTTTGTTTTGATTTTGCTAAAATTGTACAGATTTTGAACTAGATTTTTTTTTATTTATTTGAAAGTAATTTAAAGCATTGAATATACGAAACCGAAATTTTTAGAGATGTGCAAATTGGAGAGAAATTAAAATTAATTTTTAATTTTTATAAATTAATTAATCATTTTATAATTAATTAATGAATTAAGTAATAATTAATTTTTAATTTTTAATTGAGGACTGAAAGTAATTTTTTTAAATTTAATTTGCAATAAAAAAATATTTATATCAAATAAATAATTATTTACTTGTACAAACAAAATTATATGCAAACAAATAATTATTCGAAACAAAAAAATAACATTATTGTTTTGATAATTATTTCAATCAAACAAATAATTTTCATTAATTAATTCGTTTTGGTAATTATTTGTATCAAATATTATATAAATATAAATAAATAGGTTTAAATAAATATAAGTCAATATAAACAAATACAAATAAATATAAATAAATATAAATAAATATAAATAAATATTAAATAAATATAAATAAATATAAATAAATGTAAACAAATATAAACAAATGCAAATAAATATCGTAAGTAAATATAAATATTTATAAATAAATAAATTAAAAAAATACATGAATATAAAAAAAAATTTCAAACCTTAAAATTGCATCATCTTGTATATCGGATCTGTGGAATTATTCCCGAGTTAGTTTCATCCGCAATTTTTAAAGTCGCGATTTGAAAAGTTTCTAAAAATTCCTATATTGCACTTTTTAGAATATTTTCGGAATAACTGTAAGAAAAAAGTATCGAAAACAATTTTTTTTAAAAGAAATTATCAGAAACGTTTTTTCTAAAAAAAAATCCACCCCTCCCAAATAATCAATTATTAATTAGTTAATATAATTAGTCAATTAAATGAATATAATTATACCACATTTGTTTCATATTTTTTATAAAATAATAATTCAACCATTCACAAATATAATTTTCAAAAATTTTAATTAAATTCTTTTTAACAATTCAATTTCTTTTTTTAAAACAATTTTATTTATTTATTTATTTATTTATTTTATTTTTTTTTTTCTTAGAAATTTAATTAATTTTAATAATTTATAAAAATTAAATTCTTTTCAATATCTACTACCTATTTCAATAAAATTTTACAAAAGAATTCAATTATTTATAAAGAAATATTATTAAAATTCGTCTCAAGAATTCAATTATTTTTAAAAGTAATAAAATTCTTCGCAGAAATTTAATTATGGTCGAGGGTTTAAAAAAATTCTCTTCAAAATTTCAATTATCTTTATAAATAATAAAATTTTTCTTCAAAATTCAATTACAATTTTCAAAAAAACTTAATAAAATTCTTGGAAAAATTTCAATTATTTTCGAAAACTTTTCTCAATTCAATCACAATTTTTTTTACAGAGATTCAATTATTTTTAATACAATTTTAAATATTTTAATCTATTTTCTCGAAAAATGACATTATTCTTAATAATTTTATCGAAATTCGTCAAAAGAATTTTAATTACCTATTTCAAAATTTGTTGATATAATTCTTTAAATGATAGTTCAGTTTTGAAAAAAACATTCAATTCTTCAATTAATTATTTATTTTTGTATTTAAAATTTTATATAAATTTATGAAAATAATAAAATTATTGCGAAGAAAATTATAAAAATTTATTTTTGTATTTAAATAATTGAATTCTCGCAGAATTTTCAAATAATAATTGATTTAAATATAAATTACAGTTACAATTTTAAATAATAATAATTGAATATTAAACTCTCTAAATTTAAATTAGAAATTTTTTTTCAATTTGATTAGTATTATTTTTTTTAGAAATAATTGAATTTTGAAAAGGTTTCAAATTATAATCTTTGATTTTAAATTTTTCATACTTTTAACTGGAAATTGTGTAGATTTAATTTTTTTTGAAAAACTTTAATTGAATTTTTTTTTAAGTTATTCGATTAATAATAAAATAATAATCAAATGAATGAATTGTCATTATAAAAATTTATCACTGGTTGAATTATCCAATTAAGTGAATTGAATAATAATGAAATATGAAACGAAATAATTACAATGAACTGGAATAATTAATTTTCGTATCGTAATTATTTAATTAAATTAACCAATCAATTATTATACCTAAAAAATCAATAAATCATATCGATTAATGTTTCCTTCCTTTAAATAATATCATCGAGTATAAAAATTTTCGAAGATTATTAATTAAAAATTATTAATTTTTCCTTTTTCGAAAATTTTTTTTCGTAGATTAAAAAATTATGTTTAGAAACAAAAAATCATTTTGAAATATAAAATTATATAAATAGTCAATAGCTTAAAACAGTGATAAAAGACTAGAGAAATTTTTCTTGTTTTTTTGGTAATTCGATAGACAGCGTAGTTAACGAAGCACGTTGTCACGAAGGCATCATTGTGCGTCTATGATGGAAGGGTTTTTTTTTTCTTAATGAAAAAAGGGATGTGTGAGTGGTGTCGAATATTTGTGAAATTAATTCAACCAACCTTTCCGCACGTATTAATGTAGAAATTTTCTCTCACCATTTTTTTTTTTTTTTTTTTATAGTTAATCTCAAAAGCGTGAAGAATATACATATAGGTATTGAATTAGACTCGAGAGCGATATAAAGGTTTTAATGTTCTCGTACCGCCATCAAAGCCAACCCGATGTTGTGTCATGTCCAGCAATGGGATCGATTCCGGGCAGAATACGTTGTAGTTGTGTTGCTGAGCCATTTTTCTTGAGCGCCGTTGATAAATTACCCGATGTGACAACACTCTCCTCAGTTGTCGATGGTGTTAATGGAATCGCATTAACTGACATACCTGAAAATTTGCCAATAATCACGATTCATTATTATTATTATTATTATTATTCTTAGCAACAATTACTATAACTTCTTACTCACTTTTTTTTTTAAATAAAATTTTATTTTTTTACATTTTTTTTTGCAAATTAATAAATTTTACTAATTAAATTAGTAGAAATTGGAAAACATTATTTGAAAATAATTTCTTTTCAACTGTCAAAATCTAAAATCCATGTTTTTTTTTTACTTAACGTAAAAATGAAAGAAATGTTAATTAGATCTCAGACATTTATTTTTAATAATAATAATAATAATAATAATAATAATAATAATAATAATAATAAAAATAATAATAATAAAAAATAACGAAAAAAATGACTAAATTTCGCCTCTAAATATGTGTAATTTCTAAGAGAACTCAAAAGCAACAAATTTCACTAGAACTAGAATTTTAATGTTCTAATTAATTCACTATATGAATGTTTCGTTAAAAAGTGACAAACACAAGGGACTTAAAGCTAATTCACTCTCCGGTTTAATTAAATATTCCTCTCGACGGAAATTAAATGTCTTGGAGAAGAATATTCCACTGGCACGAAATAGATTTCTCCTATCTTTTTCTTTTTTATTTTATTATTTTCCGTTTTTAAAAAATAATTCACTCAACATTTAGAGCAAGTCTTCCAGAAATTTTCCATCTCTACAATATTTGCATATATTCTTAAAATCAGAATTTATAAAATTAATTTCCTTGAAATTACTTCGTTTCAAATAATATTTAAATTCTAGTTTTGTGCATATAAGACAGAAATATTTAATAGTGAATCTAATTAGCGTAACGATAGAAAAAAAAATAGAATTTTCCCCATTTATAATTTAATTATTTTAATTTTAATTTTATTATTTATCTTTATCTCTCAAAATTTAAATTTTTAATTTTATTATTTAAATTTTGAGAGATAATTATAATTATCTCTCAAAATTTATTATTTATTATAATAATTATGAATTATTATAATTTAAATAATAAAATTAAAATAATTAAAACTATAAATGGAAAAAATTCCATATTTTGTTAATGTTTATATTAATTAATTCAAAAATACAGAAATAATTTTTTTTTTGAATTAATTAGTAAATATAATTTTTTTATTTTTATTTATTTTTTTTATTCTCAATTAGTAAGAATAATAATACCATAAATGAATTAAATAAATTATTTTTACGTCATTTGATTAAAGAATACAGGAAAGATTACTTTCTTTATTTGTTAATTCAGAAATTAATTAATAAAAAGTTAATTATTATTAGTAATAATGATTAATTATTAGGTAATTAATTATTGAAAAAATAATAAATAAAATTATTTAATTAAAGAATAGAGAAAAAATTTAATAATTAATTCTTCTGCTACAAAATGTAATATTTTATAGAGCAGAATAAATTAAATTGAATTGAATATCTACTATTTTGTAAAACATTTTTCAAAATAAATTTTTTTAAAAGAAAAAGAAGAATTGATTTAATATTAAAAAACCATTGTATGAAGTAAAGAATTTATTTATATTTTGCTCAGGAATATAGAATTAATTATTATCTAAATTAATAAATTTAATAAATTTATTAAGACATAAATAAGTTCTATTATAAAACTTTGGATGAATTATTGAAAAAATCTATTATTACCTAAATTATTCAATAATTGAATAATATAGAAAAAATCTATTATTAAATTATTCAGTAATTGAATATAGAAAAAATTAAATATTCAAAATTAAAAATAATAAAATAGACGAACAAAAACAAAAAAATAAAAAATAGTTAAGAAGGATAAAAATAATAAGTGAAGAATATATTTTCATAATTATGAATTCAAGAAGATAGAAGTAATTATTATCTGTATTAATTAAAAAAACAATTCACTTCTTTTCTTCCACTAAGAAAGAAAATAAAACATTGAGTTAAACGATCAGATCAGAATATAAAAAGTAATTAAATACATAATTAAAATACCTTCGGATCATAATGAGAATGTAAAAAAATTGAGAGAAAAAGAGAGAAGGTAAAAATAATGATCCTGAAATAAAAGTGGAATAAAAATAAAATAGAAAATAAAATAAAAGAAAAATAAAACAAAAATAAAATCTATTCTAAAAATGGAAAAAATGAGAAAAACTGAAAAACTGAAAAACTCACCTTGATCACCTGGACCAAATGATTCGGCAGCGTCGAGACTCGGCTGTTGACTCTGAATGACCTCGTGACTTCTCGGTGGAATCGATTGCATTGCAAGATCGGGACTTCGAGTTGGCACACTCGAGGCACGTTGCAATTGCAATCGTGACATTCGCGACGCCAATACAGTGGCAATTGGCTGTACGACACTCTCGACTGGTGTCGTCGTACTTGACACCGATGGGGTTGACGATCGTGATGTAGAAAATTTTTTTCGCTTCTTCTTCAATGCGGCAAATGCTGGTCCAAGACCGTGACCGAACACATTGTGGCTTTCATGTTGTTGTTGCTGTTGTTGTTGTTGTGAATGATGATGATGATGATGATGATGTTGCATGTGATGTGGATGATGAGGATGTGAATCCTGAGATGGTGCATCCAATGATGATTTTGAATCAGACGAACCTTCCGATCTTGAACCACCCTCATCGGATCCTGGTGAATAGACCGAGTCCTCCGAACGTGATCTTCCTGTTTATTGAATAAATTTTCTTCTTTGTAGAATGTTTCACTTCAGTATTTTTTTTATTATTTACCATTTTTATTTTCTTCTGGTTTTTCTATTTACTATTTCTATTATTTACTATTTTTATTATTTACTATTTTTATTTTTTACTGTTTTTTCTATTTACTATTTTTATTATTTTCTATTTTTACTTTTTACTGTTTTTTCTATTTACTATTTTTATTATTTCCTATTTCTACTATTTACTATTTTTATTCTTTACTATTTTTATTCTTTCCTGTTTTTACTATTTACTATTTCTAGTATTTACTATTTTTATTCTCTACTGTTTTTACTAATTTTACTACTTACTATTGTTGCTATTTACTGTTTTTACTTTTTACTATGTTTACTATTTTTATTCTTTATACTTTTTTTACTATCTAGTATTTTTAAAATTAATTTTTATCAGTGATAATAAAAAAAGTCAATTTTTTTGTTCTTTTTAAAAAATATTAAATTTTGTTTTATTAAAAAAATTATTATATAATTTAATTTTAATTTTCTAGAACCGAGTGATAATAATTTTCAGTAAGCAATATTGAGTGCAGAAAAATTTTTAAATCCAGTTTCATTCCAAAACGTTCTACTATAATAAATTTGAGAAAAAAATCATGCATTTCTATTTTCTAGAGAGGAAAACCAAAATTCTATACAAAAAATACAAAAAATGAACTATAAAAAGATTAAACGACTAAAAGAATAAATTACAAAAAAAATTTACTGCTAGAAAAGCAAACTACAAATAAATAAATTTCCAATAAAAAGTAAACTACAAAAAGATACAAAAAAAATAAAATAAAGTAAAAATATAAACCACGGAAAAAGGTTTTTAATACCTAATGAACTTGAAAGAAAATAAATTGCAAAATAATTAACTTATAAAAAGAAACCACAGAAAAAATTTTTTAAAAATGAATTACAAAGAAATACAGAAAAATGAACTATAAAAAAATTAATTGAAAAAAATTAGTTGCAAAAAAATTTACCAAAAAAAGCTACGAAGAACTGAATTACAAAAAATAAACTACAAGAAGAATAAATTACAAAAAAAGAACTGCAAAGAAAATATACTACAAAAAGAAATTCCAAGTAAAAAAGAAAATGCAAAAAAACTAAAATAAAAATAATAAACCACCAAAATAAATTTTTAAAATTAAAAAAAAAAAAAATACAAAAAATGTACTATGAAGAAAATAAAGTACATAAAAATAAAGTAGAATAAAATGAACGACAAAAAAAATTAATTTACTAAAAAATAAAACACCGAAGTAATAAATAACAAGAAAATAAACTACAAAGGAATACTAAAATACTAAATTACTAAAAAAATAATAAAGAAAAAAATCAACTACAAAAAAGATATAAAAAAAATTTGCAAGAGAATGAACTACAAAAGAATAAAAAAATACTAAATTACTAAAAAAAATAATTAACTGATAAATCAACTACAAAAAAGATATAAAAAAATTTGCAAGAGAATAGACTACAAAAAGTGCAATACAATACTACAATACAATACCAAAAAAATACTCCACACATTTTTTTTTCTTTTTTTTTTTTCAAAAAAAGCAAATTCTAAATTTCTAAAAAGAATCCTATACCAATCAGCCTGGAGACTCTACCAGCTTTGGCAGCTTCAATAATTGTTCCCCAGCGTCGTTTTTTCGAATCACTTCTCGATTCACGATTCATTCTTTGTCCACCACTACCAAGTCCCGGTACACTATTTGTACTGGTGTGATGTCGTTTTGGTGCGATACTCGAACCAAAAATACCGCTCAATGTACTGCCGAAAAGTTCATGCGATTGCTGTTCATCGTGTGAATGTTGAAGTGATGCAGTAAATTCAGCGACTGGCGGCAATTGACCACTGCCCGATGGTTGTGGTGCAATATTGAAGCCCTTCATCAGTCTTCTCTCCTTTTGACGATTCTTCTTACCACCCGCACCTATGGACAACTCTTTCACGCTACCGTCTACTATACAAAAAAAAAACCAAAAAAAAAACCCAAAAAAACCGAAACAAACAGAAAAAAGACAAACTGAAAAAAACTACAATAACAAAACATAAATTGTGGATTATACAGTCAAAATTATAGTTAAATTATATTTTTAAATTATATAATCGGGTCTCATGACATAATATCGATAATTTTAATTATTATCGATGCGTGTTCTTGGAGTAAAGTATAATAATATCTAAGGAAAAATTACGAAAAAAAAATTACAAACGAAAAAATTTGTGCAGAAAAAAGTTATAATTGGGTTTTTTTAGTTCCTTTGGAAAAATTGTCGGATGGGAAATATTGAAGAATTGTGAAGTACCATTATTTTATTAGTATAGTAACTAGTATTATATTGGTACAGTATTTAATATTTTACTACTATAGAAATTAATATTCTACTGGTATAATATTTATTACTATACTGGTGTAATATTTATTACTATACTGTTATAATATTTATTACTATACTGTTATAAAATTTATTATTTTCCTCGTACAATATTTATGTTTTGTACAAGTATAATATTTATTACCATACTGGTATAATATTTATTACTATACTGTTATAATATTTATTATTCTACTGGTATAATATTTATTACTATACTGGTGTAATATTTATTACTATACTGTTATAATATTTATTACTATACTGTTATAAAATTTATTATTTTCCTCGTACAATATTTATTTTTTGTACAAGTATAATATTTATTACTATACTGGTATAATTATTATTACTATACTGTTATAATATTTATTATTCTACTGGTATAATATGTATTATTTTCCCCGTACAATATGTGATTTACAATACAAAAACAACTAATTTATGTAAATAAATTTACACTAATAGAAAACTTTCTATTTTTGTAAGTTCGTTTATTCACGAACTTACAAAAATAAAAATAAAATATTCGTTTACCATAAAAATAATAAAATACTTGTATAGTAATCCTAGTTAAATTGTAAATAATTTAGTAATTATTTATTATTATGATAGTAAATAAAATTAGATTAGTAGAATAATAAATATTAGATTTAGTAAAGTAATTAATATTAGACTAGTAAAATAATTAATTAATTAAAAAATAATTCATTAAATTCTACAATAATTAATATTATTATACTCTTCAAAATTGTTTTAAAATTATTACCAAATATTCATTTTCTAAATAGTTTAGATAACAATATTACACACAAAATAAAAAATAAATAATTTTTTTTTCTTATCATGAAATTCTTTTTTTTAAAATAATTTTTCTTTTTTTTTAAGAAATTTGTTTTTCAATTTTCTTTTTTTAATAATTTTTTTTTATTTAAATTTTTTAAATTAGTTAGAAAAATAAAGAATTTAATTCCCATTTAAAAAAAATTGTATAACAATTGTATTTTTTCGCATTTTCTACTTAAAAAAATTTCTATTTCATAAAAATGCTTCAACAATTAAAAAAATCAATTTTTTTATTCCTTAATTTTTTGGTAGATGAAAAAAACATGTTTTTTTTTACAAAATTGTGAAAGGATTTTAAAATCTATTAATTTTTAAGAAAAATAAATTTTAAATAATTAAATAGTTGAAATAATTTTTTTGATAAAGTTAAAAATGTAGTGAATTATAAAAATAATTTTATATATTATTATTATTTCTTCCCTTAAATAATTAAAAAATTATCGTTATTTATCGAAAATACACGGAAAAGTTCTTGGGCGAGTCGCTGTACCTGTTGTGGTGGCGCTGAGTGACCAGTACCTATGGTAAAGTGACAGCCCCATTTTGGTAGCTCATTTCACCCACAGAGACTGCTGCTTTCCTACTGTGGGGCGTCAGAGCTCTCTTGTGGGGCATCAGAGCTCTCTTTAGAGAGAAAGCAGAAAACCTTTTCTGTGGGAGGCGAGTGAGAGACGTCTGCTCGCCCAAAAACTTTTCCGTGTAGTAAAGATTTTTATTAATTTAAATGTAGCGAGTGTATTAAAAAATATACAATAAAAATGATCATAGAAATTAATATAAAAATATAAAATAACCTTAAAAATATTTTAAAAATTGTTGCGAAATTGTTTTTCTTTTGTTTTTTTTTACACAAATTTTATACTATGATTAATATTTAATTAAATTTTTACTAGAAAAAAAAATGAAGAAAAAATTTTTTTTTTTTGGAAAAAACTATAAATTTTGTAGAAAACTGTAAATTTTTGTAAAATTACAATATTATTTCCAAAGGAAGTAAAAAAAAAATAAAATTGTGCTTATATTTTTTCTCACCAGTTGCACCGCTTGCTGTCGATGTATTCATTCCGGAATTTTTAAGAATCTCGATGAGCTCACAACGAAATGCGCTAATGTCCTGTTTGATTTCGTTGACATCATCCTCAGTGACACCCTCGCCCTCTGTTCTTCTTTGTTCGACAGTCACGTAACGTCTTACGAGATTCCTCATTATTTGTTGATACCGGAAATCGCGCTCCGACGCCTGCTTCTGTTTTCTCTGGAAAAATAGAATTGCTCCTGTGATGAAATCTGTAATCCCTAGAATTTTCCATATGTTTTTTCTGTTCTGAAAGAAAAATTTGTCAATCATTTTCTTCCTGAAGGACTTTTTTTTCTAAATTTATTTTTCTTTTAATTTTTGTTTTTTATTCTTTTCTTTAATATAATTATTGTAAATAATTTTTTACTTCTGAGAATAAAATTCTAAAAAAAAAATTGAAAAAATTGAAAAATTTTTTTTAACGAAGTTAAAAAAATAAAAATAGGAGAAAAAAAAGAAACGAAAAACTCACCCTAATTGTTCGCATATGCTCCTTTTTTGCGGCTCTACTGTGTCCGCAAACTTTTCGATACATCCACATGAAAACATAACCGGCACTTTTTGGTGTTGGAATAATATTAAAGGGCGGTGGTACCGTTCCACCTTCTTCAAAATAACTTATCCACAGTTTACTTCTTGCAAATTTCCATTCAACGTCAGCGCGTTCCTAAATTTTAAATTTAATTTTTAATTTTTCCTAAATCCTAAATTTTATTTTTTAAAAATGCTTATTTCTTTCAATTTTGTACAAACAAATTTTTTTTCTAAATAAGTTGTATACCTAAATGCGTTTCAAGAGCAAATAATGAAAACAAAAAATTAATTAAAAAAATTAATTTGACTTTTTTTTTAAAAACATTTTTCTTCTCTATAGGGAAAATAAAAATTATTACCGATATTAATTGATAGGAGTGATTCATCATGGCAATTAAAAGATTCAATAATACGACAATATTGATAACAGAATATGTGCCAAACATGAGCATTCCCCAGAATCGTGTGAATATTTTGATGCCATCCAATTCGAAACTTTCAAGATCCACCAATCCGAATACTGCCCAAAAAAGCGTTTGTATTGTCTCGAACAAACTGTCGAAAAAAAATATATATTTACTTTATTTCTATTAGAAAACAAAAAAGGGAAGAAAAGAAAAAGAAAATTTTAAAGTTTTTTTAGATTGTTGCAGAAAAAAATTCGTCTGACATAAAAATACTTTTACTACTGTGACATTTTTTTTACATTCACAGAGAGTCTGACTAAAGCAGAACTTAACTACTGAAAATATTGTCTGACCATAATTTATCTTTACTACTGAAAAATTGTCTGACCATTTAATTTATCTTTACTACTAAAAATATTGTCTGACTATAATTTACCTTTACTACTGAAAAAAATGTCAGATAATTTATTTTTACTACTGACGAATATTCTATCGTAATTAAGCTTTGTTGTTGAAAAAAAATGTCTGACTGGAATTTACTTTTACTACTAATAAATATTTTACGATTATTTTCCTTTTTACTACTGAAAGAATTATTATTAAAATATACCTTTACTACTGAAAAATATATTATCGTAATTTACCATTTTTAGTTCTTACTGAAAAAACGTCTGATTACTACTTACCTTTACTACTAAAAAATATTATTCATTAACGCACTGTTGGGACGAAATAAATTTCTGACTAACGTTTATCTTTACTACTGAGAAAATGTCAGACATTTTATTTTTACGACTAAATAATATTTTGATTTACCTTTTTTATTAAAACAAGTGTCTGACTGGAATTTACTTTTACTACTAAAAAAATGTATAGCTGAAATTTACTTTTACTACTGAAAAAATGTCTGACTGGAATATACTTTTACTACTGAGAAAAAATGTCTGACTGGAATTCACTTTCACTACTGAAAAAACGTCTGATAGAAACTTACTTTTACTGCTGAGAAAAATGTCTAATTGAAATTTACTTTCACTGCTGAAAACACGTCTGACTGGAATTTACTTTTACTACTGAAAAATGTCTGACTAGAATATACTTTTACTAATGAGAAAAATGTCTGACTGAAATTTACTTTAACTACTGAAAAAACGTCTGATTGTCACTTACTTTTACTACTGAAAAAAATGTCTGTCTGAAAGTTACTTTTACTACTGAGAAATGCTTTACCATCATTTACCTTTACTACTGAAAAAATGTCTGACCGAAATTTACCTTTTCTACTGAAAAATGTCTCATCGAAATTTACTTTTACTACTGAAAAAATGCAAAAAAAAAATTGAAAACTATGTCTGATCATTATCTACTTGCACTACTGTCATAATATAAAAAAAAGGAAAAGTTGCATTACGCCTGACGAAAATTACTTTTACTACTAATACAAAAATATTTATTTTTAATATTTTTTTGTGTGGCTAAAATTGTCTAAAACTATAGGTAGAAAAATTTCTAATAACAATTTACTGTTAATACTGTCAATAAAAGTAGAAATTAAAATTTTTCTCTTGTCTGACCTAAAATTTCCTTTACTACTGTGACGCAAAAAAAAAAATACATAAATTTGCAAAAAGTCTTCCTAAAAGTATGTTTAACTACCGAGATAAAAATGTCCCGTCAACAAATTCATTCCCTACTGATATTAAAAGTCAAGCAGTTAAAAAATGTCTGACCGTAATTTACTCATACTACTGAGAATTGAAAAAAATGTTTAAATAGAGTTAATAAAATTTTATTAAAAAATTTTTTTAATAAAAATAAAAATAAAAATAATTTTTAATAAAAATAAAAATAAAAATAATTTTTAATAAAAATAAAAATAAAAATAATTTTTAATAAAAATAAAAATAATTTTTCTAATTAAAAAAAAAAATTTTTTTTAATAAAAATAATTATTTCCAATAAAATGTTTTCCGACGAAAATTTTATACAATTACAAATTAAATAAAAGAGAGAATTTTTTTTGTTAATTAGATATGTTTCTTATTCTCTAAATTCAAATTAATAAAAATTTTTACTAATTGAAATTTACAGAGTTAGGAGATGTGTTAAAAATTTTTTTCAAAAAAATAGAAAGTACTCGTTACACAAAAAAAAAGTAGAGAAAAAAATGAAACAGTAAAAGAATTTGTCTCTTTGAAATCGAAATTTGTCCCCATTCTTTGATTCTCGTATTTTTGAAACCATTTATTTCGTTTCAAGCCTTAATTATCTTCTACTCTACTAGTTTTATTTTACACTTTTTTCTTTTTTTTTTTTTTTTGTCGATCTTAAAATAATCGAAAGTTTTATTTTTTCTATACTTGTTCAATTGTTGTCGCGAGTGAAAATTAAAAATATAGTGGAAATAAATGTTCTTTTCGCTTTGATGTTTTATACGAACGTTTTGATCGATCAAATTGAATTTCAGGTAGCGAAAAAAGACTCTCAATTTTATTCGCAAATAGCATTTAAAAAATAGTCTACCACAAAAAAAAAAGAAAATATTTTTTTCTATTCTATTTTTATCAAAAGAATCTATAAAAATTTGAGAAAAAAACTCTGTTTCAACAAAAATTGTTTTACTTAAAAAGATTTTTCAGTTTTATTTAAATTTTGTTTAGTTTGAAAAAATTTTTTTCTTCCCCTATCGATAGGGGAAAATATTGATACAGGGGAGGGGAAAGGGGAAGTTAAATACTATTTGAAAAATGTTAGAGAGAACTGATTCACTAAAAATTGTTATTATTTATTTGTACTGTTAATTGTTTTAATTGTTTATTTAAAATATTTTACTTTGAAAAAAAAATATATTTTTCATCCTCTATCGAATTTAGAAAAAGAGTGCTAAGAACGAGAAGCAAGAAACTGTATATATATATATGTGTGTAAAATAAAAATTTTCATTTAGTTCAAAATAAGAAATTGGTGAAAAACATACTTTGCAAATCTGCGCCAAACGATGCAAGCATTTGGATCCATATTGGTTACATTTGCATTTTGAGGATTTGCCGAGGCAGTGGGACACTTTTTCTTCTCCAAATCCGCGTAGTACCATAAAAGTTGATTCAGCCCTGAAAATCCAATTACATAAAACCAACAAATTCTTGTGATTCAAAAAAAAAAAAAAAAAAAAAATTTAAATCGATCTATTTTTTACCAAATTTTCTTTTTTGAAAAATTCGTTTAATGTTTGTTTGTTTTTTTTTGGAAAAAAATTTTTTAAAAAAAGTGAAAAGACAAAAAATCACTGACCACAGGAGAAAGCAAACAGGACCAAAACGTAGAGAAAGAAGAATTTCATAATGTCCATCACCATTCGCGACAGAGAAACTTGCAAGGGTCCCAAGTGTGGATTCACAGAAAAAATGTACACCAACTTCAAAGAACTGCATTCAAAGGAAAAAATATTTTTTTTACATTTTAAAGCGGTTTGGAAGTTGAAATTTTTGTTTTAATTATGATAGTAATTATAGTTATGATACTAATTAGTAATGAATGTAATTACATAATTAACTCTAGGAATAAGTATGTAACTAATTGTAAAATTAGTAATAAAAATAATTACATAACTAATTATATAATTAGTAATAAAAAAAATAATTACGTAACTAATTATATAATTAGTAATAAAAATAAATACATAACTAATTATGATATTAGTTACAAAAATAATTTCCTAACAAATTATATAAATTCGTAACAATTATATAATTATTTATAAAAATAATTACGTAACTAATTGTAAAACTGTTCGCGCAAAATAATTTTGTAATTAATTGACGGAATTATTTAACTAATTATATAATCAATTCGTTCATTAATAACTAATAATAATAATTGCGTGTAACTAACATTTTTAGTTTTCATGATTTTGATATTTTTGTTGTTTTGATTTTTGTTGTTTTTAACTAATTGTTAGTTTATTTACGCAATTATAATTAAAAATTTTTATTACAAAATTAATTGAAAATCTTACTTTGATAATTATTTAAACTTTTTTTATTTATACAGAAACGTAAAAAAGATAATAACAATTACTAAAAATTTAATTAATTATACACTCAAAAAAAAAAAAAAAAAAAAAAAAAAAAAAAAAATACAGAAATGTTGGAAAATACTAAAAATACTAAAATATTAAATACTAAAAATACTAAAAATACTAAAAATGAATAAAATTAAGAAAAGAATAGAAAAACTGAAAATGAATAAAATTGAAGAAATGGAAAACTGAAAAATGAATAAAATTGAAAAAAATGAAAAACTGAAAATGAATAAAATTAGAAAAAATGAAAAACTGAAAATGAATAAAAATTAAAAAGAAAAATGAAAACCTGAAAATATTGGCAGCCGAAAATAGTCCCTCGGATATAAGCATTGGATCCCAAGTGTCCCACTCTTCTCGTTGAAGTTCTATGATTGATCCGGCGTCACGACCCTCATTTTCTTTTTGTACCCTATAGTAAGCGACCACCCTCAATGCAACGGTTGCCACGTACAACGAGTTCGTTACGAAGTCGATCACATTCCACATGTCGTTCACGTACTCTTCAAGGCCCACGTCCCACAATTGCTTTACCTCCGACCAAATCAGTCCGGAAACCCAGGCCAATATTAACCTGCAACATTTATGACATCTGGATGGATGAAAGATGATTCTAAATTTATCTCATATTTTGATTTGCAATGAATCAAAATACATATTTTTTCTCCCACCAAATTTCAATTTTAACTATTTTTTTTTTATTCTCAAAAATATTTTTTTATTTTCTGAAAAATTTTCAAATATTTAGTTTAAAACTTTTATAATTCTTTCTCTAAAATTTATTAATTCTCTAAAATTCAAATTGGTGATTTTTTGTTTACACAAACAAAAAATTCTCTGAAATTCTAAAAGAATTCTCTAAAATTCAAATTGGTGATTTTTTGTTTACACAAACAAAAAATTCTCTGAAATTCTAAAAGAATTCTCTAAAATTCAAATTGGTGATTTTTTTATTGCACAAACAAAGCAAGTATCTTACGAAAAATTAAATTTTTAATTATTAATTTTGTGATTATTATTTATCTGTTTTATGATCTCAATTTTTAAATGTAATTAATTGTAACTACTCTTCAAATTTAAATTAGTAAAAATGTTTACTAATTTGAATCATTGACTGACTTTTTGCTTTTGAATTAGTAAATTTTACTAATAAATTAGTAGAAATTACTATTAATGAGTAAAATTTACTAATTCAAAAGCAAAAAGTCAGTCACTAATTTGAACTAGTAAACATTTCCACTAATTCGATTTTAGAGAGTACAAAATTAAAAAATAGAAATTACAAAATAAAAAAATATAATAATAAAATAAAAAAATTATAATTAGAAATATAATTAAAACTTCTAAACACAATTTCAGTTTATAATTATGTGTTTATAATTAATAATTAAAATTTTTAAGTAGGAATTCGAATCTCAAGTTAGGAAGTTAATTAAAATGTGTATCAACAATAAAAAAGTAAAAATTCATAAAATATAGAATAAAAATTATAATTAATATTTTAAACACAATTTTAGTTTATAATTATGTGAATATATAATTTATAAGTATTTTAATAGTGAATCGTCAAGTTTATTTAAATTTGAAACTAGAAATAAAATATATAAATTAAAAATAATTGCAATAATGGAAATTCATGCGCGAAAAAATTAATTATTTATAAAAATAATTGAATTCTTGACTTCTTGAGAAAAATGTTATTAATGTTTGTGAAAATAATTAGATTGTTTTGAAGAATTTATATGATTTTTTTGAAAAACAATAAATAAAATAAAAAAAAATAATATTAGATAAAGTTTAATTTTAATTGAAAATCATGAAAGTAATTAAATATTTTGAAGAATTTCCTTCAAATTTTTAAAATAATCGTGTTTGTTAATAATTGTCAAAAAAAAAAATGTTTAATTATATTGAATTTTATTAAAATTTTTAGAAAATTATAAAATTCTGAGAAGAATTTTATTACAATTCTTTAAGATAATTAAATTAATTCAAGGGATTTTATTAAAATATTAAAAATACTTGAATTCTTTTTCATAATTTTATTATTAAATTTTATTAAAAATATTAATAAAAAAATTTAATTCTTTCGGACAATTTTATTAGAGTTTTTGTAAATAATTAAATTTAGAAATTTATTGAAAGAATTTTTTAATATTTTTTGAAAATAATTTTTTAAATAATTTTAATTATGAAAATTAGGAAAATAATTCAATTTTACGAAGATTTTTTTTTCAACTTGTTGAAATAATTGTTTCTGTGTTAATGATTGTAATAAAATTTTTAATTATTAAATTTTATTGGTATTTTTCGGAAATAATTGAATTCTTCTCAGAATTTTATTCCAATTTTTGAATATAATTGAATTCTTTCGAGAAATTTTCTAAAAATTGTCCCCAAAAAATTGAATTCATGCGAAGAAATTCATTATTTATAAAAATAATTGAATTATTATGAAACATTTATTTTTCTAACAATTTAAAAAAATAATTGAATCCTTTCGAGAAATTTTCTAAAAATTGTATTGAAAATAATTGAATTCATGCGAAAAAATTTATCATTTATAAAAATAATTGAATTATTATGAAACATTAATTTTTTACAATTTTTAAAAATAATCGAATCCATTTGAGAAATTTTATTAAAAAGTGTATTGAAAATTGAATTTTTGCGAGGAATTTTATTTAAACTGTTGAGAATAATAAATAATAATAATTATTTATGTATATAGTTATTTATATTTTTATAAATTATATAAATTAAAATAATTTAATTGTTGAAAAAAGTTCAATTATTTTAAAAACAAAAAAACTCTTTCTAATTTCTAGGAATTGAAAGCAAAAAAAAAAAAAAACAAATTAATTTGTTGAAATTGATGATTTCTTTTTTTACCATTCGACTATTGTGGGGGCGGCTCCTCGTTTTGTTGGCGTTGGATCGTGCTCCTCGGAAGGAAATACATTTCCCATCCAATTTCCAATCACACTTTCGATCCTCTGACTGGCTAAAATTAACATGACTGCAAAGAGGAGAAAAAAAAAATATTCTTTTTTAATACAAAATTTTCCTGAATTCATGAAAATAATCCTTTTTCACCAGTTCATATTATAAAATAGCTATAAAAATCGTGAACGTAAAAATATGACCATTTTTCATTAAAAAAAAATTTTAATTTCAAAAATCTACAATTTCATTTTTTTTTATAACACATAATTCAATTTAAATACCTGAAAGTGATAAAAATGGGGATAAAAAATTCACGATTATAAAAATGTGGATTTTTTTTTTTTTGGAAAAATTGCTTTTGACAAAAATAACTTTTATAAATTTTGACGAAAAAATTTGTCTATTTAGAAAAGTTTTAATAGATTTTGAAGTAAAATCCGTATGTAATTTAAAGTTTAAATATATAATTTGAAAAATTTGATATAATTTGAAAAGTTTTTATTCCGATTTTAAATATTTTATTTTTTAATTTAAAAAGTTTGGAATTGGAGAAATATTCTTGAAGTTTAGATTCAATATTTTTTGTCAAAACTATGCTTTTAGTTTGAATTTCTCTGTTTTCTTTATTTCTTTCCTTCTTAATTTTCTTATTTCTTTATTTTGTATTTCTTTAGGATTTATATATTTTTGTGTTTATTTCTTAATTTCCGTGTTTGTTAATTTTCGTATTTTTTATTTCATAATTTCACAATTTTTTTTATTAACAAAAATTTTTTTTTTACCTACCTTAATTTAAAAATTAAAAAATTTCCTACTTTCTTTATTCCTATATTTTTATATTTCTTAATTTCCCTATTTCCTAGTTTTTTAATTTTTTAATTCCATAACATTTTTATTTTCTTATTTCTTAATTTATTATTTCTAAATTTGCCTATTTCTTAGTTTTTAAATTTTTTGATTTTTTAATTTCTTAATTTTTTAATTTTTCAGTTTTTTAATTTTTTAATTCTTTAAACTTTTAATTTCTTATTTTCTCAATTCTTTGATTTTTCAATTCCTTAATTTATTAATTTCTTAATTTTTCATTTTCTTAATAAATTAATTTTTTAATTTTTATGTTTTTGAATTTCTTAATTTCCTTATTTTCTAGTTTAAACATTTTTTAATTTCATAATTTTTCAATTCCTTAATTAATTTATTTTTTTATTTTCTCAATTTTTCTATTTCCTAGTTTTTTAATTATTTAATTATTCAATTCTTTAAATTCTTAATTTCTTAAGTTTTTTAATTATTTAATTATTTAATTCTTAAAATTCTTATTTCTTAAGTTTTTTAATTTTTAAATTCTTCAAATTCTTAATTTCATAACATTTTTATTTTCTTATTTCTTAATTTTGTATTTCTTTAGGATTTACATATTTTTGTGTTTATATTTCTTAATTTCCTTGTTTCTTAATTTTCTTATTTTTTGTTTGTAAATTTCACTATCTCTTTTTTTCCTAATTTTTGGATTTTTCAATTCCTTAATTATTGTTTCTTAATTTTATAAGTTTGTAAACTCTTAATTTCTTAACTTTTTGATTATTTAATTTCTTAATTTTTTAATTCCTTAATTTCTTAATTTTTCATTTTCTTAATTACTTTTACTTAATTTCTCTATTTCTATATTTTTGAATTTCTCAATTTTTCTTTTTTTCAATTTCTTAATTATTTAATTCTTTAAATTCTTAATTGCATAACATTTTTTGTCTTATTCCTTAATTTTCCTATTTTTTAGTTTCTTAATTTCAGAATTTCATAATTTCATAATTTCTTAATTTCTTAATTCCTCAATTTTTTAGTTTCTGAATTTCTTTATCTTTTAATTCTATAATTTATTAATTTTTTAATTTCATAATTTCTTTATTTGTTCTTATTCTTTTATTCCTTTATTTCCTTATTTTTTATTTGACATCCTCATACAGGAAATAGAGAATACAAAAGATAAGTAATGATTTGATTTTCTCTTGGTTTGTTTAGAAAGGGAAATTTTTTTTTTAAGAAGTGACAACTTACATAAAAATGTAAAATAGGATGCAGAGTGGCAGATAAATTTGATGAACGGTTTCCTCATGGTTAGACCGATAGTGCTGTGAGGGGCTATTATATAGGCCACACTGTAAAGTGGAAAGAACATTCCAATACGGACGATTTGCACAGCCTGAAGAAACATATTCTTCCTCCGAAAGCCCGGAAGGCCCTCGTACCAAATCGATGCCAGCAATTGCTGAACATTTGGATGCGCGACAAACTGAAAATATTTGTGATGAAAATGGTTATTGAGAAATTTTCATAAAATTTATTTTCATATGAAATTTTCATAAAATTTAATTTTACTGCACACTTTCATGGAACGCTGTGCGCTTATACTATATATACATAAATTAATAAAGTGTGTCAGACCAGAACTCATCTTTTACTACTTATTATAATTTTTTTTTTATTTCTCACATTGCCAGATTATAATTTATTTTTATTATATAGTAGTGCTTTAAGAATTTTTTTTTATCACCTTGTCGCGAAATTTTCTTTTACTATTTTTTTAGTATAGTTTTCGTAAAAAAAGTGCAGAGTTGAAATAATATTCTGTCTGACTAATACTTTCTTTTACTACTTAGGACTCGTTTTAATTACTTTCAATTCACAAAATTTTGCCTTTTTAAATTTTATTTTTCGCAGTGAAAAGTAAAATTTATTCTTCAAATTGAAAAAAAATTATGTCTGACTTAAAAATGTTTTTACTACTAATTTTTGACTAAAACTAAAACATTAACTTAAACAATTTTTTATTTTTTTTTTTTTGCCTTGTCTGACTAAATCTGTTTTTACTACTTATAAAAAGTTATAAAAATAAAAAAAATTTGTCTGACAAAAACAATTTTTACAACTAAAAACTATATACATAAACTGGAATTTTTGTCTGACTAAAGTCGATCGTAACTACTGATTATAAAAATAAAACAGTTCGAAATATTTCGCGTCAAAAATTTCTTTTTCTACTGAATAAAAGACGTTTGTAATTTATGAGAAATTCCGTCTGACTAAAATTACTTATACTACTGAGAGAAAAAAATAACATTGAAATTGCGGTTTGACTAAAATTTACTTCTTCCATTTATTACTTCTAAAAATTTGTTTTTCTACTGGATAGGAGAAAATTAAAAAAATTCTTTTTGACTGAATTAATTTTTCCTACTTAGAGAAAAAAAGGTAAGAATTAAATACTTCGTTTGAATACAATTGACCTTAATTGATATTTGAGAAAAACTATTTTTCCCACTGAGGGGAAATATTCTTAGCCTTAAAAAACTTCGTCGGACTAAAAGTTACCCTAACTTCTGATAAAGTGCAAATGAAAAGATTTCCTAATATTATGTCTGATTAAAACTGTCTGTTACTACTTCTATTCCTTTTTTTAATTCACAAAATTTTACCTGATAAAAATTTACATTAACTGCAGGTACACGATAATTTTTATCATCTTGTCTTACTAAATTTTGCCTGACTAAAATTGACTGTTACTACTACTTTCATGATTTATATCGCCTTCTCTGATTAAATCTATTCTTTACTACTTATGAAAAGTATTAAAAGCAAAAAAAAATTATATAACAGAAAAAATTTTTACTACTGAAAAAAATATTAACTAGAATCTTTGTCTCACTAAAATTGACCTAAACTACTGGTAATAGAAAGGAAATAATATAAAAATTATGACAAAACAAAAAAATAGGGTTTTTTTACTACTGATTTTCGATACTTTTATATAAAAAAAAATGGTTAGAAAAATTGTTAAAATAACTAAAATTAAACTAAATTTAAATCTTTGACAATAAAATAGAAAATAAATCTTTTCTCTTATTTTCATAAGAAAAAGAATTCTTACTACTTAAAAAAAAAGTGAAATTTACAATCTTCCAGAAATACTTAGCAAACGAGCTTGAAAATAATCTTTAAAAAAAAAGGGGGAAAAAAATTCAAAATAATTCTCAAGGAAAAAAATATTATCTTATCTTTCCCATCATGGTAGATAGCAAGTTAACGTAAACTCATTACGTATACACTTTTCTCGTTCAAAACTCAATTAAGAAACTGCCGGATAAAGCGGGCATTTTTTATAAACTATATTAAAGAATTTACGGAAAATTCTACAAAGTTTTTCTTTTTTCTCTCTGTAATAGCGATGTACCACTATATAAATAATCACAGTAAATCAAAATACTAAACACTTAAATCGACTTAGAAAATGAGTTTTCTATTGATTGAGTGTGAGATAAATAATTGTAAACTTTTAAAAAGTAATTAAGAAAAGTAGAGAAAGTAGAAAGAAAGTAGAAAAAATAAGGACAAGAGAGAGAGAGAGAGAAAAAGATTTTAAATAAAAAGATGATAATTAATATTTAAGGAAATAAAACCACAGTTTTTTTTTAAACTGACAGAAAAAAATACTGAAAAATATCATTACCTTTTTTTGACGAAGTTTAATAGCTAACTTGAGTCGACTCAGGTGCATTCTTTCCCCATGCTCGTAAGTAGGCCCCTTCGCATCGTGATTCAAGAGGATTTCAAGTTCCCGTGAACTTCTCGTGTGGTCCAATAAGGCAGTGGCAAAGTCTTGGCATTGTTTCCTAAGCTCCTGCGCTCACAAAATTATCACAGTTATAAATATCGTCTCTTTTTTTGTATTTTTGTATAGGGGAAAAAGGAAATATATTTTTAAATTCACAATTAAATTTTCATATCTTTTTTGAAATTAACAATTAATAAATAATACATTAATTAAATAATATTTAATAATAATAATAATAATAATAATAATAATAATAATAATAATAATAATAATAATAATAATATTATTATTATTATTGTTAAATATAAATTTGTTTTTATTTATTAAATATGTTCATAAAATACTTTAAATTTCGTCTGACTAAAACTGGCGTTTACTACTTATAAAATAATAAGAATTGAATAATTTTTTTTTTTACACTATTTCTAAATTTTACTGCGAAAAAATAAATTTAATAAAAAAATAATTCAATATTATATATAATTAATATAATTATAATACAATAAATAATATATAGTGATAAGAAAAATTATCAATTTTTTTTTTTGATTTTTTACTTAAGGAAAATTATCAATTTTGTTCTTTTTCAATTATTTATGACAGGAACTATATTAATTTCTATATATAATAAAACACAATAATTATAAAAAATAATTAACAATAATAATACTCTTATTTATTCTTTCATTCTGTCCACACCTGAAGTTAGTTTTTGTGTATTCTTTTGTTGTTTTTTCCTTTAAAAAAATTTTTTTTTGACAAATCGAAAATATGCAGGTATTTTCTCATGATTCATATAATAAAATAATATTAGAAATTAGAAAATTTAAAAAAAATGATGATTAACAAATGAAAAATTTACTTGTTTATTTTTGAATTTTTAGAAAATAAAGGAAAAAATTTTACTCAAAAAAAAATGTTCCGTTACATTTATTTACGAATTTCTTTCATTAGAAAATTATTCGAAAACAACAAAAACTTTTTTTTTAAAATAAAATATATAATTATTATTATTTTTCTACAGGAATTAAAATATTAAAAAATTTCAAATTCAAACTTTCTTTTAAATAAAGAAATTTATAAAAATATTGTTATAAAACATGAAGAAATTGATTGCTCCGAGTCGAAGACTCGGAGTGATCGATTTCTTCATGTTTTATAATAATAATTTATAATAATCAAAAATTTAGGAAAATAATTGAATTATTGCCAAGAAATTTATAAAAAATTGTAAATAATTGAATTCCTGTGGAATTTTTATTATTTTTGACAATAATTAAATATTTGTGTACAATTTTATTAAATTTTTTTTTAAATAATTGAATTTTTCTCGGAAAATTTTATTAAAATAGTAGATATTGAAAATAGTTGAAATTAGGACAAGAATTTTATTTTATTTTTTTTATTTTTTTTTTTTTTTTAAATAATTGAATTTTTCTTGGAAAATTTTATTAAAATAGTATATATTGAAAATAATTGAAATTAGGACAAGAATTTTATTGTCATTTTTAAAAGTAATTTAACTTTGGGGAAAAATTTTGTTATTTACAAAGATAATTGGGATTTTGACGAGAATTTGTTTTTTAATTTTAAACATAATTGAATTTGATTACTTTTGAAAAAATAATTGAATTTCTGCAATAAATTATTTGCAAATTTTTCCAAAATTGAATTATTTTAGTGTTTTCAAGAAAAATTTGAATTTAAAATTTTTAAATTCTATTATTTTTAAAATTGCTAATTTTATTTAAGAAGTAAAGAAAAAAGATAACCGAGGAAGAAGTTAACAATCTAACCGAATATTCTTTCTTTAATATAAAATTAATACCGAATGATAAATTCTTTTCCTTTAATTTAATAATTAAAATAATTAAAATAATTAAAATAATTATAAATCATTATAAATATTATAAAAATATGAAATATAAATATATTAAGAAAATATAAAATGAAAATACCGTTAATAATAAAAAATAATAATTTTTTTCTCAAATACATAAATAGTTTTAATAACAAAAATAATAAATTTTCTTTCTCTTCGAATTAAAAGAAATAAGTAGAATTCTTTTCAGGTAATTGAAATTTGTATGATTAACAAAATTGTTAGTTTCGTTCTAAAAGCTTTGGAATACTTAGTGACACGAAATTTGCCGTCAAAGAGAAGCTGCAAATTAATTGATCGTGAAATGAACCTCTCTCGTGTCATGTGTGGCGTTCATTAGACTCAAAGTAGGCATTGGTTTCAGTTAGCCTGTTTAAATATGTTATACTCTTGGAATGTCTTGTTCACCAAATCGTAATTTTAATTACACAAAATTCACTTCTATTTTTTCCCAATGATCTCACAATATACAATCTTTTTGGTTCAATTTTCCTATTTTTGTTTTCTAATCATTTTTTTTAAATGATTTTCTTAAACAAATACATTTTTTTGTATTTTTATATTTATTTATATTTCTTTTTTTTTGAACTTTGGTAAATTTTTATTTTTTTTAATTTTGTTTTTGTTATTAAATTTTTTTTCATCTTGCTACTTTTACCGCTTTTCTTTAAGAATTTCCCATTCATTATCTTGGCTGAATAATTTTTTATTTTACTAATTTTTGGATAAAACGAGGAAAGAATGAAAAAAAATTATGTCTGACTAAAACAGCTTTTACCACTGAAAAAATATAAATCTTTGTCTGATTGAAATTGACTCTAACTACTGATAAAGAGAATACAGAGATTTTCTAATATTCTGCCTGACTAACACTGACTTTTACTACTTATTTTTATTTTATTTATTTCCCAAAATTTTACCTGACAAAAATTTACTTCTACTACTTCTACAATGATTTTTATAACCTCGTCTGACTAAATTTGTTTTTCACTACTTATGGAAAGAATAAAAATTGAAAAAAATTCTGTCTGACAGAAATTGTTTTTACTACTGAAAAAAATTATGAATCTTTGTCGGATTGAAATTGACCCTAACTACTGATAATGAAAATAAAATACTTAAAAATTTCCGACTGGCTAAAAATGGCTTTTTCTACTCGATAAAATACGTTGAGAATTGAGAAAAAGTTCTGTCTGACCAAAAAGCATTTTTACTACTTAGAGAAAAATAATAAAAATGAGAAACTTTGGCGGACTTAAATTGACCATAAATTCTGTCTGACTAAAAACGATTTTTACTACTTATATAGAAAAATATAAAGAATAGAAACTCCGTCTGACTATAATTGACCCTAACTACTGAGAAAGAAGAAAAAATTTATAATAATCAGCCCGATTAAAAAATGTTTTTTTATCACTTATTCTATTTTTTCACTTTATGGATATTTAGACTGAAAATTTGCACTACTGAAAAAATTTATTAATTTGATATATGAATTGTTTTCTAGATCTAAAATTAATCCTAAATATTATGCTTTATTATTTTTTTAAAAAATACATAGCTTTATATTATGCTTTATTATTTTAAAAAAAAATATATAAATTTATATTATGCTTTATTATTTTTTTTAATAAAATATATAAATTTATTTACTGATAGATAAATGTTATGATTTTTTTTTATCAAGAGATTTGATTTCGTTTTCATATAAATAGTATCATGGAGAAATAACTTTTTTCTGCTTTTCTTTATGCGGCAAAAATTGCATTTCTCAGCACATTATAAAATAAATTGTTCTTGAATTTTATGAGTATTTTTTCCATTTTCATTTTTTTTTCTCTTCTCTTCTTTTTTTTTTTTATTGAAAAAGTTGTAAAGTAGAGTGAAGTTAGTAGAGGGAAGTTTTAAGAAGAAAGTTATTAAAATAACATTTTTATGACCTTTTACCCCTTCTCTTGATTCATAAATAACAAATTTTCAAATAAACTGTTGTTACTCGACAACTTTAAAATTCATCTCTCTCTCTTGTTTCCTTTAACATTTTCATATTCCAAAACAAGAGTTGTCGATGTTTCAACTTTCAACACACAATATAATTTTTATATTGTAAAAAGTAAACTTATTAATTTATTCACGAAAATGAATTTGTAATAAAATTTTTTTTACAACTTTTCTAGAAGGAAACCAATACTTGTTAAATTACTTTTTGTGAAAATATTCAAGAAAATATTCTCAGGAAAAAATATGTTTAAATCTTGTTTCGAAATATTTAATTTAGATAAGAAATTTAATTTAAATGTTTTTTCAAAGAACAATTCATTTAATTATAAAAGAAAAAATAAAGATCTTATGAAATAAATAAAACGAATTTTTTTTTAATAACAATTTTCTTAAATATTTTTATATTTTCGAAATAATATTAAATTTTAAAATAAAAAGAACAATTTTTTCATTTCTTTATTTCTGTTAAACGATTTTTTCAAAAATTTATTTAAATTTTTCGAACTAATATTTAATTTGAATATAAAAAATTTGCTAAGCAAATATTTCTTTATTTAAGGAAAGTTTTTCGAGTGTTTGGAGCTAAAGTTTGAGAAGCTGTAAACACAAGTTTAGTTTCATCTCTAAGTGAGAGAATTGGAATTTATAATTCAATAAATCTTAGGCCTCCTTGAATTGTGGAGTCCTTAAAGTTTTGGCAATTAAATGCAGAAGTGCTGCGCGAAATGAGTAATGAAGGCAAATAAAAGTGATTCAATCATCGGGACAATTTATAATCAGAGAAATATTCTCTCAGTGAATATTCTCCATATCTGGAAAATGTTCTCCAACTTTATTAATTTCATCATCATTTTAATTTCTAATAATTTTAATTTTAATTTTAATTTCTAATCTCTTGGAATTTATGTTAATTAATGAAATTTTTTTATTTTTATCCTTCCCGACTAATTTTCTTTTCAAAATGTTATTAATTTTCCTCTTCATTAATTTATGAAAAAAAAATAACAAAAAAAATAATAAGAATAATAAAATAACGAATTACAATAAAAAATAATAAAATAAAAGTAAAATGATAATTTTTTTCAAATTTTATTTATAGAATAATAATAGTAATAAATAAAATATATAAATTTTCGATGAACTAAAATTTGACTTAATGAACAAAATAGAGTCAATGAAAATTCAAAAATAAACAGATGTTAATTTAATAAAATTTTCAGTAGACAAATATAAACTTTAAATTGAATTTTAATTTTCACTCTAGATCGAAAATCAAGTTACTTTATATGCAGTTGTCATTAATTAAAAGATAATTGTTCATTAACGCGGATCGTTCAACTATAGGTCCCCTCTTTCCTCTCTCAACCTTGTCATTATGATGCTGAATAATTTATGCAACTATTCATGAATTGATAAATTTAGCCAACACACAATTCACTGAATTGTTCCCAATAGGATTTGAATTTGAGCCATTTCAAACTTGAACCACAAAATTGAGAACATATCATTTTTATTTAAAAGTTAATAGTATAAAATAAAATTAGGTAAAATCGAGAAAAGAAAATTTATTTATTAGAAGAAAAATATTATTTGTCCAAAGAAAATAAATAATTAAAATAAAAAAATATTAATAAGTTTCCTAAAAATTCAATTTGAACAAGAGTTTAAAATTCTCTAAATATAATTCAATTATTCTCAAAATATTTTCAAAAAATTCTATATAAAAATTAAATTACTTTCAATGCAATTTTTAAATATATTCATCAAAAAAATTGAAGGAATTTAATTATTTTCCAAAAATAATAAAATTCTTGTGATGAATTCAATTATTTTGAATATACTTAATTTTAATAAAATTCTTTAAAGAAATTCCATTATTTTCAAAACAACTTTAATTGAATTTCTCGAAAAAATTTCATTATTTTAAAATATTTCTATAAAATTCTTTATAACAATTTAATTATTTCTTAAAATTTTTTTTAAATTCTCGCAAAACATTTTAATTACTTTTATATTATAGTAAAATCCTTCTAAACAAATTTAATTATCTTTTCCAATAGTGAAATCTTTGCAAAAATCCAATGATTTTCAAAACAATTTTAATTGAACTCCTCAGATGAATTCAAATATTTTTAAATATTTCCATAAATTTCAATTATGTCCAAAAATTTTTAAAAATTCTTCGAAACAATTTTTAAAAATAGTGAAATTCTCCTCAAGAATTTAATTATTTTCAATTCACTTTTAATAAAATTCTTCTTCATAAAATTCAAATGCTTTCAAAATTTCCAATTAAAATTATTAAAGAAACTCTATTAGTTTAAAAGAAAAATTCAAAGAAATTCTTCAAGAGAATTTAATTAGGATTTAAAAAAATTTTAATAAAATTCTTTGCGAGAATTCAGTTATTTTCCTAAATAATAAAATTCTTTGAAGGAATTCTATTATCATCGAATTTTTTGATAAAATTCTTTGCAACAATTCAATGATTTTCAATATATTAATTTTAAAATTGAAAATATTTTAAAAGAAAAATTATAAAATTGTTAATAATAATGCAATTTATTTTTCATTAATTTTTTGTTTATGAATCACAATTTTTTAACAAAATTATTATTTAGTTTTAGAAAAAGAAGAAAAATATTTGCAAAATTCATATTTTTTTAAATCTTATTTTTGGAACAGGATTTTCCACAGGAATTATGACATTCAAAAATTTTAAATTTAAACCTTTTTTAAATTAAACAACTTATAAAAGTATTGTTATAAAACATGAAGTATTCGATTGCTCCGAGTCGAAGACTCGGAGTGATCGATTTCTTCATGTTTTCTAATAATTAAAGATGACCCAGAGATAAAATCATTATTTTATATTATTATAAGAATATTGTTACTGTAACTTTATCAAAATTATTTTCATCATTTTAATTCAATTATTATTTTCTAGAATTTTTAATTATATTTTTTTCTAAATAATAATTGAATTCCTTAAAAAAATTTATTATTTATTAAAATAATAAAATTCCTGTGAAATTTTTATTATTTATGAAAATAATTAAATGTTTGTATACAATTTTATTAAGATTTTTTTTAAATAATTGAATTCTTGTTGGGAAATAGTAGATATTGAAAATCATTGAAATTTGAAAAATGCATTTTAATTTTTGGAAATAATTGATATTAGGTCAAGAATTTTTTTGACATTTAGGAAAATAATTGAACTTTGGAGAAGAATTTTTGTTATTTATAAAGATAATTGGGATTTTTACAAAATTATTTTTCTAATTTTGTACATAGTTGAATTTTATAAGAATTTTTTTTTTTTTTTAGGAAAATAGTTGAATTTCTGCAATTATTTGTAATTTCTTCAAAATTGAATTTTTTTAGTGTTTTCAACAAAAATTTAAATTAGAAAATTTTTAAATTCTATTATTTTTAAAATTGATAATTTTATTTAAAAAAAAAGGTAGTAAGAAATTAGCCGCGAGCTTTAGCGCGCGAATTGTTGCTACTTAGGTAAATATTCTTTATAAAAAAAATTCTTTTTATCGCCTCAAGTAAATAAACTTTTCATTCTGGTAGAAAATATAGTAGACGAATAAAAAGTTTCTTTCAATACCAAAACAGAATTTTTCCTCAATAATTTTCTTTTTTTTTTAGTTTTAGAAAAAAAGGGTAAACAGTTTTTCTAAAACATGAAGAAAAATATATTTTTAGATTTTTACTATTTCAGGTCGCGAATATTTTTTATTTAAAAAAAATGATACGTTCTCGTTTAGATAAACATCTCAAGTGAAATATCATTTTTCCTGTGTGTGTGAGAGAGATAAAAATTCCATTTTCCAAGATATTTTCTCTTTAAGAATGAAATTTGACTTTTAAAAATTGATATACACAAACTTTGCAATCTATGTGCATATGTAAATAAATAGCAATTTTGGTATGTTATCTTTAATATTCCTCGGGAGAATATTATTTTTTTTTCCTCCTCTCTTATCCTCCCAAGGAATTCATTCTCATATTTTTTCTTCTCTTCCTTATTACATTTTAATTTTCTTATGAGGCTGGAGAGGTGAAATTTTTTTTTAGAAAACAAGAGAAGGAGAAAAAAGAAGCGAAAAAAGGGAAAAAACAGAAAAAAGATGGAAAAAAGGGAAAAAGAAAAGTGAAGAAAGAGAAGAAAAAGAGAGTGAGCGAGAGAGAGAGAAAAAAGCGAGAAAATGTATATATAAAGTCAAGATGTACTCGAAATGAAAGAGGTGCAATTAAGGTTTATTTAGAGCGTCACCTGGTACTCGCACTTGAATTCATGCTCGAGAAAGGAAAGACGACGAAGCTCCCAGGAGAGTTCAAAGGCCGTTAAGATGGGGTCCTTAGAGGACAAGGCGATTAATGACGGTGATGCCAATGCACGATAGGCGTTTATTCTACTCCTGGAATGTCGAAGTGAGTCGTCGATCCTTGATTGCACGCACTCATCACACCTGCATTAGGAAATTCAAGAGAAAACAAGAATTAAAAATCAAAATTTACATTCACTTGTTTTTAAAATTCATTTCTCTATTTAAAAGAAAACAAATTAAATTACATAGTTCAGTGAAAAATAAATTATTAACCCAATTAACCAAAAATAATTAATCAATCAACTTAGTAGATTAATTACTTAACTTGATAAGTCAATTAATTAACTAAATTAATCAATTAATTGATAAACCTAAGAAGTCAATAAATTAACCCAATTAATTGACCTAATTAATTAAAAGTCAATTAATTAATTAATCAATTAATTCGTTAACCTAAAAGTCAATTTATTAACATGATTAGTTGATTAATTATTATTAACTTAATAAGTCACTTAATTTAATTCACTAAGTCAACTAGTAGTAAGTAAGTCACTAGTAAGTTAACTAATTAACCTACTTAGGCAATTAATTAATTAAAACTAATAAGTCAGTTAATTTATATAAATATTCACATAATTTGTTAATTTAAATATATAGTCTATTAATATTAGATGAAACAGTAAATTAATATGGTCAACTGATTAATTAATCAATTAATTAATTAACTAATTAACTATTAATACTTCGTTGGTCAATTAACACAAAAAAGAATAACATAACTAACCCTATTAGTTTGATAATTAGTTAGCAAGCTAATTAGCTTGATTTTAGCTTTCTCAAGCAAATAGACAAATTTTTTTTTTGCTAAAAAATAACTAATCAAAATAATCAGCCACAATTAATTATTCTAAACAATCTATTAATTTACCTGTGTATTAATTAATGATTTTTTATTTAATTATTATTATTATTACTTTTACTATTTTTGTTTATAATTAATATTCTTCTTACTATATCTGTTTAATTATGTAATTAAATTAATTAATAAATCTACTTAATCAATTCGTTGGCTAAATTAATTAGTGAATTATTAATACTTGAATTTTACAAAAATAAATTCCAATTTCTAAATTATATTTCATATTCAAAATTTGGAAAACTCTCTTATTAAGTATAGAAATTATTATTAATTATCATTATTTTCAATAATTTTAATAAATATTCTTAGTTAGAATTACAATATTTTCAATAAAATTTTAATAAAAAAGTAGAAGCATAAAAGACATGTAAAGTATTTTTGAAGAGCACAAAAATAATAAAGTAATTTTCCAAAAAATAAAAGAAAAATGTTGAATTTTAAACATTTTCGATTTTTGGTGCTATAGAGGTGACAGTAATTTTTTTGACTAAGGAAGAAATTTAAAAGACGAGTAAAGTATTTTTGAAGAGCCCAAAAATAATAAAGTAATTTTCTAAAAAATAAAAGAAATATGTTGAATTTTAAGAACTTTCGATTTTTTTGGTGCTAGTGGTCTGGGTAGTTTTTTTACCAAAGAATAAAATTTAAAAGACGAGTAAAGTATTTTTGAAGAGCCCAAAAATAATAAAGTAATTTCCTAAAAAATAAATGTTGAATTTTAAAAATTTTCGATTTTTGATGCTATAGAGGTGACAGTAATTTTTTTGACTAAGGAAGAAGTTTAAAAGACGAGTAAAGTATTTTTGAAGAGCCCAAAAATAATAAAGTAATTTTCATAAAAAATAAAAGAAAAAAGTTGAATTTTATAAGAATTTTCGATTTTTGGTGCTATTGATCAGAGAATTTTTTTTTAACCGAAGGGTGAAGTTCAAAAGACGAGTAAAGTATTTTTGAAGAGGCCAAAAATACAAAAGTAATTTTTCAAAAAATTAAATAAAAATGTTCAATTTTAAGAATTTTTGATTTTTGGTGCTAGTGGTCAAAGTAGTTTTTTCTATCAAAGGGTGAAATTTAAAAGACGAGTAAAGTATTTTTGATGAGCCCAAAAATACAAAAGTAATTTTCCAAAAAAGAAAAGAAAAATGTTTTTTATTATTATAATGTATTTAAACTAATTATCACACGATGATTATTCCGAAAGCAATAAACTAAAAAATTTAAAAAATGCAAAAAAATTATATAGGTATTTAAAAAGTAAAATTGTTTTTATTTTTATTTGTAAAATTTATATGCAAAATTTTTTTTTTTTTTTTTTTTTTTGCGAAAACTTACCCGCAACGAACGTCATGGGGCATGGGTAAAGTGGATCCACGATCGAGGAGGATCTTTATTATCTCGTAATTATCTCTGTGAGCAGAGAGGATCAGAGGTGTTATATCCGGCGTGAAAGTTGCAGTATCAGCCGGCAAAGCTTCCCAACTCTGAAAAGTAGTTGAAAATTTTAATTACGTTATTTCAGAAATAGCCTGGCCGTGACTTTTCCCCGGATAACCTTTTAATGCTCTAAATTTTTTTTTCTTTTATTTTACTATGCGATTAATGAAAGCAGCACTGTGTCTAATTCATTCCAGAAGAGAGAAAGAGAAATTTCAAATTTAGAAAAAAATAGTTATAATTAGAAGAAAAAAATAGCTAAAATTTATTATATTTACAATATCTTCTTTGTAGGTTTGTTTTTTATTTTTTTTTTATTTTTTTTTTTTTAGGATATTTGTTACTTTTTAGTCTCAATTTTTAATTTATTTTCAAATTTTATAAAAGTACGTTAATAAAGGTAAAAATTGAAAATAAAAAAATATAATTTAATAATAATTTAATTTGCTTCGTAAATAAATATATCTTTCTGTAAATAATATTTATATTCTACAAGAAGATTTTTTATTCTGTATTTTATTTATTTGAAATTAGCAAAAAAATTATCGAAAAACATTTTTATTCTATATTTATAATATTAAATACAAAATATTTTTTACTTTGTATTATAATTCCATTTATTAGAAATTACCAAAAATGAATAAAAAAAAAATTTTTTTCTATTTTTTACTTTATCAAAAATATTTGATTTTATAATTTTTTGAAATTAAATATTTTTCTTCTATAAAATAAACAAATAGTAGAGTTTTGAAAAGACTTCTTTTCCCATATCATTTTGATAATTAGAAAAGTTTCATTCAAAGTCAATGTTTAAATTAGTCATTTGGAAGACTAGGTACGAAATCGAAATGCAAATGAGATGAATTTTCCTCGGGGATTTTAAGATGTCAGAGTTACGCATTATTGATAACGTTGAGGGAGAAATTGATATGTCACAATTAGTCATTCATATAAAATGAAATCGATTTTCCTGCGAATTAATTATATAATTAATTTTCAATATACACATTTATGTACTTTTACAGTAGTTTGAATCAATGATTGACTTAAAGTTCGATTAATTTTCTTCCCAATAAATGAAAAACTTTTCAATTTAAGTGAATTAAAACTTTGATTTTAATTGATTTTCTCTACTTAATTTTTTTCTCACATTTTTTTTCTTTACATTCTCTCTGGTTTTCAGATAAAATGTTTTTTTTACATTTTAGTCTTTTTTTTATCCTTTTATAAAATATCCTACTTTACGATGGTTTTTAAAAGAGTGTGTCTTTTCTTTTTTATTGGAGAAACTTTTAACTGTCCATATTTTCTGAAAAAAAATCGCAATAATTTTTTTCATACTTTTTTTACATTATTTGTGTAAAATGATATCGGTTTATGAATTTAGTAAGAGTTATCGAAGTATTTTTATATGTATACTATTTTCTTTCTTTATTATCATTTTATTATTTTTAATTTTTTTTACTCTTTTTAGTATTTTTTATTTTAATTCTTTTTTTTACTTTTTATTCAGTTGAATATTTTACTATTTTTTTAGTATTTTAAATTTTCTTCTATTTAGGAAATTTTTTTATTTTTGACTATCTTTTTAGTACATATTTATTATCGTTTTAATAAAAAAAAATTATCCATTTATTATGCTTTATATATTTTTATACACGCACTTAATTACTGACATTTATAAAACATGCACATTAAAAATTTCCCTGTAAAAAATGATTAATTGATAAAAGAAAACATTACAATTAATGCGAAAATAAATTTTTTTCGAAAATAAATAAATTAGAATTTTATAATTTAATTAAAGAAAATAAAAAGACCGAAATAATATAATTAAAAGATAATAATAAAAATCAGGAAACTAATAAAAAATATAGTAAAGATTAGATATCTATTATAATAAATAATAATTGTAGAAAAAATAACGAAAAATCATTATAATTAAATAAATAGGAATTTTTTTTAAAGATTTATGAGTTTTGTGAAAATTTGAAAATTTTCTTTCGACAATCACAAAAAAGTCACGACGAAGCGTTTGCATTCTAAATTATAAAGCCACAAGACAGTGACGTTTTCCCTCATGCAAATTAGGCATACGAATAAAAAAACACTTTTTTATCAAAAAGAAAAAAAAAATTTTTTTTTCCTCTATATTAATTCAACTAAAAGCAAGCAATAAAATTTAGTAAGGCTATTTGCTAAATTTCTTTTTTTTTCTATAGTAACAATAAATAGGTTAATATAAATTTCCTTATAAATTCCTTCGAGATGACTTAACGTTTTTTTTCTTCTTTTTTTTATTATTTTCCGTGTAGAATAAATCGGAAAATTCTCAAATGAAATGGAAAATTATTATTGAATAATTCATACTTTATGATCGACAAACTATAAAATGAATAATATCGAGAATGATTTAATGTGGCTATATAGTGAAAGATGAATGAAATATAAATTTCTTTTCTATTTCAAATTTTTTTTCTATTTAGAATTCTTTCAGTTGATAAAAAAATTTTTTAGTTCTTCACTAAAAAAATGAATTTTTGTAAATTAATTTTTTTTTAAATATTAGAATTATATTAATTATAATAATAATTTTATTCATTTTTGTAGAAAGAAAATTATTTTTGTCTAGAAAGTTGGTATTTTTAGAAAAGAATTCGTTTCTTTTGGGATGTAAATATTTTTCTATCTATAAACGAAAAAATTTAAATATATTTACAGTTAATTTTTTTTTGTCTAAAATTATATTCTATGTAAATAAAAAAATACTACAAATTCTACAAATAATTAGGAATTCTTCTTTTTTAAATTCAATTAAGAGAATTTTATACTCGATCCACTATATAAGAGTCAAAAAACCTTTTTTGTTTATTTTCAAATACCAAAGATTTATGTTACTCCATAAAAAAATAGAAATTCCTTTATAATTCCCAGTGAATGGAAATTCTTTTTCGCCCGTATGGAGCTAAAAATTCCTTTTATTCCATAAATGTAAAATATTTCCCATTATATTCAAGAATTATTTTTTATTCGTCAATTTTTTTTCTACTCAATTCTCGATTTAATTAAATTTAGAAAATATTTTTTTTTAATTGGTGCACAAAAAGTTTTCTAAATTTCAAAACAAAAATAAAAATCATATTTCTTTAAAGGGTAATATTTTTATTTTTGTAAATCTGTTTATTTATTTTAAAAAAATAGAAAATAAATATTTTAGTGAGAGTTGCTTAGAATAAAGAAAACAGAATATAAAATTAGAAAATTTACAAAAAAAATAATAATTAACAAATTAAATGAAAAAAAATAATAAAAATATAAATAAGTAAATAGAAAATTTAAATAATGAGATGTAAAGAGATTGTTTAAACAAAAAGAAAGATAATTTTTAATACAATTTTGATCAAATTTCATGAAAACTGTAATTCTTCTTTAAAAAATTTATTAAAATTCGTCAAAAAAATTCAAATAATTAAATATTTGTTGATAAAATTCTTTAGGATAATTAAATTTTAAAAAACATGCAATTATTCAATAAATTGTTATTTTTGTATTTAAATAATTGAATTCTAGTAGAATTTTCTCATAAACATTGATTTAAAAATGGATTTCAGTTAAAAACCAATGAATTTGAAAATTCTCAAAAAACTGTTTGACAAATTATTAAAAATAATTAATTTATAGAAAAATTTTAGTTAATACTAAAAAAAATTTAATTTTGGAAAAGTTACAAATTATTACAGAAATTCAATTGTTTTCAAGAGTAATAAAATCCATCGTAGAAATTTAATTATATGTTCAAAAATAATAAAATTCTTCTTAGGAATTCAATTATTTTCATGAATAGAAAATAAAACTCAATGCAGAATTTCAATTATTTTTAATACAATTTTAATCAAATTTCTCGGAAAATATAATTATTCTTAAAAATTTTATTAAAAATCGTCGAAAGAATTTTATAAAAATCTTTAATAATTAATTTCTTTCGACTAATTTCATGCAAGTTCTAATTTAAATAATTGAATTCCCGAGAAATTTTTATTATTCACAAAGATAATTGAATTCTTCCAAAATTTTTTTAAATAATTGAATTCTTGCGAACGATTATATTGGAATTTTTTAAAATAATTGAATTTCCAAGAAGAAATTTATTATTTTTTAAAATAATTGAATTTTTAAGAAGAAATTTATTACTTTTTAAAAATAATTGAATTCTCGTGATGAATATTGTTAATTATGAAAATAATTAAATTTTGCAAAGAATTTTATTAAAAATGCCTGCGAAAATAATTTTGTTATTTATCTTTAATAATTGAATTGTTTCGAAGAATTATTTATGTAAATAATTGAATTCTTGGCAAGAAATTTTTATTAAAATCTAAAAGAATATTTGAATTATTTAAAAAAAAAATTAATTAAAATTTTATTTAAAATAATTGATTTCTTTCGAACAATTTTATTAAAATCTTTGAAAATAATTGAATTCCTGTGAAAAATTCTAATATTTTTTTTGTCAATAATTGAATTCTTCCAAAGAATTTTGAAAAAATATTTTTTTTTAAATAATTGATTTTTCGAGAAATTAAAATTAAAATCCTGCGATGAATTTTATTCTTTATGAAAATAATTAAATAGTTACAAAGAATTTAATTAAAATTTTCAAAAATAATTAGATTCCTTAGAAGAATTTTATTATTTATGAAAATAATTGCATTATTGGGAAGATATATATAAAAATTTTGTTAAATAATTAAAAAAATTTTATTTTTAGTATAAAGTAAAGTAATTAATTAATTAACAAAAAAAAATAATTGAAAAATAGAAATTGATTAATAGGCATTGATCAAGAGGACGATGAGATGGATGAATAATAATTAAGAGAAAGATTAAAAATTTGATAGTGAAACTACGTACAAGACTACAATCGGGCATATTGCAAGCAGCAGGCGATACGGGACTGCTTACGTGTGGTGCTCCACTTGCCCGTGGAATGGTTTCCTCGTGTTCCAAAAGGACCTCAACAGCTTCAACGAATTCCTCCGATATCGCATGAAGTAACGCGTCTTTTGTGTCCACTTTATATTCTATCAGCAGCTCCACCATTTCCAAATTCTCGTTATCTATCGCCATAAGCAGCGCAGTCCTTCCTAACGGATCGACACAATTTACATTTATGTAATCTGTCTCCTGGGCCCTCTGCAACATTCTGCAACAATACATTCAACAAACGATCTGCTTTATGCTTCAACAATTATTGCCGCCGTGGGTACGCAAATAAAATGTAATTAATTAAAGAAAAAATAGGGAAAACAAATAAAAAAACAGTTTACAAATAGAAAAAATTTTAAAAACACCGTTTATAAATAGGTAAACAATAATTTAATTTTAAATAAATTATTAATTTACTAGGAAATGATAAAAAGATAATTTACACTATTAAAGACAAAAAAAACCGTTTACAAATGAAAAAAAATTAAAAAAAGACCGTTTATTAATAAGTAAACAATAATTTAATATTAAATAAAATATTAATTTACTAGCAAATGATTATATTTATTATTATTTTGAAAATTTAGAAATTTTATATTTTCAAGAATAAACATCAATTTTCGAATGATTACAGATTCAAAATTTAAAGAATTCACTTATTTTCGCAAGAATTTCATTATCCTCATACATATTATTGTTTAGAGCAATTTTATATTCAAGAATTTTAAATACAATTTTAATAAAATCTTCTATGAATAATTTTTAATATAATTTAATAGAAAAGTTATTAATTACAATTAATTGTAATTAATTGAAATAAATTCTTCAAAACAATTAAATTATTTTAAAGAATTTAAAAAAAAAATCATGCCAAGAATTAAATTATTTTCAATACAATAATTTTAATTACATTTTTTTAGAAAGAATTCAATTATTTTAAAAAATATTAATTCAATTTGATTATTTTTAAGAATTACCATATAAATTTAATTATATTTACGACAATTTTGATGAAATTCTTTTTAAAAGTTATTATTTTCAAATTTTTAAATAAAATTCCTTCAAAAAATTCAATTATTTTCAACAATTCAGAGAAAATTATTTGAAACAATTAAATTTTTTTTATGAATTGTAAAATCCTCTGCAAGAGTTTAATTATTTTCATAAATAAGAAAATTCTTATCAAAATTAAAATATTTTCATAAATAATAATAATATGTTTTGGAGGAATTCAATTATTTTTAATAAAATTTCTCGAAAGAATACAATTATTTAAAAAAATATTAATTAAATTCAATTATTTTCAAGAATTTTAAAGAAATTCAATTATCTTCGATAATTTTGATGAAATTCTTTTAAAAAAATCATTATTTTTAAGTTTTTTTTAATAAAATTCCTTCAAAAAATTCAATTATTTTCAAGAATTCAGATAAAATTCTTCAAAACAATTAAATTATTTTTATGAATTATAAAATCCTCTGCAAAAATTTAATTATTTTCATAAATAAGAAAATTCTTCTAAAGATTAGAATATTTTCATAAATAATAAAATTATTATATTATATATTATATTATATTATATTATATTATATTATATTATATTATATTATATTATATTATATTATATTTTCAAGATACAAATTCAATTATCTTCGACAATTTTGATGAAATTCTTTTAAAAAAATCAATATTTTTAAATCGTTTTAAATAAAATTCCTTCAAAAAATTCAATTATTTTCAACAATTCATATAAAATTCTTCGAAACTATTAAATGAAAAAAAATATTATTTAAATAAATTCAATTATTTTTAAGAGTTTTAATAAAAATTGAATTATTTTCAACAATTCTGATAAAATTCTTCTGAGAAATTAAATTATTTTTAATACAATTATAATAAAATTTCTATATAAGAAAAAATTCAATTATATTCAAGATAATTTCAATAAAATTTCACTAACAGGTTCAATTATTTTCAAGAGTTTTAATAAAAATTCAATTATTTTTCACAATTCTGATAAAATTCTTCTGAGAAATTCAATTATTTTCAATACAATTTTAATAAAATTTCTATAGGAAAAAATTCAATTATTTTCAAGATAATTGCAATAAAATTTCTCTAATAGGTTCAATTATTTTTAAAAATTGTAATATAATTTTTTAAACAATTCAATTGTTCTTAAAAGTTTTTAATAAAATTCTTTGTAAATTTCAATTATTTTTAAAATTTTCAATTAAAATTATTTTTAAAAAATTACATTTTTTTTACGAAATATAATTAGATTATTAAGAAAAAAAATGTAATTATTTAGAAAAACTCTAATAAATTTGTTTGAAAGAATTAAATTTTCTATGAATAATTTTTAATATAATTTAATAGTTAAATTAATGATTACAATTAATTATAATTAATTGAAATAAATTGTTCAAAACAATTAAATTATTTTAAAGAATTTTAAAAAAAATAATTTTCAATAATATAAATTAGAAAATTCTTCAAAACAATTAAATTATTTTTATAAAATGTAAAATCTTCCGCAAGAATTCAATTATTTGTTGACTAATGCAGACTAGCGTCGTTTTTCAAAATACAAATTTTTTCTAAATGAATTTTAAAAAACTTTGCAAAAATTAATTAAAATTTCTAGAAGTAAAAAAGTTATTTCAAATAATGTTTCAGTTTAAAAAAATTGAATAATAAAAAAAAGAAGTAAAAAGTAAATAAAATTAAAAATAAGTTAACAAAATAAAAAAGCTTTCAACCTTTTTATGTTATTTATTTCTTCTATGAAAAATCTTTAAATAGAAATCCAATACTTATTCTATAAAAATTGATGTAAAATGAAGTCTTGAACTTTGTTAGAGAGAAAATAAATAAAGAATTTAAAAATAAAATATCAAGAAAAAATAAAATTAGATACAAAAATTTAAACAATTGAAATAGATAAATAAATTTAAAGTACAAAAAGAGTAAATATAAAATAAATACGAAATAAGTATGAAAATTTTAACAAATAAAATAATTGAAATAAATAAAAATAAAATCAACAAAAAAAAAATAATAAAAAATAAAAAAATCAAGAAAAGCGAAATCAATGAAATTAAAATCAATAAAAAGAATAATAAAAATTTAGAAAGATTCAAAAAAGTGAAATCGATGAAAGAATTAATAAAAGTAAAAAAATAAAATTGAAAAATAAAACAAAAAATAAAACAGTAAAAAATATATAAAAATTGATGTATAAAAAATCAAGAACTTTTTCAAAAGGGAAAATTAAAATTAACAGTGAATTGTAATAAAAAGCGTACTTATAATTAAGAATAGAAAATTAGTTACCATTGTTATATACGTTGGAAAAAGATGAAGAGATTTTAATGAACAATGAAAATTTTTAACGAGAATTTTTTGGCTCTTTAAACGTAGATTCAGTCACAGAGGGAGAGAGATATAAAAATGGAAGACACGAAATTTTTATAAAAGGTGTGTTCAGAAGGGTCACAAAGGGACAAAATTAAAACACAACATATCACATAAGGATACAATTCACGACTGCGACCCGTTGCGGTGTTTATTCTCGAATAATTATATTTCGTTGGTTATATTAAGAAGGGGGCGTGGATTTTAATTCCTCACAAACCGGAAAATAACAAATCGTCCGTCGAATAGAAATAGAAGAGAAAATAAAATAAAATTATATTTTCAAAAAAAATAAATTTTAAATAGACATAAAAATTAAAATGTTCTTTAAAGATAAAAGCAAAGTAGACAATTCTATAAATTAATAAATTAAAAATTCTGTGTTTTCTTATATAAATTATTAAAAATTTACATAAAATTTTAAGAAAATAAATATATAAATTGAAGTGTATTACAATAAATACAAAAATAAATTCAAACTAAATTAATAAAATCAAGAAGAAATCGAATCAAATTGTAATAAATACAATGAAAAAAATTGAAGAATAAACAAAGGGCGTTTTCTTATAAGCACGTTAGTAATAAATAATTAGAAAAATAAATAATAAATAAATAAAATATAAATAATCTAAATAAAAAAAAAATAACGTTGAAAATCTCAAAAAAAAAAAAATGAATAATATAAAAAAGCAAAAGAAATAAAATAATTAAATATTATAATTATTTATTTATTTATAAAATTTATTATAAATATTTATTTAATTATAAAATAGATAAAATAAATAAAGAAATGAAGGAAGAATACAAAAGTAAAAAATAGAAAAACATAATAAAAATAAAAAAATAAATTGAGAACAAAGCGGGAAATTAAAATAAAAAAAATCTGAAATATCAAAAAATTAACGAAATAGAAACGTGAGGGAAAGTTTTTAGTTTTTCATGTATGTATAGGTATACGTTGACATTTTAATGTGACTATTTCCGGATCTTGATTTTCACAAAAGAAATGAAATGTTTAAATTGGCTTTTTGCTTTTAAGACATAGAAAATCAGAGAATTAAGATTGTCATTCAGTGGGTGAGTGAGAGAAGGGAAATTTTAATTAAAAAGAGAGTCAGTGTGCCTTGAAAATGAATGCTTTGAGGTTTTAATGAATTTAACTTTTATAGCTTTGAAGTTTTCATGTTTTTATAATGAAGACATCCAAGTCTGAATATTTTTTAAGTGGAAATATCAAGTTCTTTTTGAATGCAGATACTTTAGATAAAAAAAAGAAAATGAAAAACTCCACGTAATTGACAGATTTCAAATAGGACAATTGAAAAATTTATTTTTATACAGATATTGGAAAAATTATTTTCAAAAAAGTAAAAGAAATAAATTATTCCAATAATTTTTTCCACTTTATATGTATTTTTTTATTCTAATTTTTTATTGACAAAAAAAAATTATTTTGTATTAATTTTTTTCTTTTGAAAAAAAATTTAAGAGAGTTACAACTTAAACTAAATGTAATTAAAAAAATAGTTTTTTTGAAATTTTTATATATATATATATATAAGAGCAAATAAGTGAAGAAAAAAAAATGTTCCTAATAGAAATGAGAAATAGAAATTGTCTTTGATTTAAAAATAGAAATACCTTCTGACTGAAGCCACATCTCCACGTTCAACAGCTAGGAGAAATTTCTTTTCATCTAATGAGAGACTTCCCATTTCCTGGTGAGGCCTTATCACGTTCTCCTCCTCCATCATGCCATGAATACTGTGTCTCTGAATCAATAACAAGATAAAAGAAAAAATAACTCAATTAATAAAATTTGAATTGAAGAAAATGGAAAGAAACAGAAATAGAGGAGGAAAATTGATTTTGTATGTAATTTAAAAATTTCATTTTCATTTTGCAAATAATGATTAATGAGTGTTAATTAAAAAATAAATTAAAAAAAAAATTAAAAAAAAATTAATGAGTGTTAAATATTCTCGCATAGTAATTATTTATAAAGTGATTAAAATTATAATTTAATATATAAAATTAAAATATAAATAAAATATAATATAAAAATTGCATTTTTAATTTATAAGTTGACAAAAATTATATTTTAATTTATAAAAGTGACTAAAAGTAAAATTATATTTTTTATTATTTTCATAGATTGGCAATTTTCCTTTTCCCTCTATTTGTTTATTCACTATTGTAATCGTGTCGCCTTTGTTGTGATTGACCTCTTCTGCATTTGTCACTCAGGTAGAAACCCTTGATATATTCTGTCACTATTTAATTATTATTATTGTTGAAAATAAATTTAACAATGAAACTAATTTTTCTCTGTCAATTACACAACAAACATTGTTGACAGGAATGAAAATTCAAAGATAAGAAAATATAGAAAAATATAAATATATAAATTTTTGGAAGAAAAATAGATTTCTAACATTCATTTCTCAAAAAAAATATTAATAATAATTCATAATAATTATTTATCAATATTAATAATATTTTAATAATTATTTCTCAATATTAATAATATTTTAATAATTATTTCTCAATAATTATTCATGTTTAAATAATTTTCTCTGAAAAATTAATAATTATTTCTCAATAATTGTTTAAAAGCACCAAAAATAAAAATAAATAAATAAATAAAAGCAAGAAATAAAAAATGATAAAATTTACTGCATAAATTCATTTAGTTGTTTATTCAACTGGACTTGAATTAAAAAAAAAAACATTTTTTATTTAAAATAAAAAAAAAGTAAATACATAAGCAGTACAGCTATTAAATAATTAATGAACTATAATTCAGAATTAATAATTAATATTCAATTAATTTTTAATTAATAAATGAAGGAAAGTAAATAAACAGAAATAGATAAATATAAATAATAAAATAGAAAAGACAAGAAAAAAATTTTTTCTATTTTTATTTAAAAAATAATTTATCAAATAGTAAATTTTGTTTAACTTTTTCAATACCAGTTGAGTTATGGGATAATATTACTGAAATTAATAGAAGGAGAGGAAAAATAAAAAAAAAAATGAGAGAAAAGGAAAACGAAAAGGGACTTTTAGGCTTTTACAATTTTCGAATAGGGTACAATTTTCAATTGAACTTTCTCCACTTTTCTTGCTTTTCAATTACAAATAAAGTCGCATTTCGATTCGTCCGTTATCCCTTACGGTCTACATATTCGGCTTGTTCAGAATTCAGAGCAACGAATAGACGGAAATCAATTAAACGTGGAAATGGTTCTTCATTGTCCAACGCGAGTTGATTTCTTGTAACCATCGATGCGAAAGTATGACAGAAAAAAAGAGGGGAAAAAAATGTGAAAAAAGAAACGAAAGGAAAAAAGGAAGGAAAGAGAAAAAGAGAAAAAATAAAGAAAAGAAAAAAAGAGAGAAAATAAAGAAAAGAAAAAAGAAAAGAAAGAAGAAAAATATTTGAAATTAGAAAAAAAATAAATGCAATTATTTCTATTGGATTAATTTTTTAGTACAAGAAAAAAGAAGGAGAAAACAAGATTTTACTGTCTAACCAAAATTGAACTTTACTATACTACCACTAATGTTACTTCTTTTTATTAAGAAAACAAGAAAATTTGTATTTTACTGCTGAGCAAAGTTTGACTATAATTGGTTTAAACTACTTAATCTTACTACTAAAAATAATGAAAAAAATTTGTTTAGAGATAATTGTCTTTACTACTGATTCAATGAGATAAAAATTATGTCTGACTAATAATTGCCATTACTACTGATTGAAGAAGATAAAAATTATGTTTGACTAAAAATTGACTTTATTACTGTTCTGAGAAGGGGAAATGTATGTCTGACTAAAAATTTGTTCTACTACTAATTCAAGAAGATAAAAAATATGTCTGACTAAAATTTATCATTTCTACAAATTCAAGAAGATAAAAATTATGCCTGATTAAAAATTGACTTTACTACTGATTCCAGAAGGTGAAAATTATGTCTGACTACTAATTGGTTCTACTACTAATTCAAGAAGATAAAAATTATGTCTGACTAAAAATTGTCATCTCTACTAATTCAAGAAGATAAAAATTAAGTCTGACTAAAAATTGTCATCTCTACTAATTATTCAAGAATATAAAAATTAATGCCTGACTCAAAATTGCCTTTATCACTGTTCTGAGTAGGTGAAAATTATGTCTGACTAATAATTGGTTCTACTACTAATTCAAGAAGATAAAAATTATGTCTGACTAATAATTGGTTCTACTACTAATTCAAGAAGATGAAAATTATGTCTGACTAAAAATTGCGATTACTACTAATTCCGGAAGATAAAAATTATGTCTGACTAAAATTGGTCTTTTCTACTAATTCAAGAAGATAAAAATTATGCCTGATTAAAAATTGACTTTACTACTGATTTTAGAATGTGAAAATTATGTCTGACTAAAAATTGCGATTACTACTAATTCAAGAAGATAAAAATTAAGTCTGACTAAAAATTGCGATTACTACTAATTCAAGAAGATAAAAATTAAGTCTGACTAAAAATTGTCATCTCTACTAATTATTCAAGAATATAAAAATTAATGCCTGACTCAAAATTGCCTTTATCACTGTTCTGAGAAGGTGAAAATTATGTCTGACTAATAATTGGTTCTACTACTAATTCAAGAAGATGAAAATTATGTCTGACTAAAAATTGCGATTACTACTAATTCCGGAAGATAAAAATTATGTCTGACTAAAATTGGTCTTTTCTACTAATTCAAGAAGATAAAAATTATGCCTGATTAAAAATTGACTTTACTACTGATTTTAGAATGTGAAAATTATGTCTGACTAAAAATTGCGATTACTACTAATTCAAGAAGATAAAAATTAAGTCTGACTAAAAATTGTCATCTCTACTAATTATTCAAGAATATAAAAATTAATGCCTGACTCAAAATTGCCTTTATCACTGTTCTGAGAAGGTGAAAATTATGTCTGACTAATAATTGGTTCTACTACTAATTCAAGAAGATGAAAATTATGTCTGACTAAAAATTGCGATTACTACTAATTCAGAAAGATAAAAATTATGTCTGACAAAAATTGGTCTTTTCTACTAATTCAAGAAGATAAAAATTATGCCTGATTAAAAATTACTAAATTACTAAATTACTTTACTACTGATTTCAGAAGGTAAAAATTATGTCTGACTAATAATTGATTCTACTTCTAATTCAAGAAGATAAAAATTATGTCTGACTAATAACTACCATTACTACTAATTCAAGAAGATACAAATTATGTCTGACTAAAAATTATCTTTATCACTGTTTTGAAAAGGTGAAAATTATGTCTGACCAATAATTACCATTACTACTAATTCAAGAAGTTAAAAATCATGCCATCTAAAAAAATTGTCTGACTATAACTTGTCATTACTACTAATATAGGAGAATAAATATCGTCTGACCAAAATGTCCATTTCTACTTCCTGGTCTCTTGGAATACTATCAAAAAATCCTATTTAAAAAAGCCTGACAAAAATTTACTTTCACTACTGATGAAAAATATTTATATTAAGTCTGACTAAATGTCGTCTTCCACTACTAATAACATAAACAAGTGAAAATGTCTATCGAACATAAGATAAGACGAAACAATTTATTTTTTCTTCACAGATCGTCCATTTATTACTTGAACCACCCTCCAGAAAAAATTGTACATTCTGTCTGACTAAAACTGATTTATACTACTGAAAAGAGAGCAAATCTACAATAATATAAAAAAAAACAATAATATATAATAAAATTAAGAAAAAGACAATAAATTAAAAACAAGTGAATGGCATTTTAGGTTATAGTTTATATTAAATTTATATTAAGGATATTTATATATTTATATTAAGGATATGAATGAAGGGTGGGTGTTTTATATATATAATGAATAAATTGTGAGTGAAGGGTGTGGTACACATTGACAATTAAGGTGTGCCACTGTAAACACTTATTCTTGATAGTGGCCTTCATTTTTTTCTTTTTGTCGTCATTCAAAAGTCAAGAGGTTTAATCATCGTCTCATAGACTCTCAAAGCACCCCCTTTTCTCCATCTCAATTTGCCACGCCTTTTTCCCTTCTCTCTTTGTCTCTACCCCCTCCCCCATCAAACAAAAAAATTGGGAAAATTGTTATTTCACTTTATAACCACGACAATCAAATATACCACAGGAAGTCACATTTATATTTCTCATATTTTATTCATTTTTATTTTGTTTATTTTCAGTTTCGCAATTTTCCACTATTGACAATTATTTGCTTTTGTTTTATTATTGCAAATTGTGCTTCGAATATAAACTCATAAAATTTTTTTCATTATGTTTCATTCAATTGTTTACAAAAACAAAAGAGAATTTTTTATTTATTCTTTGATTATTTTTTTTATTATATATTTTATTAGTTTTTTACTCTAAGTAATAAATAAGTATTTTTATTTTTTATTTTTTTTATTTTATTTTTTTTATAAGTAGTTTTATTTTATAGTAGTTTTATTTTTATTTTTTTTTTATTTAATCAATTAATTTATTTTAATTTTTTAATTAATTTAATTATTCAATTGTTACGAAAAGAAAATACAATATTTTACTTATTGTTTTATTTATTTTCGTATTTGTTATTATCTTATTTTATTTATTTTTTACTATAAGTAATAAATAAATAGTATCCAGTGTATTTATTTTTTAAAATAAAAATTCGATTTCAAAAAAGCTTTTTGTTAGTTTTTATTTTTCTCTTTTCTTTTTATTAAATTTTTGAAACGCAATTCCCGAAGAACTTTTTTCAAAGTGTCACCATCTGCTTTAGTCGTTGGGTTGACAACAAATAACGTTCAAGGATGACAATTATTCAAAGTGATGGATATATGTCACTAGATGCAACAAATATGCACATACGTTTGAATGTACGAATTTCAATTTTGAACAAAAAAAAAAAAAAAGAAAGGTGAGAAAAAAGTTTTAATAGAATAACTACGATGACCGTTTCTATTTTTAAAAGTTGAAAAATTTTATTTTCACTTCTCACCATGTGTGACATAAAGTGCTTTTCAAATGGAATTACTATATTCATGCAGTATAAAGTGTATTATAAAAAAGTTGAATTAAATTTTATATTTAAAGAACTTGATCTTTTTGTCTGTTTTTTTTTATTTTTCTATTCTTTTTTCCTTCCATCTCGCGAGCTACGTTAATTTTAATGATAATTATAAATTTTCTGTCAAGCAACATAATTTTCTTTTTGATAAAAAAATAAATAAAATACATTTTTTAAAAATACCTATATACATAAAAAAAAATTTTATCAGCAAAAATAAATTTTAATTATCACAAATTACAAAATTATTTATCTTTTTTATGCGACTATTGAATATCGAATTATTTACACTCGATAAAGTACAACTGTGTTAATTAAAAAATCGTGTTTCCAAAAAATCGTAAAACAAAAAAGTCTTTAGGAAAAAATTAATTTACACTACTGACACAAATTTAAAAAATTCGATGGAAAAAAATTTCATTAAAGCAATTTCGTATAAATACAATAATACATAGCTGACCTAAGTCGTAATTTTTGTCGTTTGTTTCTTGTTTTTTTTTTATTTTGCTACGCAATAAATCTCATAAACGAGCTTTGCATGTTGAAAAAACGTGCTCATCGTGATTAAATAAGAGATATGACAGTACACTTTTTTTTGTAGACAACAATTACTTTTAATTAATTTCACCTCTTTAAATTATAATTATTATATTCAACTTTCACACATTTTATGTCACATTTTATGTATTTTTCGTTTTACAAAATAAAATATATATATAAAGCATAAAATAAAATACATAAATTATGTAGCAATTTGCGGAAAGTAATTATGTAATAGTAAATTAATTATATATATAATAAAAAAGTTTATATATCACATCTGTATATGTGTATTTATAATTTATTTGTTTAAATTATTTAAAAATTAATATTTTTGATTTATTTTTGATTTTTGAATTTTTTTATTTTTTTTTATTCTTTTTCTATTTTTGAAATTAATTCTATTAAAAAAAATAAAGACGAATAAACATCTTTTTTTTTTAATATAAATTTTTACAATATAAAAAATTATCGTGTAGAAAATAAATTATTGTGTTATTTTGTGTTTACAAAAAATCGTATATACTATTAGAGAGCTTCGTTAATTTTGGTTGTTCTTTTTATTTTGTATTTTTTCCTAATTGCTTCCAACTAAACTGGTAATTTAGGTTCAACGTATGGAGAGAGTACAACTTGTTGGGACATTGAAGTTTGTATAGTCTCAAAGGGAATTACGTATGCAGGAAATGAGAAGAAGCTTGTCGAAAATTGAGTTTCGAAAATTTTGTTAAAATTTTGGCTAAAAAAAAAATTTAAATAAAAAAAAAAATGAAAAAACTCAATTAAAAAACTAATATATATAAAATTTATTTAAGATAATCTTATATGTGGAATATTAATTTTTAATCTTTATAGAAAAAGAAAAAGAAAAAGAAAAAGAAAAAGAAAAAGAAAAAGAAAAAGAAAAAGAAAAAGAAAAAGAAAAAGAAAAAGAAAAAGAAAAAGAAAAAGAAAAAGAAAAAGAAAAAGAAAAGAAAAAGAAAAAGAAAAAGGAAAAGAAAAAGAAAAAGAAAAGAGAAAAAGAAAAAGAAAAGAAAAAGAAAAAGAAAAAGAAAAAGAAAAAGAAAAGAAAAAGAAAAAAGAAAAAGAAAAAGAAAAAGAAAAAGAAAAAGGAAAAGAAAAAGAAAAAGAAAAAGGAAAAGAAAAAGAAAAAGAAAATATAATATTATTTTGATCACTACGACGTTTTAATATTTAATATTCCCACGTCTTAGCTGCTCGACATTTGTAATAGAATAAAAAGAAAAACCAATGGAAAATTTCCAAGAAGCAAAACAAAATGAAATAAAAACGCGCTCGGGTACAGAAGAGAGAGAGAGAGAGAGAGAGAACTTTATTCGAATCTTAAGATATCTTGCTGGCAACTTGCGTAAATTGGATTGGCACTCAATCCCCCTTCCTATATTTTTTATCACTCTTTTTTTATTCAAAAGGTAAGAACGTCGTTAGCTCGCAATTCCCTCCCCCTCCCCACCTCAATAAACATCTGCCCTTATAGTGCACATTGGCCGTGATTGCTAAATTTTTTTTCCCCCTTTAAATCGAAAAAGAAAAAGGAGAAAAATATTGCCATATCTTTTAACTTTATCGTTGATAATTCCAATTTTAAATTTTTAAATCAATAATTATTCAGGAATATTAAATTGCAGGATTATTATATTGCAAAAAAATTTCTTTTTAATTTTTTTTTTCGAAAATAATTATATTTATTATGGAAATTGTATTCAGAATTTATTTGAGAAAATTTAAATTTAAATTTACTTAAATTTAAATTTTTTTAATCGATTTTATTTTATTTTTGCAGTAGATTATAAAAAATTTACTATGAACGCAAAATTAAGGAGTTTTATTCTTTAAACTAAATTTTTATTTTTTTTGTAGAAATATTAACTGTTGTAAATTTTCCTAAATTTAAAATTTGGATTTTAATTGAATTTAATTTTAATAAATAAGAATTTTTTCTCGGAAATAAAATTTTGAGAGGCTAAATAAAGTTTTTGGTTCATAAAAATTAAATAGTGAAAAATTATAAAAAGAATAATAAAACTGAAATTCATGATCATGAAAGTTTATTTTTCAGTAGTAAAATTAAGTTTCAGTCGTTCAGTAGTTCAAGAACTCCATTTTTAGACAAATATTTTTTAATCAAAAACAATAAAACATTTAATAGTAAAAATTCATGAGTGGTAAAAATAAAATATAGTCAGACGAAGTTTTTGAAATTATTTTTATCTTTAGTCAGAGAGAATTTAATTTGTAACGCCTAATTTGTTTTTAAAAGTAGTAAAATACAGATTGAGTCAGACAAAAGAGTCATTAGTAGTAAAAATAAAATTTAGTCAGACAAAGAAATTAAACTTACTTTTAGCATAAGTAGTAAAAGAAATTTAGCGTCAGACAACTTTTCAAAATTCACTTAATTATACTTTTCAGTGGTAGAAACTAGCTTAAGTCAGACAGAATATTTTAAATTTCTAATTCTTTGTAGCAGTAGCAAAAAGCAGATTGATTAAATTTACAAATTTCTATTTATCGTTCAGTAGTTAAAGAACATTATAGTCAGACATAAAATTTTTATTTCTCATTCGGTAGTTCAAAACTTTTATAGTCAGGCATAAAATTAGAGTGTCTTATGTCTCGATCAGTAGCTCAAGAACTTTATAGTCAGACATAAAGTTATAAACTTTTATTTCTTGATGAGTAGTTTAAGAACTTTATAGTCAGACATAAAGTTATAAACATTTTTTTCTTGATCAGTAGTTTAGGAACTTTATAGTCAGACATAAAGTTATAAATTTTTGTATTTCTTTCAGTAGGTCAAGTATTTTATAGTCAGACAAATTTTTTCATTCGGGAAAAATAAAAATATTGAAAATAAAAATTTGAGTACGTAGTAAAAATAAAATTCAGTCAGACAAATTTTTTTAAATTATTTTTATAATAAATAATAAAAAAAAATCTATTGTCATACAACTTATAAAGTTCACTTTATTTTTTAGTAATAAAAAATAGCTTGAGTCAGACTAATTTTTTTAATTCCTAATTCTTTGTGGCAGCAGAAAAAGCATATTGAGTCAGACATAAAGTTGAAAATTTTGTTGTCTCGTGCAGTAGTTCAAGTAATTTATAGTCAGACAAATATTTTTTATTCAGAAAAAATAAAAATTCACGTTGAAGTGTTACTAGTAGTAAAAATAAAGTTTAGTCAGACAAAAAATTTAATTTTTTTTTAAGAATAAGTAGTAAAAACAATTTATTGTCAGACAACTTTTAACATTCACTTAAATTCGTTTTTCAATAGTAAAAATTAGTTGTGATCAGAAAAAATATTTAAATGTCTTATTATTTGTGGCAGTAGTAAAAAGCATATTGAGTCAGTTATAAAGTTACAAATTCAAACTTCTCGTTCAGTAGTTTAAGTAATTTATCGTCAGACAAATATTGCTTGTATTCGAGAACAATTTTCATACTAAAAATTTTTATATTTAAAGTAGTAAAATATGTGTATAATAGTAGGAATGAAAATAAAAGTAATAATAAAAATAAAATTAAATGTAAAAAATAAAAATAGAAACAAAAATAAAAGTAAAAATAATAAAGGTAGAAACAAAAATAAAGACGAGAATAAAAATAAAATTCAAATAAAATACAAATGCAAATGCAAATACAAATACAAATACAAATACAAATACAAATACAAATACAAATACAAATACAAACAAAAATGAAAATAACGGAAGTCAAATAAAAATGAGATAAAAATGAAAAACTGAAAATAAAATAAAATAATAGGAAAAATAAAATTCAATTCAAAATGAAATAAAAAAATTGAAAAAATTGAAAAAAATGAAATAAAATGAAAATAATATTACAGAATAGATTGAATTCTGTACCTTGACTTTTTTGTCGATTTCCGGCTTATCAAGAAAGTGCATTGTGGATTGTGTTTGTATAGATGGTGGAGCTGGCGGTGGATCTTCAGGGTCAAAGTTGAGGTGTTGGTCGACCCCATGGGGATAACCCCCCACGGTCGAGTAGCCCCTTGAGCTACCTGACATTGTCATCTGGTAGTGATATTCTACCTCGTTACCAATCCCTTCATTAGGGTTTTCCACACCCCTAACGTTATCCTCATCTTCTCCTGTGCTTTCTGCAAAAAATACAAATAAAAACCTCCGATAAATTACAATTTTCTTTTTACTATCAAACACAATTTTTTTATACGAAAAAGAAATATTACACATTCATGCGTTAATTACTTCAACTAAAAAAATAATAAAATCTCATATTTTTAAATTTTGTAAATTTTATTATAAATTTAATTATTAATGTAATAAAGACAAAAATTAGTATAATAAAACAAATAATAATAATTTAATATATAATATATTCAATATATAATTTAATTATTAATTATTATTTTAATTACAAAAAATTTAATTTAATTTACAAAAAATTTTTATTTTCAAATATTAATTACAATAATTATTTATTTTCAAATATTAATTTCAATTTGGGAATAATTTCAAATAAAACAATTTCAGATAAAATTCTTAGAAAAAAATGGCACTAAGAAAACAATATACTTGAATCAAATGTAATTATCTTCGTTAAACAGTCAACCAAAAATTGTTTTTGAATTAAACATAATAATTTTAATTCAACACCTAATAAGTTTGATTCAATAAAAATTAGGTTTCATTGAATTATAAAATATGTTTAAATCAAACACAATTTTTTGGTTGGCTGTTTACTTTTCGATTACAAAAAAATTTTCTCAGTGTATTTTCAAAATATTTTATTAAATACTTTGAAAAAATTCAATTATTTCCGTGAATATAATAAAATTCATCTTTAGAAGTAAATTATTTTCTATATAAAATTTTAATACAATTTTTCGAAAGATTCAATTATTTTTACAAATTTTGATAAAATTCTTCATGTAAATTCAAGTTTTTGTAATTGACATTTAATTCATTTATTTATTTAATATAAAAATATGAAATTAAGAAATTTATTATCTATTATTTTTTATATCATTTTTTCACTTATTTCTAAATCATATTAACAATTAGTGAACGTTAATTTTAATTATTTTTCAAAAAAAATACTTCAACGATTGTCTCAAAAAACAAAAAAATTTATTTGTGCATGAGAGAAAAATAAAAAAATATTTTTCCGCAATGTAATTAATCTATGCGAGATGAGTAATTAATTCTGGATTATTCTTTTTTAAAAAGCATTGAGATATCGATCATTTTGAGAATTCATCGAATGTTAATATCCGGGGTTATTAAGTGAAATTTGCATTGAGGTTTCAATGCGAGTAAAGTGCAATTAATGTCGCCTCGTTGAATGTAAGTTTTTAATTTTATTTTTTCATTTCTCTGATATTAAAAATTTTTCACACGTTATTTCATTAGAGAGAATTTTTTTTTTTGCTCTAATTTTTCATTTGTATGTAATTCTTTGCATTTTTTTTCCATGTCTGTCATTAATTATATTATTTTGCGTTTGACGAAAATTCTTAAATTTCGTTTGAAAAAATGATTAGACATTGTTTTTTTTTTACATTTTTCATAAATTTTCCCTTTTTGAATATTTATTAATTTTGAATTTTTAAAAATTGTGATTTTTGCTTTGACAAAATTATTTTAATTTCGTTTTGAGAAAATTAACTTTTTACTTCTCTACAATTATTAATTTTCTTTTGAAAAACTATTTTTTTTTTGAAAAACTAATTTTTTTATTTAAAAAACTAATTTTCCTTTAAAAATATATTAAATTTTCCTTCTTAACAAAATTTCGTTCTGTAATAAAATTTCATATTTTCTTCTATAAAAAATGATAAATTCCATTTTACGATTATTTTTTTTTGTTTACAAAATTATTACTAATTTTCCTTTGAAAAACTATATTTTTATAACTGAAAATCAATTTTACCTAGAAGAAATATTAAATTTTCCTTTTTGATAAAATTTTTTTTTGTAAAAAAATTTAATAAATTCTTCTAGACTAAAATTATTAATTTTTTTTTAGAAAATTATTTTTTTTCTTCTCGTTAATTATTAATTTTCTTTTAAAAAACTAATTTTTTAATTTGAAAAACTAATTTTTCTTTGAAAATATATTAACTTTCCCTTCTTAATCAAATTTCGATTTTTAATACAATTAAATATTTTCTTTTATAAAAAATGATTCGTTTCAATTTAAGACATATTTTGAACTAAAAAAATTATTACTAATTTTCCTTTTGAAAAATAATCTTTTTATTCGTGAAAATTAATATTTCCTTAAAAAATATTAAACTTATTCCCAACTTGATAAAATTCTGTTTGGTAAATAAAAATTAAATATTTTCTTCTAGGCAAAATTATTAATTCTCTTTTGGAAACATTATTATTTTCCCTTTTTACAAAATTAATTATTTTCATTCGAAAAAAGTATTTGATTTTTCTTTGAACAAATATTTAATTTCCTATCGAAAAAATATTGAATTTCCCTTTTTGAAAAAATTATTTTTTTCTTTGGCATAAAATTATTATTAATTTCCCATTGGAAAAATTGGTATTAATTTTCCTTTGAGAAAATTAGTATTAATTTTCCTTTGAGAAAATTATTATTAATTTTCCTTTGGGAAAATTATTATTATTTTTCCATTGGGAAAATTATTATTAATTTGCTATTGTAAAAATTATTATTAATTTTCAATTGGAAAAGCTATTACTAATTTTCCATTAGAAAAATTATTTATTTTACCTCAAAAAAAAAATTATTTTTGCTGCTTAAAAAAAATAAATTTATTGACGAAAAGAATTTAAAACTATATTTTCTTTTTACGAAAAGCAAAAAAAAAAAAATTAAAAAAAATTTTTTGTTTCGTTTCTATTTCTTCTGAAGTAAAAAAAATTTTTTTCCCAGAAAAAAAAATTACAACTTTAAATTGAAATAATATAAGGGGCGGAGGTGGGGATTATTATTGTACACGAGTAAAATGATGAACTTGTCAGAGAAAAGACAGACAACTTTAAAAGTGCGCATCTTGTGTTCAATTTGTTTGACATCGTAAAAAATTGTACAGATTTACTTTCTTCTTCTTCTCCTATTCCTGTTTTTTTTCTTTTTTAAAACGACGGACACGATTTTACCTGGGAGGCATTATTCCACAAGGAGAGTGATACGGTTTTATCAGCGGTTTTACTACCAGCGTATAGGTTGGACTTTAAACGGAAGAGATTTACCGCGAACCATTTTATAACCCTTGTCGCTTACGTTAAAGATCTTTTTTTTCTCTCTTTCTCTCTCTCTCACTCCACTTTTGAGATGATTTTTTCTCATTTCAGAACTGATGAAAAATTATTTACAGAAATATTGCCAGGACTTTGCAGCGAAATGATCTTTTGAATAAAATTAAAAAATTCTCCTTTAAGCATTTTTCTTTTTCGGTAAAATTTAATTATTTTGTAAAATAATAATTTCTCAAAATTAAAAAAAAATTTTTGTTTAAAAAACTAATTTTTAATAAAGACTATTTATTATTTTCTTTACTTTTTTTTATTTTTAACTACTGATTTTTTCTCAAAATTAAATTTTCAGAAAAAAAGTAGAAAAGTAATAAGCTTAGTCATACAAAATAAATGGACACTGAATTCCACTTTTTTTTTTGTAATTAGATTTTTCTTTTTTGGAAATTCTCTTTTTTTCGACAAAAGAAAGAGAAAAGTGAAATATTTCCAGACACATACACGTATTCATTTTCATTACATAAAATATTTACTCCTTGTATTCATATATTTTTTTCTAGACTTTATTATTATGTTCTTTGTTTACTTTCCCTAATGAAACTTAATTTGAAAAGTGAGACCGAGATCATGTAGTCGCGCACAGGGAAAAAATTAAAAGTATTAAATTACCCTCAATTAAGTAAATTAGTCGCACAGTTTTTAGAAAATTTATTTTATGGAAAAATACACATTAAAAAAATGTTAGGAAAAAAATTATTTATTTTTCACAAGAAACAATAATTTTTCAAAAACAAGAACAATAATTTTTAATTTGCAATTTAGATGAAAAATTTTCTTTTCAATCGTAAATATTTTATTCTTTTCTTAAAGAATTCTTTCTTTTCTTTAAAAATTGTTTATTCTATTATAAACAATTTTTATAATTAGAAATTGTTGAAAAAACATTTTTAAAAAAATTTTTTTTATCTATTTTTATAGCATAACATTTTATTTGATTATATTATTAGATAACATTTGATAACATTTAGTTATTAACATAACAATTTGTTATCAAATTTGGTGTATTAATAATTTGAGAGAAAATGAAAAATTTCTGTCGAAGCATATTTCAATTTTCCTCAAATTGCATTTTCTTCTAAATATTTATATTCTTTTTATCTTCTATTTTGAACAGAAAAAAATTGCTTCTATTCTTACCAAACAATATTCTGCACTTGTATTACTTCTTTTTTTTACGACAAAAACTTTTCATCGTAAATCAAAAAGTACTTTTTTCTAAAGGATAAAAAAAAAATTTCCTGTATTTTTCCTTTCATTTTTAAAAGAAAGTAGTATTTAATGCATTTGAGAGAAAAAGAAAATTCTTTGTCAAAAGTGAGAATCTCATTATGTTTTATTCTGTAGGAAAAAAATACTTTAATATACATATATAGATATATTATATTTAAAGAGGAGAATTTTTATATGCACTTTTTATACTTTCTCCTCTATGTTTTGAATTTATAATATCTGTTTTATTGTACGAGGGAGATGTAAATATAGATATAGATAATATAAAGGAGGATTATATTCGAGATGCAGATGGTCCAGTCAGCATATAAAATTTTTCATCTTTTTCTCTGTGTGGCGATTAATCATTCTCAAGTTTTGCCAGGACAAGATGAGCGAGAAGCTCATTTTATGGAAGCTATCATGCCACTCGACATTTTCTATTGTTGTATTATTATTAAACACAACGAGTTCGTTGAAGGAGAAATATTTACATAAAGCATAAAGCGAAACTATATACAAACTACATTTGGAAATACATCAGATATTGTTTCTCTCTCACAGTTAGAATATTGTATAATATATTCAAAATCAAGATAAAATAACAAAAAATAATATATAAAGAAAATTTATTATT